AATACATGAATTTATCGTAGTTTTGTTATCCGAAGTATACGTTATCTTCTTGTACCTGTCATTTCATGTCTAAATATTTGAAATAAATAGGAAAGTGGAAATTAAATTTAGCAATTTAAATTACATGTCCTCGTATCGTACTCGTAGTTTTATATTTGAAAGTTGAAAGTGAATTTAACTTTATGACCGTGTCTCATAACAATTATATCTAATCATGTTTTTTTTATGTGAAATAATTCAGATAATGTTTGTTTCGAATTATATGTTCCCGTCTCGTATCCATTCCTATAAGTTTATATATTTTTTAATAAATAACACCATTTACATGTAACTAAATATAATTTTAATATATGTAAATTTCATATAATCGTCCAAAAGTAGAGATTTATACGTCCCAAAGTTGAATTTTGTTCAATATTTTGAGATTTTAAGAGTTAAATATAACTACAAATTTTTTTTTATTTCAACCGGTTATCCAAAACTTATATATCATATTTGTCAAGGATAGTTTAAAATTGTACGTATATGTGAGATAATGTTTGTAGATGTTTATTTATTATATCATTTATATCATACCAATTTGACATTTTATTTGTTTTCAATTAGATTAGATCATTAAAACTATAATCCATTTATTATTTAAAAATTGGTAATAAGTTGTTAAAATCATTTAAATGTGATATATCTACTTGTTATTTAGTTTTAATCTTAATAGAAATTCTATATGTTTATAATCTCAAAATGTAGTTTATGATTTGATAAAACAATTATTTAATATTTGATAATAGTAATGATATGCAAATTGCCAATGGATGAAGGTTTATTTTGTTAAGATTGTGTGAAATTAATAAGAAAAAAGAAGTTTAGAATAATCATTAACTAACGGTTTGACCAAATAAAAATCATTAACTAATTGAATTGTGCTATCATTTGTAGATATCATTTGTGCTACAATTGCTAGATTGATATTTGAATATGAATATTTTTATGTGAAAATAAGAAATTTATTTGATCTAGAATGTTTATTCGCATGATTTTAGCAAACAAATATTTAATTATTGATTTAGTTAAATTTTATTTATATTTAAAAATTATATAATTTTTTAAAATTTTATGATATGATCAGTTATGTATATATACTATGTAGAATTTGATTAGTTGATTATTTCATATGCTAACATATTTTTTTTATTATCTTTTTTATTTTTCTAAAAAATGTTATCTTTGTTATTTTAGATATGATGATTTTGTTTTATTAGATTTCATTCTATATAAATTATTAATTTCAAAATTATATTAACATATTAAATTAATAATAAATATGTTTATGTATATTCAAAATATATTTGTTTACATATATTTAGTTTTGAATTTAATTGTCCACTTTTTATGGTAAAAGATTATTATGATTTCCATAAATATAGATTGTTTTTGTTTTTGTTTTTGTTTTTTTTTGCTGTCATTAATTCTGTTTAACAATTGGTTTTATTTTCATGAAATGTTTTTTTAAAATTAGGGGGTGTTTGGCTTCAAGTTGTCCTTCCCAATTAATAGTATAGATACATGGGACTAGTTGACTAAACATAATTAATTTAGGTCCAATGCTATATATAACAGGATTTGATAGATCCAAACATACAATTACATATGATATGCACATTCTTCAATCTCTCTCATAGATTTTCCAAAATAATACAGAAAATCTTTTCATGAACTATATGTTCCTCTCTTCCTCTTCCTTTACAGAACACTTTTGAACACCCAAACACACAAAAACTAATCAAGATCGTAAGAACACAAACACACTCGTGAAGATCAGAGCAAAAAAGAAAGCAATATCAAATGTTGTAATCAGTCGGATTGATTTACAGAGGTGAGGGTTTGGTTTTCAGTTAGTTAGCATGCATCATTCAACACTATTTTCTCTCCTTTCTCCTTCATCACGAGTCAAGCGCAAGCTCGGCCCAAGCCAAAGAGGACGATCTAAGTTCCGCAGAAATTGACAGACTGATTCTACTCTCCAACGTCTCACATAGCTCTTGCACCGAGGGCTTGTTATTATTGTTGTTGTTGTTGGTTGGATCTCGGTTCAAGCATTGGCTTGCCACTTCGCATACCGTCTCTAGATCTTCTTGGTTAAAATGTTTCAGCTCAGGATCCACCAATCCTGCCATTGCCTCTGGCGTTTCAAGGAACTCCTTTGCCTGCACAATGCAACCAAAATGTAAAATGGTCATAACATGTGCAACGGAAAACCACATTCAAGGTTCAAATAAAACAAAACAGGTGAAAAAAGACCAAGACTTTCATATCCATAGACCAAAGATATCGATTCTTCCTGAACACTATGTACCCATTTGGTTCTAATAACACAAAGCTTTTCTTCAATATGGGTGAAAAGGTGAAACAGAGAAGGCTGTATCGATTTCCAAGGGTTTTAAACAGAGGAGGTACTCAATTTAAAGTATTTAGAGAATAACTTCTGTTTTTTTCTTACCCATTCAATTAAGAAACCTTTGTCTTTGCAATAAGGAGGTCTTCCACTGACAACTTCCACCAAAAGAATGCCGAAGGCGTAGATATTACCCGACACATCGAGATGTCGGCTTTCCATTCCGTTTGGGAGCACACATATCGAACCCTGATTGCTAATATTTCTCAAATTCTTTTCTGATCTGGCAAGAATCGTCTTCCAGCATTCAAAATCAACCAGCTGCATCAGAGAAAGTCAGAAAAAAAAAAAGAAAAGAATGAGAACTTAATTAAGCTTAGCTTAACTGAGGAGTTTAGCTAATCAGATGCTGGTCTGGTTTTACTTTACCTTGGGAGTAAAATCTTCAGTGAGATAGATTGCGTTTGAGCTCAGCTCAGAGATTGTAAATGGAGGATCAAGTTCCATATGAAGGTACTTGAGACCACGTGCGATGCCTATAATAATCTTCATCCGTCTTGCCCACGATACTAAAGCCGCTTCCCCATCTGCATCAAAGCATTTATCATAACTATCTTATCTAGGCAGACCAGTACAGTATGATGAAACAAGCTCTGAGAAAGTTAGATTATTTACAGTGGAGGTGCTCATATAGTGTTCCGTTTGATGCATACTCAAAAACAAGCATTCTTGTAAATGGTGAGGTCTCTTTACAGTATCCAAGTAGTTTTGCTGTGTTCTCGTGGTTTAATCTAGCCAAATCTGCAACCTGATAAAGTGGGGAAATACAGTCGAAATCTAAGGGAAAGAGAATTTTCTCAAAGATTGTTCTATCCAAGTGACTTGGTAATGATGATAACGTGAGAAGAGCTACCTCTCTCTGGAAATAGAGCTCAAGATATCCAGTCCAATCTTCTTGTTTTACACAAAGAGATATCACCGCAATCTCAGACCCACCTTTCATTGTTCCTTTATAGATCTGACTATCTGTAGATAACCCAATGATGTTGCTGAAGTCTTCACACGCCACTTCGAGCTCTTGCCTTGTTAATCTTGAAACATCTTTCAGCAATTCGGAATCTGTAGTTTAAAAAAAACGGGTCACTTCTTTTAAGTTCTTTGCTCCTTGGATTTTCTATTATTGGAAGGTGGAGAATTCTAGAAAGATTCTAACCTACGTAGACTGTGAACTTTTCCTTTTCACTTGAAGATTTCTTCCAAGGAATGATTAGAGATGATCTGTTGTTCCAGCGATGAATTGCTGAGAAAAGGGCAACCAGAATGAGCAAACCAACCATTGACCCTGTGACGATCTCAAGAGCTAGAAGCCATTTAGGTTTTGATGCTTTATGATGCTTAGCCACCATTTGAGCTGACTGGTGCTTAGGTGGGGTACTCGGGCTTTCATGAGTTTTGACCAGTTGTGCATTACCTGCGACAGGGATCACATTCAGAAACCAAAACTCATTGAACAAGTGTGTCGGCGAAGTAAAATGTTTCTATCTTACACACCGCACTGGGAAGAAGGTCTATGCTTAAGATCTTTGTTTTGCATGCAATTCCCTTGAAAGCTCGTCCTATAGAAAGAGAAACTCTCAGGTGAAATCACTTTGAGAGTTAAGATGAGAGCATAGATAATAAGAATACCTTGGAAGGTACTCGAAACATTTTGGAATGTTTCCTACGAAGAAGTTATATGAAAAGTCTGCTACTTTTAAAGACTTGCACAAACCGGCGATATTTGCACTTGAATTTGAAGAATACCTACATGAATTGAATTAAAAAAAAAACCCAGTTAACATTGCCATCATGGAATGAAGTCACATAGTTTTTCGTTTGGCTTCTTGAGCTATTAAACTTACACTTTTGACTGATAGCCTGATGCGCCAGCGACATGAAGAGTTCCTTGAAGCCTATTCCTGTCAATATGAAGTTCTCTGAGGTACTTCAAGTTACCGAGCTCTGCAGGCAACTTTCCAGTCAAACCATTGGACTGAAGGTTTCTGTAAAATGCAAAACAAAAATGTCGTATCAACAACTCATCTGTTAAAAAGGTATGAAAATGTCATCTTGATAGCGAACAAGGTTGAATCTGTATTACATTATTATGATGCTTGACAAACCCCCGATCTCAGCTGGGATTGGTCCCATTAGATGATTGTTTCCCAAGTCCAAGGTCTTTAGGTTCTTTAGCTTTCCTATCTCCTTAGGTATTGTCCCAATAAGAATGTTCCCATGTAGGATTCTACAGGACCATTCAATGATGTTAACAGCTAAACTCAGTGCATCAAACTACATGTTTGTGAGAAAGAAATGAAACCGTACAGTTCCTGCAGGTATGTTATTTGACCCAATTCCGGTGCAAGAAACCCTTTTATCGATGAAGCCGATATATTTCTGCACAAAAAGAAGATCCACATGCAATATAATAAGCTCAAGCCAACTACTTGATCCTAAACCACTCATAAACAACTGATTACGCAGATACTATACAAACAATAAGTAAATGCTAAGAAAACAGATGAAAGGTTCGTACATCTTGATAACATGATCTTTAGATGGAGAGCAATTAATGCCGGTCCAATCACAAGGATCTGAATTGGGATCATTCCAATTAGACATAACTAGCAGAGGGTCCTCATAGATAGCTTCCTTGAATCTTCTAAGAGCTGCAACTGAGAAAGAGAAACGAAAAACAAAAGAAGATCCACAAATCTATTAGTTGATGATCAGAAGTTGAATTAAAGCTTCAACTTCACAGATTTGACTGATCTTATCATAAAAAAAGGTATAATTTTTTTCAGGTTGATTGAGATTCTCTACACTAATCCCAACTCTGCTCAGGTTAAGTTAACAGAGAGATTCATATGGAGACTGGAGAATCTAAAAGGTAAGAGCTTTTTCTAGCATTTTCTTAGTAAAACCTAACCTAACACAGGCGAGAAAACAATTGAAATCTGAGATCTGGGTTTAAGCAAAGTAACACAAGTAAAGAGATTAACAAATAAGTTACCTTCATTAGAGGCAAACCCATTACAAGAAACGAAGAAGAGCCCAAGAAGAAGAGCTAACGAACAAAACTTCGATCTCATCGTCTTTACGAAAGATTCCTTCAAATTCGGCTCATTAAAAAAAGAAGCGGAACCCAGATTCTTTCGCAGAGGATCAACTATAAAGTTGCCAGATGAAGATTCTGGAGAAAGACGACAACTTTGCAGGAGAAGTGCGTACTCTCTGCAGAAATGAGATTCTTTTAAGCTCAAGATGGGAGAGCAAGATTAGCGAAGTAAGGAACGAGAAAGAGAGAAGCTGGAGAATGGAACAAGGAAAAAGAATGGGGAAGAGAAGTGAAAGTGGAGAAGATTATTAAGATTGATTAAGCAATTAAACCTATCAAAAGGAAACTCACTGAGAAGAAGAAGAAGAAGAAGATAGAGAAGAGAAGAAAAGAAAAGTAGGAATTAGCAGAGATGATGAAGTGTGGGGAAGAGAGAGAGAGACTTGGATTCAAAGACAGGTTTTTGTTTTTTTGTTTTTCCTTGTTGGAGGGGAAAATGATGTTTAATTTTTTTTTAAAGAAAAATAAATTTGTAAATTAGAAGGAAAAAGAGAAAAAAAGTATGAATATTATTATTATCAAATTAAAATTTTTAAAAGTTAACTAGATGTTGACCCGCGGTACACCGCGGGATAATTTTTTTTTTTAAATTCATATTTTTAAAAATTTATAGATGTTAGAGTTTATTTAATAATTATTAAGATTGCATAATATCAATTTTTACTAAATTAGTTTAATTATACATGTTTTATATTAGTGTCAGTTAAAAAAGTAGTAAAATGACCCGTATTGAATTGTGAGATTAATAATATTTTTTTTTGTAATATTAAGTCAAACCCGTTCCATCTTACAACCCGAGCCGTCATATAACTTGTTGGAAGCATATTATAGTATTTCTCGTCTTATACCCCATCATGTCATATAATCGCCAAAAAAAAAAAAATACATATTTCCCATCTTTCCGTCTTGATTTTACTTCAATAAGTAAAAGAACAAAATGCTATCAAAACTGAAAAACAAAAATAGATATTCTAAGCTTACACACAAAGATTTGGTTATAAATATAGGTAAATGGTGTGGGAAAGTTAAATATTTTAAATAATAAAAATTAACAAAATATTGCATAAAGGATTTGTAATTTCTTATCTTTTAAATATAAAAGGAGAAATATAAAATATTGATCTGTTTTGTAATTTTTGATTTATTTTTAACATATTTTTACCCAAAATATTGCATAAATTTCAATGGTTCGGTTTTCACTTTCCACAAATTTCGTCAAAGAAATTCTGTACATAATAAATTGAAAAAGGTAAATTTAGAAAATTTTAATAATGTTTTGATCTATTTTTATTATATTAAAACCTAGTAGTTATGGTAGTTACTAAAATATAGAGAAAATTAAAAGTTTCAAATTGTTTCTTTTTTTTTGTGGAAAGTTTCAAATTTTTTCTTATATTAATTATTATATATATATATATATATTGCAGATTTATTCATTATATTATTATTATTAAATAATAGTGTGTGTATCCCACAAAAAATAATAATAATCGTGTGCATATTTAATATTTATAAAATCGACTGACTTTAGTTTGAGAAGTTTGCCTCATATTTTTGAATTTTACATTAGTTATTTTTGGAAATTTTTATTAAGATAATAAGTATGTATTAAATTTGAAAATTGTTTTAGCTATTTTCGAAATAATTAATAGAGATTTTCTTAACTATTTTTTCGCAATAATAAATATTTCTTTAACTTGAAGATTTTCTTAAGTATTTTCGAAAAATTTTATGGAGATTTTCTTGTTTTCATTATTGATTTTTAAACTATTTAAAAAGAAATATTAATACCAATGGCAGAACCTTGTAAATAAGTGAGCAAAGCAAGGGTTTTTTCATAAGTGTATTTAAAAATGTTAATATAGATAGAAAGAAAGAATGTTCACTTTCTCTTTTTCCTTTTTTTTTTTTTTTTTTACTTAGGGAAACATTATGTGACTCTGAGTTATATTTACAAATATTCTAAATTATGAATGTTTTTTAGTTTAGAGAAATTTAAAGTATATTACTAAATTATATATAGTGAGAACTTTTTATAAAAAAAAACTTTAATATGTGGCAAAGTGGCAATAGAGCTTAACACCAAATTAAAAACAAGAAAATATCCAAATGTTTTTATATCAAGAATTGATAGGTCTAGTGGCATATATGTACAACTGTATTTTGCATGAGTCACTCGTAATAGCTAAAGAGAAAATTATATTCTCTGCCATGAACAGTGACATTTCTTTTAAGAAATGCCACTTTCAATTCAATCTTCTCTGCAGTGCCATATGACCCACTTTCAACTCATTAAAATGACAATTCTATCCTTAACTAAAACCTTCTCTGTTTTCTTTCATTTCTCATATTTTTCTTTATATTTTTCTTTATATTTTTCTTCTATCTTCTCTTTCTTTCTTCAACAACAAATCTTTCTATAATTTCGATGGATTAATTCCGGCGGACCAGTTCCGGCAGATTAGTTCCGGCTAACCAGTTCTGGCGTACCAGTTCCGGCGTACCATAACCAGTTTTGGCGGACCAGTTTCGATGGACCACAACTAGTTCCGACGGACCAGTATCGACAGACGAGATCTGATGGACCAGTTTTGATAGATCAATTCCTGAGGACCAGATCCGGCAAACCAGTTCGAACAGACGATATCCGATGGACCAGATCTGGTAGGCCGGAATCGGCAGACCAAACTTGTCTATCCAACAAATCTCCTGAAACCACAGATAATTGAGTAGAAGATGAACTAGATCCGGTGGACTAATCCGGTGAAACAGATCTGATGTCTGTAATATGTCCATTTTTGTTTACTAATTTGTTGTCCATCATACGTATATTGTAAAGTAAATCCAGTTTTTCTTAAACGAACTTGTCCACAATACATATGTTAAATGAATAGAAAAGTAAATTGTCCATAATCGAGTGTGGACAAAAACAAAAAGTGTGAACAAAAAGAACTTGTCTATTGATTTATGTTCATAATTAATATTACAGCTGTCAAAATGTCCCATCTCAAGTCAGTTTTTTTGTCTTCTTTCTTTCAAGGTATTTTTGTCTTTTCAATTCATACTATTTATGCTAATATGGCACTACATAAAATACTAGAAGATAAATGGTATTCTCAATTTTTTTAGTTTTAAAAGTGGCATAACTAATAATATTCCCATAGCTAAATATTTTTCTTATATGGTAATAAATAAGTAAATGAATCTATTTACTAATATAAGTATATAACCGTACTATTTTAGACGAAATGTTTATTATATTTAAAAATGGGGAAAGATATTTATTAGAATTTCTCATAAATAAATGGTTCGAAAAATGAATAAAATATGGTTGGAAGATTCTTAATAACAGAGTAAATGTTACTATATTAATTGTATATTGTTGCTCTAATCATTGAAATAATAACGCGTTTAATTTTTAATTTATTAAAAGACAAGAATTTTTTATGGTACGGTGTCTCCTCTACTACGGTGTATGTGTGTGTGTGATCTAAAGAGCTTTGTTATGCTGTTCGTGGGTACATACCGTACTACGGTAGACCGACATCTACATTGATCCATAAATTGTATTTTAATCTAACGGTCAACATTTAAATTACTATACAAAAAGCTATGTTCCTTTCCTATATAAATAGAAACTCTAATTTCAGTTTTATGAAACGTAAAATAAACTTCAAATAATAAATTATGTATTTTGTAAATTGGAATAAGCTTTGGTCATTTCTTATAAATGCTACATGCAATAATTATTTTTTATAGTTTTAGTTATGAGAGACAAAAATGAATGGTTCATCGGACGTTACGCCACCAATCGTGCGAGCTAATGCTTCGAGCGCGTGATGAATAATATTATTGTTACAACTCAATTTTATACATATTCGTGTATTATTATTTACACACACACAAACAAACATAAGAATAAGCTAAAATTCTGAAGAAGAAAAAGACATGATTATGACGTTGTTGGACTAAGATACGAATTATTATATCGGATAATCGATTTTATTAATGAAAATTTAGACAATTTTCTGGAGTATCTCTCAATTATATAAACTTGGAAGTGGAAAATATAGTTGAACTCCTTACCCTACTTAGTATGGGAGTTGTTGCTACTTGTTAGACTTGAAAGAGATAGAAAATACTGAGTCGCATTATAAGACTGATCGATTAGAGTAATATATTGGTTTGAGTTGAAGTGAACTCATCTAATTGAGAACAAGTCATTGCCTCCCTTACTGACATTACTAGTTTAATGCGAGTTATTTAAAGAAGGTTACTTACCGAACGATGACACATTTGTCAAAGGCTTCATCTTCCAAGGATAAAAAAAAAAAACAAATCAAGAACAAAAACTTAGTGAATCGTGTATTATGTATTTGACTTGAGAATGTTGGAGTTTCCGATACATATTCTTCTTGCAAAAACATTCTCGAATTTGCATGATAAAAGTCTTGACACTCTCGACTTGGAAAAATTACTTCATTTATTTACCCAAAAAAAATTCAATCCGTTTTAAAAATAGAAAGGATTCAATCTTTTATAACATATACTAATGTAAGAATATTAGAGAAAAACGTTAATTATGCGAGTTATAACACAAACAAAGTTGAGATCAAATCAAAATGGTCTAAAAGATACAACGCTCAACAAAGTAATTTACACAACAAATATATATATTTCCAATGTTTGGTACAAAAATGTCATAAACATTTTTAGATGAATCTAACTAACAACACCCTCGTCTATTTCTAGTACATTCTCCGTTTCTTATTATTTTTTTTTTTTAATATATCATTGTAATAATAATTTTAAAAAACAAATAAATAATAGAATTGGCCTCAAATAGATCGAAACAACAAAACAAGAGGATGGGAAAAATGATCCATGCGTGTCCCATTTGTTTGTTTCTATAAGGTATTTTCGTGTTATAATGATTTCATTATTTGAACTATATATACACACGTATTTGATATATATGTTAGTTAGGTTAAATAGCATTGTTTTTTTTTCTTTACAACGTTATCTTGTTACATATCATGGGCAAACACAATTAATAGATGATGAGACAGTTCATAAGCTATTCCCAAAGGGAGTTGTCATTTTGAATTTACATTTGTGTTAATAAATTAACGTAGGATACGTAGTTTTAGTTAGGTGATCAATTATATTATATATGAAATATGTAAATAGACATATGTAACAGGTTTGGACATGAAGGTTGCCCTTGTCGTCACGCTCAAAGCTTACAAGCAAACATTGAGTAGATGCTAAGGGAAATTGATAAGGACCATCATGATGCATATACGAATAATACACAAACAGCTTTGTGAATTGTGATGACATCAAATTTATTAATAGGCCACTTGTTCTCACCATCATACTTTCTCTAACCAAAAGGATTAATTATTTATGGTAGCAGAAATTAAAAAAAGATTCATATTTTTTTGCAAAGAGAGAATCTCAAAACATAATTCACCGCGCCGTCGTGCATGTGAGAAAGAAACAACGACATTTAATGAAAAAAATGAACAATCCATATAGTATAATTTTATATATTAAATGGCTAAACCAACCAAGAATAAAAATAAAATACAATTTTGGTTGCCATAATAAATACATTATTCTAATATTAATGGTTTTGCTATTGTATATTGTTGTCTTTAATTAATGTTTTTTTAAACGTTGTCCTTCTAATGGGCCTTATTATTGGGCCTTAAGATTTCAGAGTTTTTCGAACTCGGTAAAGAAAAATAATCCTATATTATTATTATTGCAACGTTCCTTTTGATTAGACTTGTTGACAGTAATACAATATGAACGTTGTGATTGTTACCGTTTGAAAAATATAATATTTTTTTTTAACTGGAGAGAAACGACCGTTGTGACTCTCTCTATAAATACACCTTTCGTCGTTCAGATACCTGAATCCTCTCTTTACTCCTAAGTTTACTTCTTACAAACAAAAATGTCAAATACAAAAACAAATACTCTTACTTCTTCGGTTCTTCCCACTTGAAGAGTTCTTCTCTCACTCAAGCTTGTCTACACATGTCATTACCGGAGACCGAGAGAGAACAAGCATAAGCATCCCCTCGTATAAGAGGTAAGATACTCTTGTCTAATTCCTCTAGTTTTATTTTTTTTCATGGTTCTTGTAGTAGATTGTTTACTTGTGTTCTTCATCTTTTGTGTAGCTGAACATCGAATTCAAAATGATCTGTTATAAATCCATTTTATATATATTATTGTCTTAACTTGTTCATCAACTATGTGTTTATAAACTGGTTTTTGGCTATTAATCTGTCTTTTAATAAAGTGATATTGTGATTATTTTATGTAGAAAACATGATCTAGATATGTAGAAAACATGGAATGAAAATTTTAGTTTTGTTGGAAATTTATTTAAGACATAGAATGATTTTTTTTTTTTTATGAATATATAAAATGAAGTTTTTTTTTCTCTTTTTAAAGAAAACCAAAGAAATGTTAGACTAGGATATATTTTTATTTTTTAATTTTATGCATGTTCCAAAATTGACGAAAGAAAAAGTTAGATTGTAGTGAAAACTGATTTTGATAAATTAATTTTGCAGATGAGTTGAAGCATTGAAGGGGAGACAAAGCTTTTAGGACTGTGTCCGGCGTCAAATCATCTGCTTTGTGAAGCTGGCCAGAGTGTATGTAGCAATATTTGTATTATCCCTTTCTTTTTTTCCTGATAAAGATGTGTGAATGTCTAGATGTATGTTAGGTTTTAAATGTATCATGTATGTGTAGGAGTGAATGTATAGATGTATGTGTAGGTGTTGTTGGTGTAGATGTAAATAGATGTATCATGTATAGATGTATGTATAGGGTGTAAAACTGTAAATGATAGGAGGGCTTGTTTGTGAGGGCGCCGAAGAGGTGAGACTACTGTGTAGTCTGCGAGAGGAACTATGCGCGCGCGGTTCCTAAAAGGCTATAACGATCGCCTAGACACACACACAAGTAAAATACAAACACTAAAATGTGACAAAGAGCAAACTATTAAAAAAGCATGTCAAAATGTAAGTCTACACACGAAATTGAACGCCAACACATCAAAATGTTTAGTCGAAACACATAATAAACACGCCAAAAGGAAGTAACAACACAAAGGAAATTTGTCAAGGCGTAAATGTGACAAGATAGGGCCGGTTAAAAAAAAACAAAACACAAAACGATCGCTAGTCGAAACACTAAAAAAAAGAAATGTAAAAATCAGAACCAGATAAATTAGTTTTTCAAAATACCTTTTTTGTTTATCTATTTTCAAAAATACCACTGTTTAGTATGGTTTTTAGTACTGTTTAGTATGGTTTCAAAAATACCAAATAATTTATAAGTTTTATATGGTTTTTAAAAGGTTAAACAAGTTTTAGATGACAAAAAAAAAAACGATAAATTTTTATACACTTGTTTAAATATGAAAAATCTAATGTAAAGGTAATTTGTGTTATTTATAAACTTATACATTTATTCGGATAAATTTCAATATTTTTAATAGTTTTTTCATCAGTATCGTATTTTATTTTCCCTTTTTCTATTTTAAATTTTTACTGATAATGTATATTTGGCCTTTTATAATACAATTTATTTCTATATTTTTGTTTTATTCATAAAATTTTCGATCGAAATCTAAATTAATCACGATAAGATTGTCTCTTTCATATAAAGATGTTCGTTTGTTGGTGAAATCTAAATTATCGTGAACCATTAGGATGCGATACACGTTTGTTCCACCAAGACGAGTAACCAAGTTGGTATACCAAATGGCTATCTACATCATAAATATATATTTGACATGACAAATTAATCGAATTTGATATTATTCATATGATGGTGATAGTTTAAGATACTATTCTCTTATAAACAATTTGTTCCAATTACTCAACTATTAATCATGCTTATAAGAATTACTTTTGCTCGTCCATGACACAAGAATGAAATATTCCTTAATTCTATAATCTAACGTTGCCCAACAGATAAAAAAAGGTATTACCCAAAATTCCCAACTAAATTTAGATTATGTATCAATATGAATTACATCGTTTTACTAAACCTTTTGCCAGTAAGAATCTTCCCATTTCTCCACTTGCCGGATGAGATTTAATTTCTTCCGATAGAACCTCTCAAGACCATTGGGGTCATAAGGAGGAGGAAGTGAACATGGACCTGAAACGTGAGGCCTACTAACTAAAGAGCCCATCATAAACCTCTTATTAACCCCATTATTAGCATCATCAGAAGGGCACACCATTGCTTCTGTGCATAGCTCAACACCATTCTCGGGAACTTGAGGCTTGTACTTAAGAAGCTTGGAGTATTCATTCAACAGATGGAACATGTAATCATAAACATTTTCCATTGATAGGTCTCTTCGCATGAACTCACTTGCTTCTCTTCCTATCTCTTGTGCCTATGGACATAGAAATCTTACGAAACCGTATGTAGAAAGAGATTATAAAAAGGTAGGAAATTAAAAGGTACCTTTTGAGTGTGATTATTAAGCCAATCAACAGCAAATTTGATGGATCGACATTTATCTTTATCCCTAATAGGCCAATAGTGTTGGAGAGGTTGAAGAGTTCTCGAGAAGAAATCATAGTAATAAGGTTTCACCATCAATGTGACTGAGTCACATGCTAATATGTATTTCTCACTCACTGACCAAGCATACCCTTCTATATATATCTTGTACCTGCGCAACGTAACGTAATATTCCAATCATTAAACTTTTACGTTAAAAAAACTCGAATTCAGAAATATATAGACAATGGAACTGACCTGTAAGTGCATTGATTTGCTACATTTGAGTTCTCAAACCCTCTTTGTCCTTCTGATAACCAATCCTATATGCATGAATGAAATACTTATTTCTATTTTTGGAATAGCATGGAAATGTATAAGTAAACAAAACAAAAGGGTTCACTGAATGAAAACTGTAGAAGCAAATATATACCTGAATGAAAATTCTAGCATTCCAATCGTGTAGTAAGGATAAGTTACAAGTGAGAAGATCTTCTCTCGAAGGAGATGCAACAAAAGGGTTCCCTTTCCAATATGCATAAGCCTCTCTCTCCATAAACTTCTTCTTCTTCTTTCCTTGTTCCATTTCTTTCAACACTTTGCTCCATTCCTTTATGTTTATCTCCTGCCTTTTACCCACCAAAGATTAAATCCATTTTTACTCTAGAACATGAATTACTATTGATAAAAAAAAAAAAAAACATGTCTAAACTTGATATGAAAGCTACTATACACTTTATGTTTAGCTGGAAAGATTGAATGATACAAGAAATGGAAAAGTTACTTTATGTCCACATATTTAAATTTTAGTGGCATTGAGTGGAGCAATTTAATTACTTTCCCAACCCTTTAGATTACTACAATTGTTAGTCACTAAACTATACAATTAGTTCACAACATTAACACGAAAGAATCTATTTGTGGAAAATGGACCCCTAACTTTTTCCCCGGCATGTGATCAAGTGGGGACAAGTGTACCTTAACAACCATACACGTTAGCTTCAGACCAAAAAAAAACCAAAACAAGAAAAACAAAAAAAAAAAAGAGAAAAGAGACTATAATAATCCACTAATCCAGTACGTACCATCCCCAGAATGACCAATCGGGAAAGACAATATCAACCGTCCATCTATCACCGCAGTACCTAAACAACGGAGGTGGTGAATCTTCAGCCGTACGATTGAATCTGTTGTAACCGTCCGATCTGATGACTGGTCGATCATCGCAGTCAAACATGAGATCAACGTCAGGTAACTTCCCTGGATATTTTCTCAGCAGCTGAAGAATCCCCCACAGTGTGAACGCATCTCTGGTCTGTATAGACTTCTTGTAGTTTTCGACGAACACCTTGCCGTTTACGATAACTAACCTGAAATGCGCTGTCGTTTTGCCTCTTTCCACCATTTCTCTTGTTATCCCCGTTTCTCTCCATGGTTTTAGATCCTCGTGGATCCACTTGAAGTAATCAGGACAAGACCGGTTCGATTCGGTTTGGTATTGAATGTTACCGGGTTGAGGTGTTTCCGAGTATGTACCGGACCGGTTTTGATTCAAGAAACTTGTACAGTTCAACAAGATTCCGGTTTTCTCCTGTGGTTTCTTCTCTGGTACACGTACCGGGACCGGTTTTACTGGTGTTATTGTCGGTCGATTGTATGGTTTTGTCTATAGTAAACAAAAACAAAAGGTTTGTAACAATTTAGTTTTCATTGAACATGAACAAGAACCGGACCGGTTTGGATTCAAGAAACTTGTGCAACTCACCAAGATTTCGGTTTTCTGCGGTGGTTCTAGCTCCGGAGCTGGTTTTGTTGTCACTAACGTCGGTCGATCTAAAGCTTTCATCGTCTTTGATATAAACAAACAATAATTCATTTACTTTTTTTAGTATGAATTATTACTTATATATAGCATGAAAATGTAATTATACATGTAGGGAGATAAATAAGATTGATAAATATTACCTTGTTAAGCCATAGAGATGAAGTGACGGCAATACCGGCGGCGATAAGGAAGAGAAGAAGTGTTAAAGTGGCGACGTGAAGTTTTCCGATCACCGGACGGTAAGCTTTAAAGTCTTGAGTGAGTTGAGAAGTGAGAGCTCCTCTAGGTTTAGAAAATAGAGAGGTCATTGTTATGATTTGTTTCTTTTAATTTGTTAGATATTAATGGAATCTTTTTGTCTTCTTTTATTTTTATTGTTCATCTCTCGTAATTGAAACTAGAGGTTTCTCTATCCAAATATCCTCTCAAAACAATTATTATTATTATTTTTTTAACTTTTTCTTCAAATTTCTCTTCTATTAATAAAATTTGTTTTTATATCTAACTTCAATTGTCTTGTTGGTTTGAAGTAATGATTACGACACGACTTATAGTGATGATAGTGGACTTTTGTTTTTACTATAGATTCTTTGGAACTAGTAAACTTTAATCACTCGATCGTGTAAATTACGTTATTTCCATAGAGATACGTATATGCTACAATGATAATCACTACTTTAAGCCTGACCGGGGTTGCTGGTCGCAAGTGTTTTGAGTAGAAGTAGTTTTCAATTATTATTACACTGTTATCTATGAAAAGTTTATAATAATTCTCTAGTTAAAGTCTAGATAGCTATAGTAAATAAAATAAAAAGCTTATCTATAACATTAGACATATATATGTACAATTAATCCCATCACGCAGTATACGAGATTACACTATAGACCTACCATCTTTGAAACTTTTGAAATTAGATAGCTATAGTAGATTAGTAGATCATTTTAAGCTACACTATTGCGCCAAACTTTTAGATATTGACTCATTCATAATTTTTGGTGTAAAGATATTTTACAGTTCGATTTTACCTCTACTCAAGAATCTTGTAAGCCTAAAATAAAAAAATTAACTCACAAATAATGTTGTAGTTCATAACATGCTAAAAAAACTGAATTCATTTACATATTCATTAAGTGTATGTATCACCGACAAAGAAATCTTTAAAAGTCAATATACTAACCTCGGGGAAAACGGGGAAAATCAACCCAAACTATTTCTCGAATGTATTTTTATACCCAAATTCGTGTACTCTGAATTTTACAACTCAAACCAGCTTTCAATTCAAATAACCCACCTGAACCACATCAAATTTTGTCGATTTCAACTTCGACGTTAACAATATCCCTGCCCATCTTGAAGATTTGGACAATTAAGCTTAAGCTTCTGTAAAAACTAAGAGAAATTAAGCTTAACCTTAAACTTAATTGTCCAAATCCAAGATGGGCAGAGATACTGTTAACGTCGAGGTTGAAATTGACAAAATTTGATATAGTTCAGGTTGATTATTTGAATTGAAAGCTGGTTTGGGTTGTAAAATTCAGAGTACGCAAGTTTGGTTATGAAAATACATTCGGAAAATAGTTAGGGTTGATTTTCCCTGTCTTCCCACTTACCTCGTGGCAATTCTTGTTTTTGACAACAGTTTAAATTTATTCAAGGATCAAGTTGGGTATTATGTAAGAAATAAAACTCATCACATGTTTTTACGTGTTCTTTTTTTTAAGAAAGAAAACATAAATATAGTATCCTTAATTCATGATATATATGTATGGATATCGCACAAAATGACAGTTCAAAAAATACGTATAAGTTGTTCAAACAGATCGGATTTTGTTTGTAATTTTTGATATAAAATTCCGCATTCTATGAATTTTATGTTTCTTTAGAGTTATTGAACTAATAAACTCGTTACTGTTATTGAGTGAATGTCATTTGTTATTTTACTAACGTTCCGACAAGAGTCCCGAGATTTCTCCAAGTACACAGTACCTTAATATATAAAGACATATAGACAAAAATAGATTAATGTAGACAAAAATAGACAAAAATCCAAATCGTCTAGTAATGGATGAGTTAGTAATGAAAATATATATGATTAATCTTTGGGTTACTCGAGATACGATGTCCATTAAGTAGTTTAGGTCCCGTTAATTATAATGAATCTCCTATAATAGGCCCACTATCATTTTCAAGAAAGCAGAGCGTTGAGTGAGAGAGTTTATGGGGAAACTTGAGGCTTGCTTGATCTTAAGAAGCTTACAAATAATCGTGTAACACATTCTCTGTTTTATAATCTGAAGTTATGAACTAAGCTATGAGATTTGAAGTTTAACACATTCAAACTTCAAACTCCGAAGGGCTTTTGGTGGTCATCACTCACCAGTCCCATGGAATCTAGTTTTCATAGTAATGCCTATTCTGAACAATCTTAATATTATTATTCTAATGTTAATTTTAACTTGTGCCCAAATATATAAAAACTTTATAAAATGAGTCTCTGGTGCAATGCAACCCATATTTTTCTATATTAAACAGCCGAAGGAACGGTTGATATTCATTATGAACCACACAAAAATGGTACGATGTAACAAGTTGTATTCAATTTGTTAACATTTCCGACAAACCAAAATTATAATTTTCTAATGAATCGTTAGCTCGCTTTAAATTATTATATATGGACAAAAGCTTGATAGAACTATTTCAACATCATTATTTATGAATGATGAAGTCGGAAGAGACAAAACATGCCTAAACTTAGGGTCTCAGTTTTTCTTATAAAGTTTTAATTTGCAATGATATCAAAACATTAGGGTCCCAAACTGAATAAATGTAAAAAACTACCTAATAAATTATACGGTCGCGCATGATCCTATTTAATTTGTTGTTCTACTAAAATGTTTGTACATAATGATAAGATGAAAAGAAATATTATAGAATTATATGAGTGCGTTATTTCTTGTTTTTCTTTAACCGTATGTGGTATAGTATAAAAATAAGTAATCTACGTATTATTGTTTTATCAAAACTGGTGGTCCTAAAGCTTTCAAAAGGGTTTATAAGTTTCTGTGGCCTGAAACGAAACGTGTGAACCACTAATTACAAAATGTTAAAATAATCTATGATTTCAAAATTTGCAAGGATAACTAAGTTTATTAAAAATGTGTACGTACTTGACTTCGTGAGTCATTGTAAATATTAATTAACGATTATAACTTATGTTTTGTGGGCTGAATCGATTCCATTAATTAACATAAAAAATGTAATCTTCGTTTGTTTTTTTTTTTTTTTGGGTGCCATCATAGTCATGCTCGTCGTATCATCTTAATTATATTAACAACTTAACTTCTTTCTGTTTATCGTTTGTAAACTGTTCATAGATTGTATTCGTTTATAGGAAATTGAGTGTCAATATAGGTTTGGTATGGAGAATATTTTAATTTAGTATATAGTTTACAAAGTTTGTGAAATACACGTGCTCTCTAAACCTTTTTAGGTATGACCATGATCTCATATTCATCTTTTTAAGTGGTACTATCGGAAACAAAGCTAGAGGAGTTTCAAGTTCGAAGACTCCAAGTCATTAAGCTCATTAACGAGTCACGTGCTCGTCAAAGTGTGTGTGGTCCTTTTTCATGAGTTGCAACAAAGCAAATGTGTTTAAAAGGATGTTTGATGATCCTGAGGCGGCTCTAACGTTCTTGTCTCATTGAAGTTGCAACAGTGTACGTAGTTTGGCAGTGGTGGCTATGACAGTTGCTATAAATTAATTAAGGTTGAATATATAATATAGTGTTATGAAATTCACAATATAATATTTGCTTAAACCTTCATCAAGCATACTATTTTGAGAAACTTTGTTATAGCAATTTCTGTAATAAATATTTTATAAAATTTTAGCTAAATTTTACTTAAGAGAATTATTTTTAACACTTAACTAAAAAGAGCTTAACCAATAGTAAACAATATTGAAAAATACAAATAGTGATAAAATATCAAATAAATTTAAACTTTTCATAAAATTTTACGAAATCAAACAAAACAAAATAATAAAAGAATGCTTTATAAATACGAATAAAAGGAAAAAAAGAGATGGAAGAACTCTTGCTTGAAACGAGAGAAACAAATTTTGTAATGGAAGTTGCATAAATTAAGGACATCCGGCAGAGATAAGTCCACTATCATCATATAATAATATGTGAAATGCGGTGTTTCTATTTTGTTATTATACATCTTTTTATCTTATTTTATGTTTATACTTTTTTTTTTCTTTTCTGTTCCTTTCTTTTGAATGACATCACGATAATCATTGTATTATTATATATGAGTTAACTAATACACCAAAATTTACAAAGAAAATTACACAACAGAACTGAAAAAGAATGCTAACGCCCAACGGTGATAATTCATAATAATATAGTCACAAAAAGATTAGGAGTTTTTATTTGACAACAATTGAAAAGGGGTTTGTATAAATAACTAAACAAAATGAAAATTTTATTTCTCTATGACATTTGTCGGCTCTATAAGAATTTACACCTAATTCCTAATTGTACACAGTTAAAGTTAGCACTAGTGCTATTTATGTTTTTTTTTGTTTCAAAAGCAAAAATTAGTCCCCATTTCTTATTTTTGTATCATTTTGTAAGGTAATAAGTGAAAAAAACTTAATATATACTTCCATATACATATGCATGTGAAATATAAAGTAACAAATATTCTTTTTTGTTTGTAAAAATATACAGCCATTATGAATATAAGGAAAACTCCTCAAGGAAAAAATTAGTATATACATTTTAGACTGATAAGATTATTTTATAGCTAATTAACAAAGTCATATGTAGTATATACAATCATGATGTCAAAACATTAAATAATTAGTCACCATACATGAATCTCTGGTATTGGGAGAAGATGAGAAAAATTCAAAGTGATCCTTAGTTATTTGTTTAATGGGAGATAAGAAAAAAAGGAAGGCTGATTATAAAAATAAGAGTGATTGAGGTGTATAAGAAGACTTCTTCAACTTCAACTTCAACTTCTCTTTTTATATCTCTGTGTGTATCTTTGGTTTCCATCTCTCTCTTTCTCTACAGATAGTACCAATGGCTAGGGTTTTTCCTCAAGCAGCCATCTCTTCACCGTACATGAGTACGGAGAGAGAGACTTTCACGGTTTGGATGAAATCTCTTGTTTACCAAACCAACGGTTTAACCGTTTACAATTCCAACGGTGAGATCACGTACCGGGTCGAAAACTACGACAAATCTAGCAATGAAGTCCATATCATGGATCTCCATGGCAACATTCTCTTCACTATCCGCAAAAAGGTATCACATCTATCCCGAATTCGATTCGATTCGGTTCGATTCTTTTTTTTTTGTTTTGGTTCATCCTGTTTTGAGCTCTAAAACTAACTAACATGCTCTAATCCCGAGTCTAGGGAATTTTGGGTCGAAATTTTGTTATGATGTATCATTTTGAAAGTCTAGCAAAAATAATATTTTGAATTCATAACTCAAAACTTTATAAAGTTCATTGAGTTTAAATTATGAATATATGAAAGAATCCAAATGTTTACATAATTGTATAATGTATTGCTTGTTTTAAAAATATTTCTGCAGAAACTATGGCTGTTTGGGAGTTGGTATGTGTATAGAGAATGTGGAAGCACTCAAGAGGAAGTGAAACCTTCTGCTAGAATCAAAAGGTCTTCAATTAGAGATGGAGATTGGGAAGTACGAGATGAGACCAATGAAGTGTTTTGGATTTTAAGATTTGATCCCAAATTTGCATTTCAGATCATAGACATCAACGGAGATATCATTGCACAGGTAAAATTTATCAAAACTTTTGAACCGAGAACTGATATTGAAAGAGTTTAAAGTACTTAACTTAAACCATACAGTTTTATATTAATTATGTTTTGTAGGTGAAACCAAAGCAATCATCAAATGGGGTTACACTGGGAGAAGATGTGTTAACTTTGGAGGTGAAACCACGTGTCGATCACTCACTCGTTGTCGCACTTGTCACTGTATATGGATTAATCAAAGGACTAGTCTAATAACCTTTTTTTTTTTTTTGATTTTTATAGAAAACTTAAAATACACAAAATAGTAAATTTTTTCCAACCTTTTTTATGTTGTGGGAGAGGGATGGGAGATGTATATATTGTTCTTTTTTTTTTCGAGCCTTGATTTTTTGCTTGTTTCTTAAGCTTTGTCCAGTTTTTTTCTTCTTCTTTCACCATAGAAAAATATATGAATCCCCTAAATATGCAGTATTTGCGAGGATTAACTTGGATTGATAAGTACATAGTTTAGCCTCCCACCTCCAACAATATCACCACTATGCCACTCGAGAGATGTGACATATTTGCTAGGATATGAACTCAGGGTTAGTGGCTTTCTGGATAGATATACTACAAGACTGCAAAGATGAAAAGATTACAACTTCCATTATGTACAGCAGACATCATTTGAAGTCTGAAATTTTCATGATCAAAGCTTTTGTCTTTGAAGACTATTCTTGTCTCAGCACGACAATAACCAAGTGTTCGCATCAACTCTTGTCTGTAACCTAGCAAGAAAATAACTTATAATGTTCAGATATTACAACATGTCACTAGAATAGAAGCAAAAACGTTACTTCACCTCACTGCTTGTCTCTCGAGGATGATAAAACTGTTTTAAGAAAGCATATCGAGGAAGCTTTTGTCCAATCTCCCATCATGTAACATATTAGTGACCAAGCCAAAGGTTGAAGCATGTCCAGCAAACCCGCAACTCCTCATTTCTTTGATGAGTTCTGCTGATGCAGCTTTGTCGCCATCTCTGAGGTGCGCTCTGATCAACGTATTATAGATACATTCATTTGGGAGAATCCCATCTTCTTTCATTTTTCTAAACAAGGCATCCCCTTTGTGCAGTAAACGTTTCCGATACAAACCTGAGATCATGGTAGTGTAGGTTACAATATTAGGCTTCACTCCTTTATCGTTGAGGCTACAAAATAAATCCCACGCTTCTCCCACCTTCCCAGCCTTGCACATTCCATCAATCATAACAGTATACACAAAAATATCAAGTTCCATTTCACTCTTTTGTAGATCCTGGAATAAGATCAATGCTGTCTCTAGCTTCCCAGAATTACAAAGTCCATCTAATAAGATGTTGTAAGTCATAATACAGGGAGGCACACCATCATAAACCATCTGTTTGAATACCATTTGGGCATTATCACAATCTCCTGCTTGAAAAAACCCTTGCATAAGTATGGTGTAAGTGATGGTGTTGCCAATCAATCCTCTGTGAGCCATCTCTCGGAAGAGTTCCATCCCATCATCTACTCTCTTAGACTTGCAAAATCCATTTATGAGAGTATTGTATGTCGTTACATCTGGAATACAACTTTTGCTAACCATCAAAGCAAACATATCCTTGGCCTCATCTAGGTGATCATGCATGCAAAAACCAGTGATCATTGAATTGTATGTGAAAATATCAGGATCTAGAGATCTTTTGATCATCTCCTCATACAATTTCTCAGCCTCTGGAAGCTTCCCCTCTTTCACAAATGCATCGATCAATGCATTGAAAGTAACAACATTGGGGTTGATTTCCCTCCCGATCATATTGCTCAGTAGCCGAGAAGCATCACTCCATCTTCCGTAATTACAAAGGCAACTTATGAGGGATGTGTAGGTAAAAACATCTGGTTTGATTCCTTTGGTCTCCATTTCTTTGAATAGGTTGATAGCATCATCCACTTGTCTGTATTTGCAAAGACCATCAATGATTGTGCTGTAGATTACAACATCAGCCTTTATTTTCGCTGCTTCCATCTTCTTGAGCATATTTAAAGCCAAATCAGTATCACCTCTCTTACATAGTCCGTTTACTACCACACCGTATGTAACTAGACTCGGTTGACATTCTTTCAAAGCCATCCGTTCAACAAAAGCCACTGCCTCGGAAGCTTTGTTGTGGCGAAAAAGTCCATGGATAAGTGTTGTGAATGTAACGACATTAGGTTGATATCCCATTTCCACCATCTGATCAACCAAAGCTACAGCCTCGGAAATTCTCTTACTGTGGCAGTACCCATTGACCAGTGAAGAAAGCGTGACAATATCGAGTTCATAGCCGAGCTTTATCATCTTGCCAAGAACGGCTAAAGCAAGAGAGACTTGGGAGGAGCGGCAGAAACAGTTAATCAAAATATTGTAAGTATAGAGATTATGTGCAATCCCCAGCTTTTGCATCTGCTCGCCCAGAGAGATGACAACATCAAACTTCTTCATCTTAGCAATAGCACTCAAGAGTTTACTAAAATCAATGATTGAAGGACGTCGACGAGACAGTACCATTTTATCGAACAAAGCAATTGCATCATCTAGCTTTAAACCACTCAGCCCATTTCTCAATATCTCTCTGTAATCACCACTGCCTCTAGCGAAAGCTCGTCGTCCCCGGCAAACATTAAAGGAAGAAGGAGCGGTTCGAGGATTACCTTTCCCATGGAGTTTCCGATGAACAAATCTCTTCGCCGTCGAAGCAAATACACTCGAAACCGATCTCTGCATCTTTACTGATTAGGCTTCAGTTGATTGATTGAGAAGAGCTCTTTCTCAATCTCAGTCTCACTCTCTTGCACATCGCAAAACCCTTACACGGAGAGATATCCGATTCAGCTTCAGCTCATTCGCTGCTCTGTAAATTCCTAAAACCCTACATTGACTAAATCAATCATCAACCCAACGCAAAGAGATGTTGATAAACCGGTCATTTGAGGAGTTTCCGGTTTAATATTTTATCGCCAAGCTGGTTTAGTAACATTTTCAATTATTAATATTTCGTTTGGGAGAGAGTGAGACTCTGTTATCAAAAAACTTGAATTCTTGAATAAACACATTTTCTTGAATAATAATTTCGTTAATAATTAACATTTTTTGGAAAAAAATAAATATTCTTGAACTCATTGAAAAGTCATTCTATAACTTTGATAACATACAAAATCAAATTCTTTAATTGCAACACAGGGCATCCTTTATTCCCATGAAAAATAAGATATAAACCACATGCCTAGCTTATTATATATGCATAGTTGGATTGCTTTGCCTTGGCATCTCCTCTCTGCTTCTTGTTGATAAAAAGAATGAAGCTAAACGAGTCAAGAGGTGGTGAAACAGAGAAGCACAGGCGACAACAGCAACATTTCGATCACGAGCTAAAGAACATGATCTCTTCGTTAACCCACATGGGAGGAGGAGGAGGAGGAGGAGAGAAGGCACATGCAGGACCGAGCCAATACGAAGAAGAAGAGGATGGCGTCAGAGTCATCACGCTTTCTGGATCAAACCTTGGAGCAACCATGAAGACAGAGCTTGACAACAATCATGGAGACAGCCACAAGAATGGAGATCAAGAGCTTGAGTTTTTGAGCACTTATGTTAATAGCAACTTCCAAGCTGTTAACAATTCGATTATGATAGGGGCCAAGTACGAGACTCATGATCCTGGTGTTCACCTTGACATTTCCGGGGATGTGGAGAAGCCTTCGATGAAGGTACCCGCGAGGAGCTCAAGGGGAAAGAAAGGTAAAACTCCTGCAAGAAGTGACCGTCGAGAATCTGAACATACAAACTGAATGGTGTATCTTCATGGACAAAGCAATTTGATTTGCTTCAGTATTAATTCTCTTTTGTATTTCTTGTCTTACCTTCTCTAAATAATCAGAGAAGTGGTGCATGCTAAAGCACTTTACTTTCTCTTCGAGGTTGTTGTTTTCGCTTGCGCTTACTATATAACATGTTCTATATATATAGTCTATTCTCAATATAAGTGTGTGAAGCAGGGTGTGGTCAATACAGAGCACGCCAATGTGTTAACACCATAACCAATAAAGGTCCAATATAACTCAGAATAGATAGTTAAATACTTTTAACTCAGAATATGACACAAAGATTAGACACAAGAAGAACATAACATGAATTTCAAAGAGAACCTACAAGCTTCAGCATTGCAAGAGAAATCCACAAAAAAAGTATATGCAGAAAAAAATGCAGGAGCAGTGTTGATTTAGCACACAGTTAATTCTCTGAGAATGATTGAACTGTTTAAGAAAGCATATTGAGGAAGCTTTTGTCCAATCTCCCATCATGTAACATACTAGTGACCAAGCCAAAGGTAGAATCATCTCCAGCAAACCTGCAACTCCTCATTTCTTTAATGAGTTCTGCTGATGCGGCTTTGTCACCATCTCTAAGGCACGCCCTGATCAACGTATTATATGTAGAGTCATCTGGGAGAGTCCCATCTTCTTTCATTTTTCTAAACAAAGCAACTGCTTCCTGCTTTAAACCTTTCCCACAAAATCCATCTAACAAAATGTTGTAGGTCCAAATATTGGGAGGCACACCACTAGAACTCATTAGTTCAAAAACTTCTTGGGCATAATCACATTTTCCAGCTTGAACAAACCCTTGGATAAGTGTGTTGTAAGTGACGGTGTTGCCCATCAATCCTCTTTGAGACATCTCGCCTAATAGTTCCATACCATCCTCTATTCTCTTAGAATTACAAAATCCCTTAATGAGAGTATTATATGTCACTACATTTGGGAAACAACTCTTGCTAACCATCAAAGCAAGCATATCCTTGGCTTCATCTAGGCGATCGTGCATGCAAAACCCATTGATCAGTGAATTGTAAGTGACAGTATCAGGATCTATATACCTTTGGATCATCTCCTTGTACAACTTTTCAGCCTCTAAAAGCTTCCCCTCTTTCACAAAAGCATCAATGGAAGCATTGAAACCATTGAGAAGATAAGAAAGTGTGAGTACTACACTCGGCTCATCCCCGAGTTTGATTATCTTCCCAAGAATAGCTAAAGCAGGAGAGAGTTGAGAGGAGCGGCAGAAACAGTCTACGAGAATACTGTAAGTATAGTGATCATGAGAAATTCCCAGCTTTTGCATCTTCTCCCCCAGGGAGATGACAACATCAAACTTGTTCATCTTAGCAACAGTACTCAACAGTTCACTGAACTCAAAAATGGAAGGGAAAGGACGAGACTGAACCATTTCATCGAAGAAACCAATAGCATCGTCTAACTTGATATCACGAAGCCCATTTCTCAATATCTCTCTGTAATCATCACTTTCACCAGAGAAAGCTCGTCTCCAGCAACAAATAATCAATGAAGGAGGAGGAGCAGTTACAAAATTACCTTGAACATTAACAAATCTGCTCATCTTCGACGCAATCGTGATAGATCTCCTCATTGCTTGAGCTGATAGGGCTCCTTTTTCTGTATTTTAAGTTACAGAGTTATCAGTGTGTAAACCCTAAACCCTAAACGAAGAGAGAGCGAGAGTTACAGGACCCATTTGAAAACCGGTTTACTTAAGGTTAAGTACTTATTATCGAACCGGTTTCCAAATTTATTAGCCCGGTAACGAAATTTATAAACAAGGAGAAGATTTAAAAAGTTATACAAAGCTGACCTTCAAATAATGAGGATGTATAAAGGCCAATAACATATTTAAAAAGATGCGAAATCAGAAATATGTAGAAAACTTTAATATGAAATGTTTAGCTCATTTCTGGGGGGTTCTTTAAAGTAGAGTCTTGCAGTTTTGTCAAACTCTGAGGCGATGGCACTTCCGGTTTATGCAATGTCTCGGGTCGAATGAACAAGTCTATATCTCCTCCAGTTCTGAAAATACCACGGCTGAATGCTGATAGATCTCAATCCATTATCCTCGTCAGACATTTGTTTCAGGTTTAAACGATTGCTCTTGATATCTGAAATCAGTTCTGGTTCTTGCAACAGCTCCTTGGATTTCTAATCAAGATCCTCTGCAGCATTTCTATCCACATGAGACACAATTAGAGAAGCTAATGTTAGACAATATACATTACAATTTTGCAGAGTGCACTGGGATCACTCCAAGTGCATATCCACAAAAAGACACAGCAACCCAATGTGTCAACAGCAAAACCAATTAAGGTAAGATCCATAAAATGGTGTAGAATAAACAAACTTCTAGCTTGAATATGGTACAAAATTTAATACATAAGGGGAAGAACATAACCTGGAGTTCATAGAGAAGGTAAGGTACAAGCTTCTTTAGGATTGCATGATGCAGCCACTTTGACAACTCAAGTTCCAGACTGAGAGTACCGAAATGGCTCCAGAAGCATGGAAAAGAGTAATTGTCAAAAGAAGATTCACATTCCAAATTGAACTTATAGTAAACAGATATACCAAAACCTGCATCATATGCATCACGTGTAGCAGGAAATAAACCAAAATAGAATATTGGCATGGAAGCTCTGCTGCTAAAGACAAAAATGTGAATAATCTTCTTTTTTATTATCCATCCTCTAATTGATGATCCTGCAAAGCAAACATACCAAACCAGTAAGGGATTAATCTGGGACTCTGAATCTTAAATCTGACTTCGACATTCAATAGCAAACTTCCCCCAAAGCTACAGCAGAAGCTGCATCCAAAAATATATACTGGAAAAAATTGAGTGGAGGACATGTGTGGAGGACATACCACACTCTTCCACAGATTCTCAAATAATGCCACTGCCTTTTGTGCCTCCTTACTACATAAACCGACCAGCATACTGTAAAAAGTATTGGTATCAGGACACAAACCACTGGATATCATCTCTTCGACAATGTCTAGGGCACCATTAAAATCACCCACTCGAAAAAACCCATCAATCAAAGTGCGGTAAGTAATTGAATCAACAACTATTCCTCTTTGGTACATTTCGCAGGCTAGCTCCATCCCATCGTAAACCTTTTCAGCCTTACAATAGCCATTAATGAGTGTAGTAAAGGTCACTTCGTTGGGGGAGCACCTATTGTTAGCCATCGAATCAAACATCTCTTTGGCCTCATCTAGGCGATTCTGTTTGCAGAGTCCATCAACCATTGAGGTATAGGTAACAGTATTGGGGACTATACCTTTTCTGAGCATCTCCATGTAAATATAATCAGCCCTTGAAAAGTTCCCTGCTTTGGCAAATGCGCTGATCAATATACTGTAAGTTTGAACACCCGGTTCCAAACCACTAAGGGGGAGATTAGTGAATAAATTCCATGCTTCATCCACATTATTAGCCTTGCACATTCCATGGATGATGATGTTATAAGTACGAATATCAAGGTCCATATTACTCTTTTGCATGGCCTTAAATAATTTCCACGCCATTTCAGGCTTCCCATTAACACAAAAACCGTGCAACATAATGCTATGAGTTACGATATTAGGGCGCAAACCATGAGAAATCATCTCATTGAGAAGGTCTTGAGCAGCATTAAGGTCGCCCAACTGACAAAACCCGTGAATAAGAGTGTTATAAGTAAATGTATCAGGAACTAATCCTCTTCTAGACATCTCACGGAGAAGTTCCACTCCGCCATCTACCCTCTTAGCCCTACAGCATCCGTCTATAAGAGTAGTGAAAGTGACTACATCCGGAGAGCAGCCCTTGGTTGCCATCAAATCAAACATGTGCTTGGCATCATCGAGACGGTCACGCTTGCAAAGCCCATTGATAATAGAACTATAGGTAACCACATTAGGAACTATACCCCTAGAGAGCATCTCCTCGTATAATTCTTGAGCCTCAGAGAACTTACCTTCGTTGACAAACGAATAAATCAATGTATTGAAAGTGAAAACATTAGGACTGATCTGCCTTTCAATCATATCACGCAGCAGTCGCTCAGCATCACTCCATCTACCATATCTACAATAACCATGTATCATACAACTGTAGGTAATTACATTAGGAAAAACTCCTTTCCCCTGCATCTCAGTGAAGAGATTCTGAGCATCGCCGTGTTGCCCGTCTTTGCAAAAACGATCAATGATGGAATTGTATATTGCAGTATGAGGTTTGATCCGGCTTTCTTCCATCTTCCTAAGCAAATCCAAGGCAGAGTCAGTATCACCCATCTGACACATTCCATTAACAATTGCTCCGTAAGTTAACCGGTTAGGTTGATGAAGACGACCTTCTTCTCCCATTCGATCAAGCAAAGCCAAGGCTTCAGAGATCCTATCTTGGAGACATAACCCATGGATCAGAGTGTTAAACGTAACAACATCAGGCTGGAAACCAAGTTTATTGATCTTGCCCAATGTGGACAAAGCAAAATACAATTCACGACAGCTGCAGAAACATTTTATCAGAATATTGAAGCTGTAGAAATCAATTGGAATATTATCTGGGAGCAATTCCATCTTCTGATAAAGAGAAATCACAACATCGGGACGATTCATTCTGACGATGACACCCATAAGTTTATTGAAATCAACAGCTGAGTACAAATGACGAGACTGAACCATGTAATCGAACAATCCAATCGCATCATCTAAGCTTTTGATATAGTGAGAAACTCTTCTCAATCTCAAACTCTCTCCTTCGAAAGGTAAACGCTTTGAAACTGTTCCTTCGTGGGCGACGCGATGATGAAAGAATCTCGTGTTGATCAATCTAGCAGAAGCAGCAATAGAGGATGATGGTTCGGATCTGAAAACCCTAGCCAACATTTTTGTGAAATGCTTCGCCTGCTTGTGTTGTTTCACTTAGACTGGCACAAGAACAGTACGACCGGTTCAATTGGATTTGACTTGTTGTCTTGTTGACCGGTTCAGATGAATTTCGATTTCACGTTTTTTTCACCATGTTACAAAACTAAGCTGTTTCTGAACACAAACAGATTAGTTTAACTCAACCAGAATGAATATATATATATATATATCACCATGTTCATCAACTGTATCCCCCGATCAAACATCTTAATTCACAAACACCTTAGTAAGGCATCCATTTCAATAAAAGGAACCAAACTCTTGCCATATGAAGAATTAATCCTACCATCTTACGCCATATTTAATTAGTGATCAAAGTTTTTAATAATTTCTTTATATATATATAATTGTCATTTCTCTCTTTTTTTTGTTATCAAATTAAGATTAAGAACATTAAGTGTTAAAAATACAATACTAGAATTTACTGAAAAAGGCTAATATTGATACCAAGCTCAGCTATTGTTCATAGTATTGCAACTTAACACTTAATTCATTTTATTAATCTGATCATCTTAGATAATATTTAATTAGTGAGTAAAAAGTTTACAATAATTATTAGAATATTATGTATAAACACAATAGTGATTGTGAAATTCTTTAGTTTTTGTTTAAATCAAACTAACTTATAACATTTTTCCTTTTGTTTGAAATCAAATTAATATTAAGAAATTTAAGTGTCAAAACTACTTTATTTGAAAAATGGTGAACATGACACCAAAACTTACAAACCAAAGGCGACACAGTGGATAGGATGCCAAACTCGGTTACTCTTAATAGTATTTCAATTTAACACTTAATGTTTTTTTTAGTCCGACCATCTAATGTTTAATTAGTGAGTACAAATTTGCAAAATTTTCTTTATTTAGAATATAATATATATAGTGATTGGGAATTCTTTAGTTTTTGTTACAGTGAAACTGACTTATATAATATATATTTTTGTTATCAAATTAGTACTAAGAAGTTTAAGTGTTAAAATTTCTTTACTTGAAAAAGGTTGAACAACGATACCGAACTTACGATGCAATGGATAGGATACCAAGTGTGGTCGAAAAAAAAAAAAAGAATACCAAGCATGGTTGTTTTTCATAGTATTGCAATTAAACAATTAAATTTTTTATTAATCCGACCATCTAATGTTTAATTAGTGGGTAAAATTTTACAAGAATTTCTCTATTTAGAATATAAAATATATAGTGATTGTGAAATTCTTTAAACAATTAAATTACTTTTTTTTGTTATCAAATTAATACTAAGAAGTTTAAGTGTTAAAGTTACTTTACTTGTAAAAATGTTGAAAATATACCAAACTTACGAACCAAAGACTATGCAATGGATAGGATACCAAGCTTGGTTGTTCTTCATAGTATTGTAATTTAACCCTTAAATTTCTTTTATTAATGGTTAATTAGTTAATAAAATAATATATTTATTAGAATATAATATATCTATAGTGATTGTGAAATTCTTTAGTTTTTGTTAAAGTGAAACAAATTTATATATTTTTCTCATTTTTTTGTTATCAAATTAATACTAAGAAATTTAAGTCTTAAAATTACTTTACTTAAAAAAATATTGAACAAGTGATACCAAACTTACGAACCAAAGACTATGCAATGGATATGATAACAAACTCGATTGTTCTTCATAGTATTGCATATTTTATTAATCCGACCATCTAATGTTTAAGTAGTGCGTAAAATTTTACAAGAATTTCTTAATTTAGAAATATAAAATATATAGTGATTGCGAAATTCTTTAGTTTTAGTCAAAGTAAAACTAACTTATATATTTTTCTCATTTACTTTTTTTGTTATCAAATTAATACTAAGAAATTTAAGTGTTAAAATTACTTTACTTGAAAAAATGTTGAACAAGTGATACCAAACTTACGAACCAAAGACTATGCAATGGATAGGATACCAAGCTCGGTTGTCCTTCATAGTATTGCAATTTAACATTTCAATTTCTTTATTAATCCAACAATCTAATGTTTAATTAGTGAGTAAAATTTTACAAGAGTTTTTTTATTTAGGATATAATAGATATAGTGATTGTGAAATTCTTTAACTTATATATTTTCTCATTTATTTATTTGTTGTTATCAAATTAATACTAAGAAATTTAAGTGTTAAAATTACTTTACTTGAAAAAGGTTGAACAAGTGATACCAAACTTACGAACCAAAGACGATGCAATGGATAGGATACCAAGCTCGGTTGTTCTTCATAGTATTGCAATTTAACACTTAAATTTCTTTTATTAATCTGACAATCTAATGTTTAATTAGTGAGTAAAATTTTACAAGAATTTTTTTATTTATCATATAATATATATAGTGAATGTGAAATTCTTTAGTTTTTGTCAAAGTAAAACTAACTTATAAATTTTTCTCATTTACTTTTTTTTGTTATCAAATTAATACTAAGAAATTTAAGTGTTAAAATTACTTTACTTGAAAAAATGTTGAACAAGTGATACCAAACTTACGAACCAAAGACTATGCAATGGATAGGATACCAAGCTCGGTTCTTCTCCATAGTATTGCAATTTAACACTTAAATTTCTTTTATTAATCCGACAATCTAATGTTTAATTGGTGAGTAAAATTTTACAAGAATTTTTTTATTTAGCATATAATATATATAGTGATTGTGAAATTCTTTAACTTATATATTTTCTCATTTATTTATTTTTTGTTATCAAATTAATACTAAGAAATTTAAGTGTTAAAATTACTTTACTTGAAAAAAGGTTGAACAAGTGATACCAAACTTACGAACCAAAGACGATGCAATGGATAGGATACCAAGCTCGGTTGCTCTTCATAGTATTGTAATTTAACACTTAAATTTCTTGTATTAACCGAACCATCTAAATCCATATTCAAATGGTGAGTAAAGTTTGCAAAAATTTCTTATTTGGAATATTTATATTGATTGTGAAATTTTTTTAGTTTTTGTTAAAATACTAACTTATATATTTTTCTTATTTTTTTTATCATCAAATTTATATCAAGAAATTTTTATGCAATTGATAGGATACCTAACTCGGTTATTTTTCAGTGTTGCAATTTAACACTTAAATTTCTTATATTAGTTAGATAATCTAAAACCAAAATAATTGATAAATCACATTTGCTCAATCAATACTGAATTCTAATATCATAGTAGTAAATTTGTGTCAAACTTATCTGAATCATGTAGGGCGAATGAGAAAACCAGAAGCATTCCGAGCATCCAAATCCAAACATGACCTGCAAATTTTACATCAGACTCGTAAATAAAGGTTTTGATATTACACGAGGTCTTAAAAACATATGAAAAAAATAAAAGAAACAAAGCTATGTAAGATGACATGACACTAAAAAACCATTTCTTCATTCATAAATTCCCTACAGAATCATATTTGCACACTCATACTCATACATCCTAATATATACACATCATCATCATTATTTTTCATGCCTACCAAAAAAACATGTAACCACAAATTACATACTATAGAGTATATATACTATGCGAAACACACACAGACACACACATATATCAACAGAAATCATCTACTGGGTAAGGGGTTTGAGTAGAGAACCGAGTCAAACTTACCTTAATCATATTATAGAAACTGAGAGTAGAAGAAAGTATATTCGAACCCGAGACTCATGAATAGTAACCACCGGTGACGTAATTTGAGCAAGACGAGACCTCTCGACGTTTTAAGATTCCACTACCCAATCTGAAACGACCCGGAAACAAAAAAAAGTTCAAGTAAGAAAAAAATCAAAACCTAGAAAGCATGAAAGAACCTTAGTTAGACCCCAACATGAGTTGAATCAACCACGTACGGTGAGAGAAGACAGAGATCGAACCTGAAGAGTTTGGTTGATAGACATAGACCGAAGCTTAACATAGTCACGAAGCCAAGGCTGTTTCGAGAGATATGATCTCTGTGTAAGCTTTTTCTTTTTCTTGTCTTTCTCCTAACTTTAATATCTAACGGGAACCGTGTGTCGTATATAATTTCTCTAATATTACCGTTACATTGTTTACTGTAGTCATTTCAAAAAAAAGTTACCGTTTCATATTTTTTAAACAAGAAAAATCCTAAAACCGGAGACTTTGAGTCTTTGACAACTAACCAACCTGGTTACAATAACACGACAAGATTTAAAACATATGCAGATTACTTTAAAAAAACAGAAGTAATTTACATCTTAAGTTTTTTTTACCAAGTTATATTACAAAAAGAACAAATTATGTAACTGATGGTGAAATCATCAAATATATGAGAACCGGTTCTGATTATATACCGGTTTTAGCTCCTCTTTGCGTTTTTAAGATTACGTACTGTCATTACAAGCTGTTGTCTCTCACCTTCAACTTCAGCAAATCTTAGACTTATCTCTGAGTATCTCTCTCTCATCTCCTTCAGCTCCATCTCCATTGATCCATTACATTCTCGTAAAGACTCGATTTCCGCTACAAGAACACGAATCTCTTCTTCATTGTCACTCATCTGTTTCATCATTAGTAGAAAAAAAACAAAAGAAAAGGTAATGAGTTAAGACTTTGTAACGTTCAATGTTGTTTGGTTTGCATGAAAATGTTGTTTCTATGTTGATTTTAACAACCTCTTGGCTATTTTGATCGAGTTGGTCGAGCTTAGTTTCCAGTTCCTCGATTCTGTTCTTCAGATTCTTTTCCTTTTCGATGAACATGTTTGATGAAGATTCAAGAGCAGTTTCCTTCAGTTTGATTTGTCCCTGGATCACAAGTTCATCAAAAGCTTATCATCGACTTGAAGATATAAATACTGTAACGAATATATTGAATGTTTTAGATGCATATATACCTCAAGAAGCTTTATTTTATCTTTCATAACCGCAACTTCTTTAGTAGATCCACCATGAGCTCCTACTAGACTTCCTTTGTTGTTGTTGTTGTTTCTTTGCGCGGTCTTCGTTAAGTTGGTAATCGCGGTTCTGCTTTCTTTAAGCTTCTTCTCGAGATTAGCCATGGCTTCTTCTTTCTTCTTCAACTCACTTTTCACTAGTGCCACTTGCTTCTGGTGCTTCTCCATCTCCAAATCATTCTCTGATAAAGAATGCTTTAGATCATCGCACTGAGCTCTTACGGTTTCTAGCTCTGTTTGTAAGAGTGAAACTGATGTTTCTTTTTCATCCTTTACAAGCTTCACTGCTTGCAACTCCTCTACTAGAGACTCTAACTCTTTCCTCATTAACGAGATCTTGTTCTCTAGCTCTATTTTCTTCATTTTCTCTCTCTGTACTGAAGCCTCGGCTTCCATAACCGATTCTTTCGTCTTTTCCAATTCAGCTCTCAGGTTCTCTGCTTGCTCTGCCTGTAACATTAGGCTACCTTTGTCCTTTTTCATGTTCTCAATCTCTTCCTTCAGAGTTGTGATCTCTTGGTTTAAAGTTGCAGTAACATCTTCTTCATGTCTCTTCTGATTCTCTATATCATTGGATTTCTCATCAAGATTCTCTAACATTTCCTCCATCTGACTTGTTTTCAAACTCAGCTTTTCAGAAAGCTCATGGAGCTTTGCCTCATACTCAGCTTGGTTTGCTCTGAGCTCATCGTTAGCGTTCTTGATCATTTCTTCTAGTTGACGTTTCTGCATTCTTAATTCGTTAGCTTCTGTCATCGCCTTCATAGCCATTTTCTCGTTTGATGTAAACATTGAATCCATCTGCTCAGAGAGTCTCTTGAACTCATCTTGGAGTTTTCCAGCTACACTAGCATTTTTCCACCTCGTCTTTCTTAGAGCTTCTTCGGCTTGGATAGCTCTTTGCTCTTGCTCCACTTTACCTCGCGTGACAGCTTCAATGTCTGCCTCAAATACTTGAGCCTGTTTCTCCATCTCTTCTTCCAAGGTCTCCATTTGTGTTTCAAGTTCTTTAATCCGGGACAAAGACTCCGAAAACTCTTCAGACTGCTTCTTGAGCTCAGATTCAAGACTCTCCACTTGGTTTTCAAGCTCTGTCACATCCACAAGAGAAGATGAACATTCATATTGCATCTTCAACTGTTCTTGCAGTTGGCTCTGCTCTAGCTTGTATGAGATATCATGATTTTCCTGTTTCAGTATCTCATAATCCAAAGCAAGCTGTTCCATCTGTATCTCAAGCTCATCTTTATCACGTTTATAGATCTCAATCTCATTATAGAGATCAGTGATCTTCTGCTCCAAGACGTGTGTATCTTTAGCATCCACATGTTTCTTCACAAGGTCCTCAAGTGCCTTTCCATCCTCATCTTCATCTGTCTCACTTCCACAAGACCTTCTCATCGATTCTTGAATGTTATCAGCTCCTTCCTTAGTCTTTTCCTCCAGCATTTCTTCAAGATCTTGAACAGCAAGAATCAACTCGGAGTTTGATTCTTGCGTCTTCTGGAGCTGTAACCGGAGATTGAAATTCCGATCCTTCTCATAATCAAGTTCCTCTCTTGTTTCCTCCAAAAGAATCCATGGATCTCTTCCTTCAAACTGCAACCTGTTCCTCATTTTACTCTCTCCTTTCGGCTTGTCAGATACTTTATGTCTCTCACAATCTTCCTTCAAAGAATCTCTCTCCTGCTTCAAGCTATTCACTTCCTTGAGAAGATCCTGACTTCTTTTGGTCTCTTTAACAATTTGTTTCCGCAGACTTTGCAGTTCCAGCTCAGAAAGATCTGCTTGCCTCGTCAAACCAGCAAGCTCATTTCTAAGCTTCTCCATCTCGTCCTCATCAGAAGAGTTTCTCGTGGTCTCCCTCGCGGTTGTATCATTTGAACTATTAGTCGAGTCATCGGGATCAGAACTCCCCGACCACTCAGATTCTGATATACGAGGCTCTTCAAACAATTTTTTAGCAGAATTAAGATGCTTAGTTGGATGTCTCAAAGGCTTGGCTACTTCTTCAGGAGTATTAGGCTCAATGACACTTCCAGAGCTTGACATAGTACTATCAGATTCAATGGATGCTCTTCGTCTCAGTTCCGCAAACCGAGCAGCTTTACCAAAAGGACCTTCCTACAAAACCAAAACTCTCTTGCATACATGATACAACCAAACAAAAGAAAGATACATCACATTGTCCTTTTAATCAGCTACTCTAATCTAAGTACCTCATGTGAATCGCTTTTACGAGTTTCATCTGCATCAGCATCACCTATGCTTAAATGTGACTTCAAATCTTGACCATGTGACATTTTCTCCAGAGTCTCACATTCATCCACATCTCTGCAAGAACTCAAAAACACACAAAAAGGCCATTTCCATTAAAAACTCCAAATGTAATAACCAATAGATGAGGAATCTAGTTTTACTGCACCTTTGAGGATCATCAAACTCTAATTGCCTTTGAATAGATACCTAAATAATCACAAGACCAATAATTATCAAAGACTCCGAAGGTTACAAAACTCTAAAAGAAAAAGGACAAAAGAGCTGAGATCCTTAAGAGCTTTAAAGATGAAAACAGGTCTATCAAGACAAAGCATTAAAGAGTAAAAAGACGAAAAGAAAAGAGAAGAAAGAAGAAACTAACATGCAACAAAGCTTTTTTAGAGTTTGAGTTGTGTAATGGAAGAGACACATTGCAAGTTTTAGTTGCATCAACATAATCAGCAAAATCAATTGACGTTTCTCCAACCAAACCACCTCTTGTAGATCCCTTCACAATCAAGAAAAAAATCATAAGTAACAAATATCCAAATCTGTAAGAATCAACCAATCTCTTACATTTCTAGCTATGAACTCACCGTAGTTGATGATACAATGAGATTATAAATCCTCTGATTAACTTTCCCGGTTTTAACATCTTTGAGAAACTTCACAGTCTCGTAAACCGGGATTTCCCACCGGCAATGTCCATCTTTCACTATAGCTTTCTCTGACCTCGCCGTTGGTTTACCAATATCTCCCGGAACAAGAGACAGAACCAATCCCTCTGTATTGAACTGTGACGCCTACGTAAATCAACCAAACAAAGCAAAAATAGCCTCTAATCAAAATAATGATAGAAGATTATTATATCCTCTAACTAGAAAAATGTGTTACATAGATCATATACCAAATTGAGAGTTCTTGATTTTTTTTTCAAAGTATTTCAATAAATTCAAATCTAAGCAATGTAAGCAAAATACAATTTAAGGCTCTGAACTGAGACTTGCCGTCACCTACCATTCTTCATTTTGCACAGTCTTCAATTCATAGCTTTTTTTTTTTTTTCAAGAAACAAAACAAGAAACGAGTTTAGAAGAGTAGTACCTGAGAAGCATGAAACTTCAATCTGAAAACGACTTTGATCCTGTTCTTCTCGCTTCTCCATCTCGCTGACTTAAACATCTCCGTCTCCTCCGTGTATTGATCGCCGGAGAAAAGAAAAAAAAAACAGAGTTACTTACTCAACGTCGCTGCTCAGACCATTCCCTCCCGGAACTAGCCATGACTATTTTATAAGTTCCAATGCAGAGGAAATGAATCCTCCGGGCGAGTTGGCTCAATCGATCGGAGCAAGTTCGAGTCAGGAGTCAGAGAGAAAAGCGAAGAAGACGCGAACGTTAAGCTCGAGCGGTGGATTTTTATATAAATGGGACAAAAGGAAAAAAAAAAGCAAAAGTACAGTAGAGAAGAGATCTAAAGAAGAGAGATGAGATAAATAAAATAAAGTTGGATACGTTTTTTAATAGTAATGTAATTAATTACTAGTCTTTCCTTCAACTAATTAAATATTTTTCTGTATCGTATAGGAAACTCTTTACGTTTCAATTTTTTTTGAGACGTATTAAAATGTACAGTATTATTGCATCTATGAATTAATTTGGTGTTAACACAAAATGCATAATTCATTTATTAGTGTTGGATACTATTACTATGACTAAAATTAGCAGTCAATAAGATTCGGTTAATAGAAGAAGATACAACTTTTAACTTTACATCTCTTCTAAACTTTATCGGAAAACAGAGTTTTTTTTTTGACCAAAAGGAAAACAGAGTTCTTGATTAATTTTCATTGTGAAAAGGAAAATTAGTCCAAAATAATTATTTCGTGAAAAATGTGTGTGGGGCAGCAAAAAGAATTATGAGATAAATTGCAACATATATGATCATGAACAAGACTATGTTATTTATTTATTTTTTGGTAAGGAAGACTATGTTATTTATAGTTGATAAGTTTCAATTTGTAGCAGTACAAAACAAAAAACAATTAGGAAAAAAAAGATGATTTTATAGTATTACAATCTGTATATATTATAGAGAGAACTAGCATATGTTGTAAAATTATGGAAACTAGGCTAAACTCAATTTTTATACATTTTACCCAAAAACTCTTAATTTTATACAACAAAAATATGTTTATATCTAATTTTTTATAATTTTTATAACTAATATTTAGAAATCATCTCCGTACCAAACAAAGTAAAATTCAACATAATATAATGTTAAATAGTTATCTATTTTTAGTAAATTATTTATTCAGATTTTGTCCATTATTACTATTCAAAATATTAAAATTTGGTTTTTTGGACTAGTATTATAATCTAATCTCTGTTAGTGAAAAATATACTAACATAAAAAAATAGACCGACAGATTTGGAAACAAGATCTTAAATAATTAAAAACTTTGTTTTTTGATTAGGGAACAGTGATCGATACGCAACGTAAATTACATGTCTGTCCCCCTTTTGGCGACTAAAAACTCAAACCTATTTATGGGCATTGTAGTCAATAAATGGATTAAACAGCTTATTACAAAGCTTGGTCCCGATAAACCAAAAAAGATTAACATCATTTTCTATAAAGTATCAAACGGTCATGTTTGACGTTGATTTAATTTCTGTTTATTCAGATTTTTTTTTGTGTGTTAATAATACTTTTAACAAAAAAAAAATAGCTGAGATTGAGAAAATGATGTTTTAACCAAATCAAATTGTACATTGCTTAGCAAAAGTTATTTCTCTCAACGAATCACTAAATGGCCTTTTTCTTTACATCAAAGGGAAAATTATGTGGAAACTTAGATAACATTTTTGAGTATTTATTAATTTATCAAATCTCAACGATGTTAATTTTTATTTTTTTTATTATTGCCCAAAACCTTGAAAAACATAAATCGTTTAATATACATGTGATAAATTTTGCTCAAATCATTAGCCATTCAATCAAATTTTTATTAGTAATCAATAATCAATAATAGTATAATGCAAAATTTTGATATGGACCATATGGTAAATAATACATATATATAAAGTGATAAAAACGATAATTGTAATGGTTATGCAACTAAACTGCTCTAAATGTAAATAATGCTTAATCATATAACCATTCATACATACAAAAGATACATTGCACTTAAAAAGCTAATTAGATTAGCCATTTTATACATATATATATATATATATATATATATATTCTATTTCATATACTACTAATTTCTATATCATCAGAACCCTTCTCTCACTCTTTTTCTCTGAAACCTAAATGTAGTTTGATTCAATTCAAAATCATAGATACTATTTAGTCAATTTAGACGTGGGTGTTGGGATATGATGTCGTCTGGACCATCTATCTGATTCAACAACTTAAGAAATCATAATTATTATTAAAAAAAAAAGAGAAAAAAAAAATCATTCTCTCGAAACATATAACATGCTAATTCATTATAAGTTCTGGGACATGCATATATCAAACACCCAGAGAGTTTAATGAATCTGTGTTGTACAGAGAGACCCACCCTTTGGAAATGAATGTTACATTATTAATTATTTTCAACACAAACAAACAGTACATATGTTTTATAATATTTGGTATGTTGTATAGTTTGCTAGCTTATATTATTAAATTAAGCGAGAAAAAAATAAAAAAATCACTTTGGTTTTGTTTTTATCTTTTTGAAATGGTAGGTCCATTGAGATTCTGGAAATTAGAAAAGGTATCCTATGTATTAAACTACTATTAAGTATATGATCTCATTACTAAACTTGTTTTATTATATGTTGTAGAACAAAAATTCTTGAAAATGAGTTTAAGGTATCAGATGTTAGGATCGATAAACCTTATAATTAATTCTTAGTTCTTGCTTTTTCTTTTGCACTATAATGTTATTAATTTAGTCAATTCTCTTGTTAGGAATTAGACGTAACGTATACATGTATCATGTATGCATGCAAATTAGTATGTGTCATGTGTGTGTGTGTATAAAATAACATGTACATGTACGCGTACATCACAAGCAAAAAAACATGTACATATATACAAAACCAAATTGGGTAGCTAGTCTCGTAACAAAATGGTGGTTTTGGTCGAGTGTTGTTTAAATAAAAACTAATAACGATCCGCCTACCATATACGCCAAAGCTAAGGTCCAACCCCTATCATATACCAAACATACATAATACATATGAGAAAACAAAAGAAAGAGAGAACTTTAGTATTAGTGTGTATTGATATAGTAAGAACTTGTGTGATTGCAAAAATGGTTCTTTTAATTAATTGCGGTAGATATAAAGACTAAAGTAATGGTTCGTCTTTGACACATTGGTTTGGTTTGTTCTGGAGGAGCTTACTTGGCTTTGAAAATTAGCCATTGCTTTATCTGTTGTACACACGTGCCACTCATGCGTGCCTACTCAGACATCCCCTTTTTTTCTTTTTCCTCATTTTATTATATTGCTTATACTTTATTTATTTTCCACCTATATTATAAATTAAAACAAAAATATGTGTTCAAAAACCTATTTTTCTTTGCCATTTGAAGCAATGAACCTTCTTGATATTGTTCTTTCAATAATTTTAATTATTTTCACAAAATCTCGATGAAACTTTCAGAGTTGGTTTAATTTGAACCAAATATAAGAAGTGGTCGCCTTGGATAACATCGTCTTCACTATTTTCTCAGCCTCACGAAACGACGTATACTGAAATGTATATACCCGAAGTCATCATGAAAGATTTATATAGTCATGCAAAAGAAGTTTAAAAAAATACTTCAAGCAAATAATATTATCTTACAAGTTTCTAAATTTCAGAATTTCGGTTGACAAAGAAGACAACTAATTTATAAAGAAAATAGTTGTATAAATAATTGTTTAACAAAAAAATTAAGAAGTGTCATGGTGCACAAACCAAAAATTAAGAAATTTCTATAGTTTATAAACAACATAAATGATTTTCTAATCTTGTAAATATACAATTAAAATAGTGAGGCAAAATTATAAAAATTATTCATTACAAGATTAATTCTAATGAAAAGATAATGTATAATGCAGCACTTTACAAATTACATTTATCTTTTCCAACAATGATTTGTTTTGTTTAATGTTAGTCGTAATATTTCTATTTTGATGTTAAATAAAGTCACGTAAGCTGTCACAACCTCCCAACCTAACTTCTCTTCAAGTACAAACACCTCTCTGTAACCTGACATCCTAGTTCACAATTTTTGTTGACGTCACATTTCCTTTTTCTCTTTAAATTACTTATATTTTTAGTTCCCTAGCTAGTAATTACAAAATTTTAGTAACATCTACGTTTAAAAAAAAAAAAAATTCTATAACATTTACGTTTCTTTTGCAGAAAGCATTATACAAGAGAATTTAGTACCAACCAGAGCATTACAGATCGAAAAGTATGCAGTCGAAGTCCATACTCATATAGTAAGTTCTCACAATTATCTTGGTGTAATTAGAACAAAACGTGTATTTACTTTCATTTCCATTAATTTTTACAAAAAAAAAACATTTTATGATTAGTAACTGTCACAACCTGAATTCAAACTCGTATTGTAATGCATATTTGTAGAGTATATTAACTAAAAAAATGATATATCTAAAGCATTGGATTAAGTTAGTTTTTTTAGGTAAACAGATCACACTTAATTTTTTAGCTCCCTGCAGATCTATTTTTCTTTATATGAAAAAAAAAAAATTGATACCACAACAGACATTGATGGCTCTAAATAAAAAGAACAAGAGGCACATGTGTGTGATGGGGTCACATTCCTAAAAATAATACTATTCAGTATTCCCTAGTTAAATTAAGCTCTGACGAAAAATGGGGATGCTGTGTAGAGATGTCGCAGAAGCATTTATAAAATACTACGAATCACAAATCTCTATTTATGAACAAAACTATCAAACCTTAGTTTTTATATATATTTGGAATGTATATTTTGGAGTAATATTAGCGTATTGTATATGTTATCCATACGATCACACACGTCAACGAGCTATCATAATGTTAGATTATTCAATAGATATATAATATATTTGATCCATAAAATTAAGTAAAATCAAACTTAAGTTATTTCTTATCAGAAATAGCATTTAATATATACAAAAAATTAAGTCGTTCTCTCAGTTTAGTTTTGACAAATTTGGAGGGATACATTAATCAAACTAAGAAGTATGAACCAAAGAGATGTGGATGTGTTCTTTATTGGCTATTATTACGCCAAGATGCATATCTGTAATGACTAATGAGTACACTAATACACACATACATATAAATTGCATAATATAATGGAGTACTGAGAATGGTCCTAAACACCTAATCAGTCGTCATGATCTCAACAATAATAATTTTTCATTATCAACTAATAGATACCCTTTATCTTCCTTAAAATCGCCATCATTTTATTTCCTTTTTTGGTTTAGCAAGATTTTTGTACATGCTAATCTAAAACCATGATCAATTTTAAAAGTGATGCATATAGATTGGATATACACACACGTACGTACATTCATATTTTCTAAATAACCTCTATACTGTATATCACACGTACCAAAACTTGTACTCCTACATCATTAGCTTCTTTTCTAGGTTCATGATTACGTGATCATTTTTTTTTGTATATGAACGCATGATTACGTGATCATGCATGCATACTCTCCACTATTTTATAATGAACTTAAGAAGGGACAACACAAGAGAAGAATAAAAGAAGATGTGTTAAGATTTGAGAGTGTAGAGGCTTTAGACTTCATGTATTAATTAGCATATTCACAAGATAAAATGCATGAAAAAAAAAAAAGAGATTAGACAGGAAAAGCAAAAATATAAAGACCAAACTATACATCATACCAAAAAAAAAGAAGACCTAAATTTTATCTTGATAGCTTGAGAAATAAGATAAGTATATATACTCGTTCAAAAAAAACCAAGAAAAAATATTAGTATTCATAAAAGTCTCGTAATTAGAATTTTATTTCTTTTTATGTTCATCTTCCTTTCAGCATGTGATCATACGAGAGAGACCGTTTCGCTTTATAAGGTCATGTGATCAATCAACGTATTAATGTTTATAAAAACAATTGTTTCAATTTCTATTTTATTACATTTTTTGATATAAATATATATATGATGTCAAAAAAAAAATATATTACATAAATAAATTAAAAATCGGGAGGTGTACATCTGATCAATGGAGTGATGCAGATCACAAATATTTTAAATATTAAACATAGTTGGGTTTCATACTCTTTAGTCTATACATACTCAAAGATTCTAAATTTCATAGTAAAAACATAAAATTGAATTAAGATTTCGATCAAGAGAACTGGATAATCAAATTTGGTTTGGCTGTCATAGTCTCTTCGCTGGTCACATGAAAGTGAGTTTCTTTTCTTTTCTTCTTTTAGCTTTTATGCTTTGACAGATTTTGTTTTCACAACGTTCAACATTATCATAGCATTCTTGGCATCTTGGAAAACTAAAGATGTGTAAATCTCATCATTTCGTATCAAAGAAACTAAAAGAAGAAAACGTGGGCACTTTTTTACTTTTGTCTAATAATTTGATAAAGATAAACGCATAACTAGCTAGAGACGGTTCTAATTTATAAGAAAAATAACAAAGAGATCGATGTTAGAAATGGATAAGAAAAGTTTGTTAGTTACCCATCATCTCATAAAAATGTTTGTATATCTAGCTATAAAACATATTCTGGTAACTCCTAAACCACAGCATTGTAACGATAAAAGTAAAAGGTGTATATATTAAAACGCAAAATGTATATTTTTAACTATAGTTAACATATTTATAATATATGGAGGTATTACAAGAAGGACGATTATTTATGTGAGTATATGAGGCTATTATGTAAGCCACTCTTTCACAATTTCATCTAAGTATATTCACAAGTGCCAAGCTAGTTCAAGTGCTAGCTATAGCTATTCGCCTCTTACTAATAAAAACTACATCAACTTAATCGGCTGATCCAAACATTGCAGTTTCGTCGACATTTGCGTTTTACAATACGACTAGGCCAAACCCTTGGATTTGTTCTATGCTGAAAGAAAATAGAACACGAAATTCTCATGAAGTACATCACCGGTGACTCGAAGTTCGTTTTCTGATGGAGAATTTGGCCGGCGAGATGTCTTGTTTCCATTTTGAGGACTTATTTTGGTCTTTTTCCCGGCGATAGAAGCAATAAGTCTTTTCTCCATTCTCCGACGAATGACATACTCTTCTGATATAAACACATCCATATATATGCGTAACACTATATATTATAGTCTATTACTACTAACTTACACTATAGTGTCGAGTCGAGAGTTATGAAAACAAAAGAATGAAGCGTTTGTGGAGGTATATGTTTGGGAAGTGACAGTGTTTTACATTCGCATTTAGCAGTTTACAGTTTCATTATCTTTGTAGTGACTAGACGAGTGGAAGCAAATCTTATGAAGCTATTATATTCATTTCCAAGATGATATACTCTTTAATTCATATTAATGTACTCGTGCTAATTACTGTTTGATTTATACAATTTTTTTTTTTTTAATACAAATTCCATTTTTGTAAGAAAATATTATAATGTAGAAGTTGGTTTTTGGAAGACTATCAATCTGTTTCAGACTACTAAGAAATTCAAACTAAAGTCATTATAATTAGTCATATAGTATTGCATAAACATATAAGTTCTGATAGATAAGTAAAACTAATTTACTTTATTCCATGAACTAATTAACAAGACTATGAAATAAAATTAAAAATTATGGGAATTTCCTTTGGGATTATTTATCATAATGTAAAAAGAATATGGAATGTGATTCTTGTATGTGATTTTTGGTACATCTTTCGGCCTTTTGATTGTAATTGGATGGTCAGTTACCACTTAGAATAATAAATTAAAATTATCTCACCACGTTGATCTTTCATACATATTACTCAAAAAAAAAAAATTTGTTGACCGTTTGATGTGTTTTAGTCCAGTCCGTTTTACACTAAATTACGTAAACTAAGAAATAAAATTATGATCAATTATTTACATACACAGTAACATATATTGTCTTTATAAAATTATATATGGATTCCTAAGATTATTAATTAAATAAATTTTGGTTATGACAAAATATGGGATTTTTTTCTTTCTATTATTTGGTTAATAAAACATAGGATTAGAGCTTACTTACCGTTTTGGTTTCGTTATTGTTACAACACTTAGATTATTTATTTATTTTGAACAGTTCTAAGTCATTTTACTCAATACTTGGAGCTTCCTTTAAGTTCCTTTTTTATCATGTGAATACGTTTAATTAAACTGAATTTGTTTCCTTTCACCTACCATAACCCAAACAGTTAATCGATTTCTTGGAGTGAAAAATATCGATGATATAAACATATTATATATTATATGTATGTAACATATTAGACATATATATATATATATATATATATTAGTAGGATTCGATCGACCATAATTAAAACTCCCACACCCTAACTCGAAGTCATCAAAAGGTAATATCTAGCTACTTTGTTTTTCTTTTGTGTTCTCTTGTAATAATGTGAGTAACTACTTTTTGATTTTTACTAATTAATTAGTTTTCAGTTTTATTAAATCGTCTCTGTAAGAATCTCACAGAAGCACTAAGGAAGAAGAAGGAGAATAAAAACCCTAACATGGGACAAGATAAACAAGTCAAGAAAGATTCTCCATTATATGAACAAAGTGCTACCATTTTGGCTTCAAGTCAAAGTATGTTTCTGTGTAATAAGTATATTTATACAGCATAGTAATTTTTTTTTCTTGTTTCTAAAATCTTGTGAACAAGTAAACATGAAAAGCGTCGTGACTTTATCTAATGTTTATACATATAATTCGTTAATATCACGATTATAATAATGTTATGGAATTGGATTGACACATATGAATTGGATTTTATAGCATTTTGCAATTTATTTTGTATATATGTAGATGAAAAACTTGTTGAGATAGAGAAAGACAAGAGACTTGCGTTGATAGATGCGTGGGAAGAGAACGAGAAGGCAAAAGCTCAAACCAAGTAAGATATACCAAATTACTCAATCTATATAATCCATACGTAGTAATCATTGAGGTTACAATCATAATGATTTACATTTGTTTTGCATTCAATGTAAACAGGGCTTACAAAGAACTTTGCTCAATTGAAGCATGGGAGAACAACATGAAGACAGCTCTAGAGTTAGATTTGAAGAAAATGGAGGTATATTGAGAATGTTAATTAGAGCATAGTATTAGACAAATCCTTAAAGCCTAAACATGAAACTTTACATTTACACCTTGTTACTTACGCCGATACACCACAATTTATCATGATGGTTTTGAAATGTTTATTTTTTTTGTCTATAAATTTAACCTTTTATCAGGAGAATTTGGAGGTGGAGAAAGCTGAATATTCAAAAAAATACAAGAAAAAAATACCAGAAATTGAGAAGATTGCAGAAGCTAAAAGAGAGAAAATAGAGAAACAAAAGGAGCAAGAATCTATCAAAGTTGAAAAAATGAGTGAGAAGCTAATTGCAACTCCAAGTGCCTATCCACCTAATTCCAAAACCTGTGGATGTTTCTAAATACATTCCTTTCATGGGTCAATTCTCGGCCCATTAAATCATTATATTGGGCTTTCCTTGTTAATGTAATGAACAAGAAAATGTATATATCATCCAAACTGAATAATGAAAAATGTAAAGTTTTCGACCAACCAATCAATGTATCATTCATGTGTGTAATATGACTATGATTCATGCATCAGGTTTGGTGGCATCAAACTGGGTCGGGTTTATATTCGGGCTAACGGGTTGACCCAACTGCCCATTTTTGAGTTTTTTCTTTTTTCTTTTTTCTTCTCTTCTTCAGTGCTCTCTCACCTAACACACAGATTCTTCTCTACCATAGTCGTCGTTGAAATCAGAGAAGATGGTGGGTGTGTCACCGAAGATCGCTCCGTCGATGTTGTCATCGGACTTTGCTAATCTTGCGGCGGAGGCTAAACGGATGATCGATTTGGGCGCCAATTGGCTTCACATGGACATTATGGTAACCACCTTCATTGCTTCCTTACTCCCAAATCTGAAATTTTGAATTCACTCAATAAGTTTTACTGACTTGGTGATTTAAAAGCTGCACCTTTGATATTATAAAGTTCCAAGAATTATGATTTGTTAGAACAAAAAGGAGAGAATTTGATTCTCAATCACTATGCCGCATATTGTCTTCACTCTCGGATCTTGAGTTAATTTTCATATTATGTTATTGGATACACAAAAGATGATGTGGTCAACTTCATCTGTTGTTGAATGTTGTGAAATTATAATCTGAAACTTGTATCTCTGCTGTCTGCTTTTAGTATGAAACAACCAAGAAGCTGAGTTTTGTTGTTGTTCTGGACTAGTGGACTTCTATGCTTACACAACCTTTGCTTGTTTCATACTAATGCTTACCATGTTACTTTCATTTTCAGGACGGGTAAATTTTATTGCTTTAGCTGTGTTTTTTTCTACTCTTGTATGGATTATGACTTATGATGAGCATCCAGCCGGTATAATTCTGTGTTACTCGAGCAGGCACTTTGTTCCGAATTTAACGATTGGTGCTCCTGTCATCGAGAGTTTGAGAAAGCACACAAAGTAATTCACTACATCCCTTGGATTGAAATAACTCATTAGTTCAAGTGAGAGAACTGATGTCCTTGAAAACGTTATCATTTCTTTTTATCACAGTGCATATCTTGATTGCCACTTGATGGTGACGAACCCCATGGATTACGTGGAACAGATGGGTAAAGCTGGGGCGTCTGGTTTTACATTCCACATTGAGGTGGCCCAAGGTATACTATATATAGCTATTTCTCTCACCATCCTGTGATTTCGTCTCATCCTTGTGATCTTGACTTGTTTTATTTGTTTATTTTAGACAATTGGCAAGAGCTTGTGAGGAAGATTAAGTCTGCTGGGATGAGGCCAGGTGTGGCTCTAAAGCCTGGAACACCTGTTGAACAAGTCTTTCCTCTGGTATTGAAATTTTAAATCCTCTGTTTGACCAGAGTGCGATCGGGTTATCATGGCTTGACTGACCTATTGATGACAGGTTGAAGGAGCAACTCCAGTTGAAATGGTTCTTGTAATGACTGTGGAGCCTGGATTTGGAGGCCAGAAGTTCATGCCCACCATGATGGACAAGGTAACTCCTTTTAAAAATATTTAAACTCTGGAGATGTGAATGCCATTTGCTAATCGAAATCCCATCCTAACCTCAGTTGTGATATTCTTGGTTCAGGTCCAGGCATTGAGGCAGAAGTACCCAACACTTGATATTGAGGTAGATGGCGGCTTAGGCCCTTCGACAATTGATGCAGCGGCTGCAGCCGGGGCCAACTGTATCGTTGCTGGAAGTTCAGTGTTCGGTGCTCCAGAGCCAGGGAATGTCATATCCCTTCTGCGTGCAAGTGTTGAGAAAGCCTCACTGACCACTTGAGTGGAGATGCCTGTTTCTAAGTGTTATTTCATAATCTTGATGATGTAGTCTTGGTTTTTGTTACAAATCAGTTTTGCGTAATTAATAATACCCTCACTGCTTCATACACAAATCTTTTTCTGGTCTTTGAAGTTTTATCTTAAGATTGCTCCTCGTAGCCACTAGCCATCACCGTATCTTGATTTTAGAGGAAAATGAAAATACTAAACCGGGTTGGACCAGTTGAATTAGATTGATCTCGCGGGCGAGCCAACAAATTTATCGGTTTAGTAATAGAATTCACGGTCGGTTTACTAAAGCGAAAAACCCTAAACCAAAGAGATTCGTCTTCTCTGCAAAATCGACCATTTCGTTTTCTCGGAATCGATCACATCTTCTCTTCTTCAATCCCACTCTCCTGGTTTGAACTTTTTCAGGTATTAAGTTCAGTTTGTGAATATGGGTTTTATCTTCTCGTTGTAGTTGAGCTTGTGGTATCATTGGTTTGATGGAACCCGTCTAATTAAATCGCGTTTTTGTAATCACCTCTGAGCTTTTTGGATCCAGTTCTCTCGTTATACTTATTAGTTTTGTAAATTTTACGGACTGGTCTCTACCTATATGATCTGCAACTCAAGTTTTGATCTTAGAATCTCTACCACTCGGATTCATGTGTTCTTCGCCACTGCATTGGCTAACTATATATGTGGTGATCTTAGTAAAAATCGTGTTTTTTCATTACTAGTTATTACTTAGACCAACAAATTATTTATTCTTCTTCTTCAGTTATTACATAGATACGTATGAGAAGTCAATGTTCTGTGATGATCAGTCCTGTATCTGACCTTAAAAGCTACATTATTCATAAAGCTTTTGTTCATAGATTTGCACACTCTTAATGGCTGCTGCTCTGCTTCTTTAGACATTGATTTATCACTTAATCCTCTATGATAGAATCTGTTTCTGTATTTATTCTATACATAGATTTACTCATCCGCTTTAATGGCTACATTTTCTTCAGATACGGGGGTGAGTATCATCTCCCAACAATGTCTATCCGGAGGCCACAAATCCCTCGGCTTCTTCTTCAAAACGTTTCCTGTATGAGAAACGCACAGCAGATTCTAAGACATGTGAATGTATCTCTTCATGACGGTGGTGCACTTGTCTTAACTGGAACCAACGGATCTGGTAAATCAACGTTCTTGAGAATGTTAGCTGGATTCTCAAAGCCTTCTGCTGGAGAAATCCTTTGGAACGGTCACGACATCACGCAGTCGGGAATCTTCCAACAGTACAAACTCCAACTCAATTGGATCTCTTTAAAAGACGCCATCAAAGAGAGATTCACGGTACTCGACAATGTCCAATGGTTTGAGCTTCTCGAGAACAAAATCGGCAAAGCACAACCCGCATTGGAGCTAATGGGTTTAGGGAGACTGGTTAAAGAGAAATCGAGAATGTTGTCCATGGGTCAGAGGAAAAGGTTGCAACTTGCGAGGCTCCTCGCTATAGACAGACCGATTTGGCTTTTGGACGAACCATCTGTTGCTTTGGATGATGAAGGAGTTAGATTGCTCGAGTATATCATTGCAGAGCATAGGAAAAAAGGAGGGATCGTGATCGTCGCAACTCATCTTCCGATCGACATTGAAGATGCTATGATCTTGAGGCTTCCTCCTAGGTTTCCAAGGAAAATGACTTTGATTGATATGCTTGATCGTGCTGACATTTCTTAGTAGAAGAATCAAAGAGAGTTAATATTTGGGATTGTTTTGTTTTGTGCCTTGTGTAATGGAATGTTATAGTATTGTCAAATCAAATTTGGTTAAATTTGTAGATCTAAGTAAAGTCCAAGTTTATCTGAATGGATTAATTAGGAAATCTCCATAAACCTATATTGAAGTTGAATAACGTAACTACTGTATAAGTTTTGGAAAGACAAATAAATATTTTGTCTCTGGTCAAACAGACAAATAAATCTATGCTCTGTAAAAGTAATACACATTCTAATTATAAAAAACTGCTGCAGATTAAAGAACCAATAATACAACTTTATGAAAAGAATGAAACAGCAAATAGCGGTCGCTCTTTAGGATTTGGCACGACTCAAACGTATACGCTTGTACATTGATCTATATTGTTCTTATTCCTATGTCGTGTCGTGTCTGTTCTTAAACCCCATCCATCGATAACTGAAACTAAGCATGAGCTGTTTTTTTCTATACTGACGAAAATACCCTCAAGTCATTTTCGTTCTTCAGTTCTTCTTCCTTTTTGATTAAGAGACCCCATGAGAAGTTTAAATTATCACTGACCCAATTGTTTTTCTTGCAACCTATAGCAGAGAACCAAAAGTTTGGATCTTTCTTCTTTCAATTTGTGTCTTTCTTTATTTCTTTTGGAGGGGTTTTTCAAAAGCTAGAATCTTGAAAAAAAATGGGTATGGGCACAAGCACTTTCGTTATCAGATGGGTCAATCTTCTTACAATGGTGAGCTTAAATCTCTTCTTCTTCTTCTTCTTCTTTACTTAGTTTATGATCCTCATTTGGTTGTCTTCAATGGATTTGGTTTCTCGAATTAAATTCAGGGTTTCCGTACCAGTTATAGGTTATGATGCTCTGTCTAGTTATTCTTAGTGAAATTATAATCTTTTGAGTTATGAAAATATAAAAGCTTAGAACTTTTACTCTTGCCGTTTCTACAACTTTATATAGTAATGTCTGTGTATTATATTTCTGGTGAAGCTATTGGCTGTGGCAGTGATTATATTTGGGGTGTGGATGAGTACACACAATGATGGATGCAGAAGGTCACTTACATTTCCAGTCATAGCTCTTGGTGGTTTCATTTTCTTGATGTGAGTTTAAACTACTTTCAAAATTGATACAACACACGAATGGTTTTTGCATATTGTTCATGAAAATGTCTATTACCTGATGATTTTTACAGATCCATAATCGGATTTCTTGGCGCGTGCAAGAAAAGTGTGGCACTTCTTTGGATTGTATCCTTCACACTTACCATATCTGTTTTCTATTTGTTTTGTTGGAAAATTTTGATTTGGAACTTCCTTGATATGATGATTCTCCTTTGAAGTATCTTGTAGTGCTCCTGATCGTTTTGATCGCGATTCTTGTCTTTACCGTATTAGCGTAAGTCTCATTTTCCCAAGAGTTACTTAAGAAAGCTCAGATTGTTGACGACCTTCTCTAAGAATTCTCATTTGTGGAATTTTGTAGGTTCATTGTAACAAACAATGGGTCCGGGCATAGTAACCCTGGTTTAAGGTAAGTGTAACTTATTCCTCCATGGTCACATTATGTGACTCACATACATATCTTGATGTATAAATCTTGAACCGTTCTGTCTCTAATTAGGTACAAGGAGTATAAGCTGAATGATTACAGCTCATGGTTTCTAAAACAGGTATCTTATTACATTGTGGCAAGAAAGTATCATTCAAACAAGAATGTTTACTTCTTTTTGCGTCTAACACTCGTCGATGTTTCAGCTTAACAATACCAATAACTGGAAAAGACTAAAGAGTTGTCTTGTTAAATCCGAACAATGTAGGAAACTTTCCAAGAAATATAAGGTCTAGTACCTTTCCACCAACAAAATGCTTTATATTACTGCATTTTCGACCCGGATAATCTTTAAACTGTTCTTTATTTTTGTATTGTTTCAGACTATCAAACAATTGAAATCCGCAGAATTAACCCCGATAGAAGCTGGCTGCTGTCGACCACCATCTGAGTATACATATGCCTCTTCTTGTAATTTCGATGTTTTATTTCTCTTGGATTCACTGCCAAAATAGTAACTTGTTTCAATGTTTTATTTTGTTGCATAAGGTGTGGTTATCCTTCGGTGAATGCTTCCTACTATGACTTGACCTTTCATTCGATAAGTTCTAACAAAGATTGTAAGCTTTACAAGAATTTGAGGACCATCAAGTGCTACAATTGTGATTCTTGCAAGTAGAGATATCAACTTCCCCCTTAATGCTGTTTTTGATACAACTGTCTCATTCATTATCAGATGAGACTAATATTCTTTTCATTTGATTAATAAACCGCAGAGCTGGAGTAGCTCAGTACATGAAAACCGAGTGGCGACTTGTCGCGATCTTCAATGTGGTTCTGTTTGTTGTCTTGGTAAGATCTTATTAACATACAGAAACGCTCTCTTTTTAGAATACAAGTTTACCACATAATCTTTACTTTTGTGGATATTGAATTGTTCTTGTGAGAACTGATTCATTTGTTTTCTTTGTTTGAAACACACAACACAGTCAATGGTTTACTTTGTCGGATGCTGCGCGAGAAGGAATGCTTCTAGTTACCGATCCAAAGCTTAGAATTCGAAGCCCCTGCTTACAAAGATTACTTCACTGGATTTTCCCAAGTTGCAGAAGAATCCCACTCTATTTTTATGTGTTGGTAAAAGCTTCCAAGAGAGATACAAGAACAACAACTTCTCGTCATTCCTTTCTACTCTGTAATCCACATGAGTTGTAGAAACAGAAGAAATTATTTAAAACAGAGCAAATGTGATGAGAATTTTACCAAATTCAGCTCTTTTCTTCTCTTTTCATCAAACAGACATAACTAGGAAAAATAACAAAATCTGAGCTTTAAACCGGAGTTTAATTTTGGTTTAATACCCGGTTTTAGTTACATACCGAGATTTTATAAACATCAGACCGGATATATCCATCAGTGAAGCGTTTTGGATTACTGCCTTAAACCCTAAAACCTTTGGGAAGAATAATAATTCACATTTCCTCTGCAAAAAGAGTCACCGGAAAATGTACTCGTTAATTCTCCGGGAACGGTCTGGATCCTTCACAGGTTCATTATGGAACCGAATCTTCACACGAGACATGGGTGGTGGTCCGAGAACTTTCCCCGGAGGACTCAACAAGTGGCAATGGAAACGTATGCACGAGAAGAAAGCTAGAGAGAAAGAGAACAAGCTCTTGGATCAAGAGAAGCAGCTTTACGAAGCACGGATTCGTACCGAGATACGAGCTAAAATGTGGGGTAATCCCGATTCCGGCGAGAAAACGAAGAAATCGAGTCAGAGTCACGGACCAATGAGTCCGAAAGAACATATCAAAACTTTGGCTGATCGGTTTGTAAAAGCTGGAGCAGAGGATTTGTGGAATGAATATGATGGGCCGGTGAAGAAATTGGATGAAGGGTCGAGATTATCTCGTAGTGATAATGGACGATCAGGTTCGAATTCGATTGATTCTTCTTTTAATTCGCCAATTGATCTGAGGAAGTTAGTTTCTAGGACATGTGATTCAATGGATAGTAGTCGGGTTTTCGATCGTAGTAGGAGAGGTTTTTCGTCTATGAGTAGAGGTAGGTTTAAGAGAAATGAGAGTTCTTGTGATGAAGGAGATGGCTTTGATGCTAAAAAGTTAGATACTTTGAGTCCTTTTTCTCCTAAATTTGCGGGTTCCAAGGAGAAAGTGAAGAGCTCGAGGAGTGTTGATGGAGTTATAAGGAACAAAGGTTTGTTTGGTCGGAGGAAGTTCAGGAAGAATGATAGTTCAACTGAAGAGGATTCCGAGGAAGAAGGTGAAGAGGGAAAGATGATAGGCTGGATGGATTTGAGGAAGACAGGAAGCAGTGCGTCGTTAGGAAACCACGATATCAAATTGACGAAAAGAGTGAATCGTAATGTCACGGACGAAGATCTATATCCTCCGTTAGATATTAATACAGTCAGAGAAGATCTCAGTAGAAGAAAATCTGTGGATAATGTAATGGAGGTGAGCCGGGAGCCTCATGACTCGATTTACAGTGGGAAAAGGTATGCTAAATCCGTTGCCTAGTAAGGATTTTGATTTGTCAATTCTGGATTTTGATGTGTTTTACTTCCTTTTTGTATGGTTGCAGATTTGATGAGTCTAGTATATCCCCTTTGACTTTAAAGGCGCTTTCCGCGTCTGGCATTGTTAATATGACTAGAGTACAATATGCCACTCTTTCTGAGTGCCTCGATGGTAAGTATCCTTCTTGTTCCTTTCTTACCCCTGTTCTTTCTGATTGCTCTGCTTTGGTTTGAGTTTCTTCTTTTGTATCAAAGAATTGGCATTTGACAAAAGATGATCCTTTATGTAAAGCAGGTAAAGATGCTTTAGTGAAAGCCAAAACCGGGACAGGGAAAAGCATGGCCTTTTTGGTATTTTACAATCCCTTACCCCAATATAACTGGCCTTAGCTTTTGTTGATTCTTTAGATAACGCTGTTAAAATTGAAAAACAGCTTCCTGCAATTGAAACAGTTCTGAAAGCTACGAACAATGGTAAAAGTGTTCACAAAGTTCCTCCAATATTTGCTCTGATCCTCTGTCCCACAAGAGAACTTGCGAGCCAGATTGCTGCAGAGGGCAAGGCTCTGCTCAAATACCACGACAACATCGGTGTTCAGACTCTAATTGGAGGTACCCGCTTCAAACTTGATCAGCAACGCTTAGAAGCCGAGCCATGCCAGGTTTGACCAACAGTGATTATTCTTTGTTTCACAGGAATTGTTTCTATTTCTAGTTGTTTTGGTGAACTTTTTCTCTCCGCACTTTGTTGCAGATACTAATTGCGACTCCAGGAAGACTCTTGGATCATATAGAGAATAAGTCTGGCTTAACGTCACGTTTGATGGCGCTTAAATTGTTTATAGTTGACGAGGCTGATCTTTTGCTAGACCTAGGATTCAGGAGAGATGTCGAAAAAATCATAGATTGTTTGCCTCGTCAAAGACAATCTCTTCTCTTTTCTGCAACCATCCCAAAAGAGGTATAATTTGCTATATAACTAACTTCATTTCTGTTACATTTACGAAAAAATCCAATGCGAAAACACAGCTTAAAGTTGGGTTACTTCAGGTTCGTCGAGTCTCGCAGCTTGTCTTGAAAAGGGATCACTCTTATATCGACACAATTGGTCTTGGTTGTGTAGAGACTCACGATAAGGTAAAAACTTAAGCTCTTCTTTATGTCTCAAAAGCTTGTTACTTGAATCTGGTTAGCGAATTTCTTGCTTTGGTTTCAGGTGAAGCAATCTTGTATTGTTGCTCCACACGAATCCCATTTCCACTTAGTACCTCATCTATTAAAAGAGCACATCAGCAACACGGCTGATTATAAGGTAAAACAAGCCTTGTGAATATATAAGCGTTTTCTTCTCTTATTTTAATAATTCTTGTAGCTATCCAACTTCAGATAATAGTCTTCTGCTCCACTGGTATGGTAACATCACTGATGTATACTCTGCTCCGGGAAATGAAATTGAACGTTAGGGAGATTCATGCTAGAAAACCTCAGCTCCATAGAACACGTGTATCAGATGAGTTTAAGGAAGCGAAAAGAATGATTCTTGTCACATCTGATGTATCTGCTCGCGGAATGAACTATCCCGATGTTACATTGGTTATACAGGTAAAGCACAAAAACAAACCTTTTTCATACCTTTAAGGACAACCATTTATGGATATTTGACAGATTGGACTTGGTACTATGTTGTTGATAAGGTGGGTATACCAAGTGATAGAGAACAATATATACATCGGCTTGGTAGAACCGGGAGAGAAGGCAAAAGTGGCGAAGGATTGCTTTTGATAGCGCCATGGGAGAGATATTTTCTTGATGAACTTAAAGATTTGCCTCTTGAACCGATTCCAGTTCCGGATCTTGATTCAAGAGCTAAACTTCAGGTGTGTTTGAATTTAATTGTTATATACCCATAACTGGAGTTTTGAGTTTTATTGCCAACTGACATTGAGGACTACTATTGAATGACCAGGTTGATCAGTCAATGGCCAAGATTGATACAAGTATTAAAGAAGCAGCGTACCATGCTTGGCTCGGGTATTACAACTCGGTTAGAGAAACTGGTAGAGACAAAACCACGCTGGCCGAGTTAGCTAACCGGTTTTGCCATTCTATCGGTTTAGAGAAACCTCCTGCCTTATTTCGAAGAACCGCGGTTAAGATGGGTCTCAAAGGAATTTCTGGTATTCCAATCCGAAAATAAACCGACATGGGTTGGTGATTTTGATGTATCCTCGTTAAGAAAAAGAGAAATGTATCAACACACACTTATGGTCAAGTAATATTATAATTAGTTTCAAGGGTTAATCAAATTTTGTTATTTTTAGACTTGTAGGAAAATTTTCAAAAAAGTATAACGGTAAAAAAAAACTTGATCAACTGAAGAATATGTTTTACTAAAATTTTAAAATTTAGTCAAAAATCCAAAAAATAACTTCAAAAAACAAACAAACTTAAGTGTTAAATTTGCATTACATGAAAACATGTTAAACTTCCAACACCTCTAACAAACCATAGGATATGGACCGGATGCGAAATCTATTTTGTTTTCACGTTTTTAAAATTCAACACTTAAATTTAGTTTTTAGAAAAAAATATTGTATATCATAAAATAAAATTTAGTGAAGTGAAAAATGTTTACAAAATTTATTATTTGTGAAAACCCTCAATATTGAAGATGTGAAAGTAAAAGAAGTAAAGAACCTTGATTAAAAAAAATATATGTTTTGATAAAATTTTAAAATTTAGTCAAAAATCCAAAAAAAAATAACTTAAAAAAAACAAACTTAAGTATTAAATTTGCATTACATGAAAACATGTTAAACTTCTAACACTTCTAACAAACCATAGGAAATCCTATGGACGGGATGCGAAATCTGGTTTGTCTTCACGTTTTTAAAATCGAACACTTAAGTTTATTCTTTTTTAAAACAAATCATATATCATAAAATAAAACTTAGTGAAGGGAAAAATGTTTACAAAATTTATTATTTGTGAAAACCCTCAATTTTTAAAACATTTGATTTATTGAAGATGTGAAAATAAAAGAAGTAAAGAACCTTGGTTAAACAAAAAAAAAAAAAGGGGATGCGGTAAAATTAAGGAGAGTATCGTTCCGAAGTTACCTCGAGACACGACTAAGAAAAAAACCGGAACCGTGCCGTCAACGTAATTGATCAAGAAGACCTTTTGTGTCTTCTTCATCCAATCTGAAGCCACCGAACCGGAAAAATAAAAAAAGAAGACTCTTTAAGCCAAAACAGAGCAACGATCACGACTTGGTGGTATGAATGAACCCTACCTTACCTAAGAGGCTAAGACCTCAACAGATTTGAATTAAACATACAACGAAAGAGAGATACATAACCTGAGAACATCGGTCTGAGATTGGAGATTAACGTAGCCGTGAAGCCCAAGGGTTTCTTCAAAAAACAGAGCAGATCTCATTACTCGGTGATTATCAGATCAACGACTTTTCCTATAGCTGAGGCCTGAGAGTTCCCACAACGCCATCAATTTCATCTACGTCTCCGTCTCCGTCACCGGACCTTCTTCACTCCGACGATCCGATTCATTAGAACAAAACCACCATTGTAAGAGATTCTCGGAAGTAACCACCGATCGATTAAGAAATAGGTTTTTTTCTTTTCTTACAGAATGGATTTACATAAAAGTAAAGAGGATTCTAGGGTTTGATTTATTAATGAAGAAGCAAAGTGTATATAAAGAGTATGTGAGTTTAGATTGTAAAACAAAATATTACCGTTACATTACATTTTTAATTTTTTTCTTTCTCTTTACTGTTAAGAATGTTACCGTTGCATACAACGTTCAATTTCGAAAACTATTTCACATATGTGTATTTAAATAGAAGACTGGAGGGAAAGAAATAAAGAGAGTTCGTTTAATTAATAGTTGTATATATTTCAAATAATAACATCAATTTCTTGAGGAGAAAGCAATGTCACTATGACTCATGGTCTCATCTCACAACTCACAAAGCAACGTTCCAAAACAGCATGAGAGCTATACCACAACAGCAATATTTAACTTGTTCGTCTGCGTTTTTGTTTACAAAGAGCATCTCAAATTTTCAATTACTTAAACCTAACATATCCTTGATCATATGTTTTTGTTTTTGTTTACAAAGAGCATCCAAACTTCTGATCCATAATCTTAAGTCGAAAATCAAAAATATCTTATACAGTATAGTGTTTATATATTTCTCGCGGTCAAACAACGTATATAGAAAAAAATTGTTTTTATATTATCATAAATAATTCACAATCATACAAAATCACTACTATACGGTTACTATATATATGTAGATAGGAATTATATTTTTCAAAACATTAGACCGCTGCCATATGTATACGTATCGTATGATCTGTATCCATTGAGCTGTGCATTTTATTATAAAACTGATCAAGAGTTATATTATCGTTGACGCATGACAAAACGTCAGATATATATAATCCTCGACGTGGCCTGATCCAAAGGGCTTACAAATTCTAAGAAACACACTTTGAAATATCTTAAATCGCGAATTTGTATTATTATATTACATGCCATGTACGTGTCAATTTCTATTTTATTTTTACACGCTATGACACTTTACAAATTCCAAACAAGAATTATATATACAAATTATGAGTTTATTAGGTTTCCGAAGATATGTTGGTCTAGCGGAAACAATTTAAGGGCCATATTTGCATGGTAAGAAAATATTAGGAAATTGTGCCTGAAATTATCAATATATTTATAAAACCTGTGTTTTTTCTTGCAAAAAATAATGTGGCTGACTTTCTACTTTTAACAAAAAAAATAATATACATATTGGTTTAGTTGGGGAAATCAATAACAAATTAACAATTGTCTGTATCTATAAGTATATTATATGTTAAACGCGTAAATAATTAGATGTCAATTGATATAAATAACTATTTCGAGGAGCCAAACAAAAAATAGTTATAGTAAATTTATTTGAAAGTCAACGGTGTGTGATCAACGAATCGACGGATCGGAGAGACCCAAGCGAGCACTCCACCCGTTTGGGATTACAATACTAGCCTTTGCTCGAATCAAGTTCTTCTAGCTCATTTGTGTTGTGTACTTCGGTTTCTTAATTTACCCAAACGACAAAACGTGCTCCACGATAAAGGTGAGGCTCTAATATAGTAAAGAGGAAAGATCAAACTCTTTACAATTTTTCAAGTTTTATTTTACGAAATGACAACTCTAAAACTAAAACACCTCACCTACAAAAAAAAGTTACTAATCATAGAAAGAAATGAACACTTGTATAATACGTTTGAACTCTTTTTTTAGAGTCAAAGGAGAGGATAGATTCGTCTTTTCGATGAGATAAAATTACCAATATTTAATTGACTTGAGAGGATTTTTCATTTGTTTCCTTGTCATACAAGTCCATGTCACGATCCCGTAATTAATATAAATCTTTAAACCTGCTTATTATATAACTCATCGACATCATCAATCAACACAAGACTTGTCAAGAAACCACAAAACAAGAACTCTTACGGAGAGAAAAACAAAACAATGAAAATGTTGAGCCAAAGATTATCGTTTCTAATCGTCATGATCTTCATATTGTCCGGTCTCGGTTTCTCTTCTGCCGGCCGTAAGTTCCCTAGTATGACTACGATCGAGGAGTTCCAACGATTGAGTTTTGAAGACAAAAGAAAGTTATCGGAGGTGAGCGCCGCCGAGAGGAAGAAGTATGATCGGATCTACGGAGCTTCGGCCAGATTAGTTCCCAAAGGTCCCAACCCGCTTCACAACAAATGATATTATACTTTCTAGTTTCTATATTTATTGTAGTTACATTTTTTTTTGTCACCATCATACTATATTAAATTTGTTTTATTTAGATTTGTTTCCCTCTTGTGTCAACAATTTTTTTTTTTTTTTGGTTCTTTAGTTTCTTGTGTGTTGTAGATGTACAAATGTATGTATCATAGATATACGTAATATAGACTTTTTGTAACGTTTTTTTCTTCTTTCATATTTACATTTATGTATACGATGTTGTTGAAAATATGTATCAAATGATTCTCTTGTTATATTGATTTGAATGGAAAGCTGAGGTCATATTATATTTGTTATTATAATCAAGGGATGTGATTATTAACAAGTTTTCCATGTTACTAGTTTTGATAGAGTTAATATTTTATTCAAATCAGACCATATACATATTTATGCAGTTTTGGTTCCTAACGAGACATGATCTATAAGTTTATTTTTTCGTATGTTGCTATGAGTCTATGGACGAATTTTTTTTTTTTTTTTAATAAGTAAGACGCATTAAGTTTGGAATATGCTTCCAATTGAACTTGTCTTTAATTCCAAATGAATCGATCGGTCGGTCAACAATGAACATGTATATGCAAAACAATAATCAAGTCATCCATTGAACAAACAAACGATATAATATATGTATAAGTCAAGATCTATGTATCTTGTAAAAACAATTCTTGTTTTACAATAAGAAAGTGACAATAATTATGAGTTTTGCGAGTCAACAAAATGGGTAGACACTAGACACGGCACGGCAATGCATTTGACCATATTTTATATTCAATACATTCTACTTATAAACAATGCATACTTCAAAAAGGTTTAATATAAACACATCTCCACATAAAATTGACTAATCAAGATCAGAAAATTTACATATTTCATATACATTAATATTATTTTTTAATAAAAGCTCGAGCTAGTGTGAAAGAGTTCAAACAAAGATCAACGCAATCATAATCAAGAGGAAGATGAATAATTTTGACAATTATTATGTTCCTGTTTCTTTGAAAAGCAGATTTTAATTAACTTTAAAGATAATTTACATAAATATTCAACTGATGCAATCAAAAACATCAATAAGAATATAAATTATTCAACTTAACAAGCTAACAATGTTTGATACCAAAACTACCATATAAATTTTTTCTTTTTCTTGATAGTCAATAAATTTTTTTATTTTTTGTTAAGCTTGTGAGCTGTGACCTTTATAGTTTAAATCCAAAGCTTTGGGGTTAATGTGGATAATAAAACATTATATAAGGATTAAGATGCAAAGCTTTTCAGATATTACCGTCACGTGTCTCTTCGTCGATATTTTAGCACTTGAGTTTTGACTTCTTCTGTCGGTCTCAGATACACACAGTGACACTCACCGGGTCACCGGAAAAAAAATTAACCTCTGTTCTCACCGGAAAATGTCACGTCAGCTTCCACCAACTATTACGGCGGACGCCACGCCGGATTGGCTTCCCGTCGGTTGGATTGTTCACTCTACAGTTCTAAGACGCGGTCGCCAAACTAAGGTATTCCTACTACTCATAAATGCTCTCTCTAAATGTTGAGCCTTTTTGTGTGTTCTGTTCTTTCTTCTCTTAATTCACACTGATTCTTAGCTTTTTTGATGCGAAAGTTTTGATTTTTCCAGTGTTTTGATCACAATGCAGACTTGAGTCTTTAAGTTCCCTGTGAACACTTGTGACCTTAAATTGTGAACATTTACGAAATATTCAACACCATTTCTGAGAAAGCTGACTTCAAATTTGAGAGCTTTTATGAAAATTTCGTCATTAGATTGAGAAAAGAGCGATCTTTGATTTAGAAAGTTTATGAAAAACTCGACCTTTAAGTGAAGATGTAATTGGATTGTTTGCATGGTGATGAAAACTTACACAATGCTTTTACTTGAATTTTGTAGACTTACACGCAATTGAGAACAGGGAAGAAGTTGTCTACCAAGGATCAAGTTCTTGAGTACATTAGAATGGAGAAAATTCGAGAGAAAAGAGAAACCGTAATCGAGAGAAAGAAAGCAAATGTATGATGAGTTGTCTCTACCAAAGTTTCATGTACGCTTGCAAGTTCTTTGTTCTGTTTATGTAATGTTTGTTTCTGTTGTTGCAGTTAAAAGCTTTACAAGATATAGAGACTGCAATGGAAAGGCCTCCGTGGCTTCGAGATGAAAGGGAAGCAGAGTGGGGGATTGGTTCTGTTAGTGGAAATCCATACAAGGTATTAACTGACTTAATCATTTGCGCATTCGTTTCTTATTGAGAGTGAAAGATTTGTTCTTTTCTTTTAGATGAATGTGAATACACCAAATGAGACAGTGCCATTGGATGAGAACTCTATGGAATGTGAAGAGTCATCAGGTGAAGAATACAACGAAACCGGGTGTAATGAAATTGTAAGATGCATGATTTTGTTTGAATGTTAGAATCTTGGAAAGAGGTTGTAGAAGCTGGTTTGATACAATTTTGGTTTCATTTTTTAATGTTTTACAAGACGTATGTATTTGATGAGAATGAAGAAGATCTCTCAGAGGGTGATTATGGCGAAAATGTGGAGAACTTTTCCAACATATCCTCTACTCCTGTAAGTGAATTTGTTCTCATTTTTTCTTATGTTTCTTCTCGAACATGTATTGATGGGAGTTTTGTGTTTTATTTATCGTAGCTACGGACACAGCCAGAAAGAATGCAGAAATTGGAGTCTCGAGCAAAAACGCAATGTGTGTTTGAAGGTTTGTGGAGAAAGGGTTCCAAATAACAACAATACAGAGTAGTTTGTTGTTTAGTGAAGAGACATAGTTTTTGTTTGTGCAGATGAGGAAATGAGTGGTGACAGTGACATCAAACTTATTCCAGACGCTGAGACCTCGAAAGACGAAAATGCTTGGGGAGAGGCTCCTGTTGTACCTAATCTAGTTGAGTCTTTTGAGGAGAAAAACTCGCATAACGCTGTGGTTGAATGTGATGATAAGGCGAGGGAGATCCCGGGTTTGACTGGATCATTGACTGTTGAAATCAATCTGGACTGTGAACCTGGAAGTGATAGTTTGGTAGAGAAGTATTGGAATAAAAGTGGGAGCGAAGGAATAGGAACAAGAAGCATTGAGATCATTGACCTCGAGAGTGACCTGGTTCATATATTTGACTCATCAAAGGTTGTTGAAGTGACTCAGGAATCAGGAGATATAAGTGAAGAGCCGTTGAAAGCTCAAGCTGCGCATGAACCAGGAGATAGAAGTGAAGAGCCTCGGAAAGCTCAAGCTGCACATGGACCAGGAGATATAACTGAAGAGCCTCTTAAAGCTCAAGCTGCGGAGAAATCAGGAGATAAGGATGAAGAGCCTCTGAAATCTCAAGCTGCTCAGGAAGAACCTGCTAATGAGTGGAGAAGCTCTGTCTTCTTTCCATACAGAGAAGCCCCTTCACATTCTGTACTTGTCTTTGACGATTCTAATGCAAGATTATCTGTAGAAGATCTTAGCAACACCATTGAGCTTGGTTCAAACCCACCAGAAAAGAACATCAGTGGCTCTAAAAAGCGGAAGAAGAATACGGAAACATTTTTATCTAAGAACATCAAGGAGAAAGGAATTAAAGCATCAACCAAAAAACTTCAGAGAGGCAAAACACCAGCAAGCAAACCGCAGGGCAAAAAGGGAAGTTCAAGTGTAAACATGGATAAAAAGTCTTATGATTGGCCTGAGCCGTGCCCAAACTTCCCATTTGAACCACTCACAAGATCATCTCAAGTAGAGGATGACTCGGTAATCCGCAGGTACTTGGAGCAACACTTTGCAGCTCCAGGAAGTGCTGATAGTAATATAACGTTACCCGATTTCGGATTGCCTAGCTTCTCCAACATCAAAATCTCAGTGAAGGAAGAACCTGCATCCAAGAAAAAGAAGTCTCCTGATCCTCCATGTGTACAGGTTGCAAGTTCAAGCTTACCTAGTTGCAGTTCTATGGGTACTAGCATGCTACAAATAGTCGCAGGAAACTAAAGAGACACTGAAACTTCGACAAGCTTAAGCTTTTGAAAGACCTTATTATGTAAGAAAAATTAGTATATGTGTATGCATGTGATATATACTAAGTTATAAAAATTAGTATATGTGTATGCATGTGATATATACTAAGTTATATCCCATCTTTAGTAGTCTGTACTCTGTAATTTTACACGGTCAGTAATTGTAACGTTTTGTATTATATAGTCTTATAATTAATAATCAGTGAGCTTAGAATTTATTTATTTCTTAGTAAGTTATTCTCTAATGCATGCGTTCAGCATGAAAATATCATATCTAAAACAAATCATAAATGTACGGATTATATTATTAATGTCATAGCATGGGGTCAACCTTGAGCTCTACATATTTAAACTCATTTCCAAACTAGTCATAACTCATAATCCTGAAAACGTTTCATAGCTAAGATAATATAATGGAGAAAAATCTCAATATGGAACTAGGTTTAACCCCTCGCCCATGGATGATAAGGAAGACGCTAGGCCCGCAAGACATCTTGGCGTGTGCTCTTCCAAGCGAAGAGATGGAAGCCTATATAATACCAAACATGGGATATGATGATATAAGAGTAAGATTGGAACACGGTGTTGTTGTGGCGGTCGAAGATGTGGTCAGTCAAAAAACTTACAGAATGGAACTAGAAGGTATCTTTATGGGGTGTCTTTATTATCATCTCTTCGGATGGTCAAACTTAGTGAAAGGAAAAGGCCTCAAACCAGGTGATGAAATTGGGATTTGTTGGGATGCAAGCTCGAGAAAATTCAAATTCCATCTTCTAAATGTTACCAGTTTTATTTAGTGCCATTTTCCGAGCTTTAATTTGGTCTTTATATTTTTATTCGACTTCAAGTTCTAGAATATGTTTTTTTTTTCCACAAAACTATGCAAAATGAAATATTGTTATATTGTTTTTATTAATTTATATTATGCAAATGGTTTTTTATTGGTTAAATTGTATTTAAGATGGTATTAAATAATAGTTTTTTAGAAATAAACAAAATTTAAATAATTTTTTAATCTATGTACATTTACTTAAAATATTATCTATTATCAAACGGAAGGAGTATTGATTAAAAACTAGCCTAGGTGGTAATTTATTAGTTTTGAAAAATTATCCATAAAAATTTTAATATTTTACGTTTGTAAAATAGAAGAAATTAGAAAGGACATTTTTTTTTTGTTTTTTTCCTTCAAAATTATGTTAAAAAGATAGCATATACATATTATTTGACGCCATTGCATAACTCTCATAATCGACTATATTTTAAATGAGTATTGGATACGAACGTTGGGTTCAATTAATTGGTTTGGCTTAAATTGAAATCAATATCATCGGTTCAGATATGGTTTAGTGGGATTTTGTGGTAAATTTCCCTAACCAGACCGGTTAGTGTAATAGGCACATAAATGGGAAGTAGAGGAGTCTGACAGAGCGGGAAGAAAAAGAAGCGAATGTTTCTAAAAGAAGGACGAAGGGGCAAGATGAGTCTTTGGGGAACACTCAGATCGTTAGTGTTTGCTGGACTTTTTAGAACCTAACTCCAACTCCAACGCTTGGTCGTAGCTTTTCTAGGGTTTCTCTCGGCGGCAGCGAAGGTTAGTTTTTCCCTGGTAGATCCTAATTTTTTTTGTTGTTGTTGTTGTTTCTGTTGTAGAAAGTGGAACAAAATCAGTAAAACTCAGACTCAAACCTAACTATTTCTCGTTTTTAACCTCTTGGAATCTCTCGTCTTCTTGAAAACACACAGATCTCTTGGTTACCGTCGATTTGCATTCTTGAATCTTCTCTGTTTTAGGTTCGCAAATGATGTCTGCTTAGATCTATCCTGTGTGAGCTCTGGGTTTTTTGTTGTTGTTGTTTCTCTGTCTATTATATGCTTGTTTGTTGATTCTAGTCTCTGTTTGTTGATTCTTGTCTCTGTAGTAACCTTTCGCAAATGACGTCTGCTTAGATCTATCTTGTGTGAGCTCTGGTTTTTGTTGTTGTTATTGTTGTTTCTGTGTCTATTATATGCTTGTTTGTTGATTCTAGTCTCTGTTCTAACCTTTCCTAGCTTAAATTAGAACACTTGGACAGAGTCCTTCCATTTCTTCTATGTTCTTGGAACTTGGGCCTTCTTTCTTCTCTTTGATTCATTTGCTTTATGTATGATGGATAATTTTTGAAAACTTTAGTTTCTTGCCCTTGTTTTGGTTGCAGGTATTGTTTTCAGCTATGGGGGGTTGTTTCTCGCTCTCATGTGACTCAGTAGTCACCCAATTTTCAAACTGGGGATTCGCAAAAGCCAAAATTATCCGCGACCTCAAGGACAACATCCCAGCTTTGGAGACCAGCTTGGTAGGACTTAAGGCAGTTCGAGATGACCTGTTGAGCCGTGTGGAACGAGAGGAGCGTTCTGGGAGCCATCAAAGGCTTAGTCAAGTCCAGGTTTGGATTGAAAGCGCAGACAATCTCCGTAACGAGGTGGATGATCTTCTTAGCTCCAAAGAACAGCAACTTCAGCGTTTATGCATTGACGGACTTTGCTCCAAAAATCCCCGAAAGAGCTACCTGTTCAGTAAGAATGTTTCTTTGAAGCTTACAGAGATTGAAACTCTCAGAACTACCGCTTTGCAGTTCTTACAGTTTCAGTCATCCGTGACTGAACCTACCACTTGTTTTGAAGAAAGGCCTGTCAGTGCCACTATTGTTGGCCGGGAACAGATTCTAGAAAAGGCATGGGACCACCTCACAGATGATGGTGTCGGCATTGTTGGTTTGCATGGCATGGGTGGAGTGGGAAAAACTACACTCCTCACCCAAATCAACAACAGGTTGTTAAGGAGCTCCCATGAATATGATTATGTGTTGTGGATTGTGGTCTCGCAAGACACAGACTTGCGTAAGATTATAGATGACATTGGTGTCAAGCTAGGATTATGTGGAGAGGATTGGCACTCAAGAGAGGAAAGAGAGAAATCCATCCAGGTTTACAATCTTCTAAGGACAAGAAGATTCGTACTGTTTCTAGATGACATTTGGACCAAAGTCGACCTAGCTGAGATCGGGGTTCCTGTTCCTACGACAGAAAACAAATGCAAGATAGCCTTCACCACCCGCTCCTTGGATGTTTGTGCCCGCATGGGAGTGCGAGACCCTATCTATGTCCAATGCTTGGCACCGGACAAGGCTTTTGAGTTGTTCCTAAAGAAAGTCGGAGAACAAACTCTACAAAGTGATGCACAGATTCTCGACCTCGCATCACAGGTCGCTGAGAGGTGTTGTGGTCTCCCATTGGCACTCAACGTCATTGGTGAGACCATGGCTTCCAAGGAAACTGTTCAAGAGTGGAAGCATGCGCTTGATGTTTTGAACACCTATGCTGCAGAGTTTTCGGGCATGGAGGACATCATTCTTCCTATATTGAAGTTCAGCTACGACAGTTTGAAAGGGGAACACATTAAGTCGTGTTTTAAGTACTTAGCAATAACATCAAGCTGCCCGAAAGACCATTTGATCATGCTTTGGATCAGCGAGGGGTTTATAGATGATAGCATGGGTGTTGAAAGAGCCAAGAACGAGGGTCATGCGGTAGTAGAAATCCTTGTCCGTGCCTCTTTAGTAATTTCGGAGTTTGGTGATACAGGAACTGTGGAACTACATGATGTGATTCATGATTTAGCTGTGTGGCTACTAAGTGATTGTGGGAAGTTTAAGAACAAGGTTATCGTGCGGAAAGATTTCAGCTTACATGGAATGCGAGGACTGAATTGGGAAACAGTGACATGGGTGTCAGTTGTTTCCACTAAAGAGATTGATATAAGTCCTCAATGCCCCAACCTTTCCACTTTGTTATTGTTGTTAGATATTCATAATTGCTCAGAAACAGTATTATCACAGGATTTCTTTCGATACATGGAGAGATTAACTGTTCTGGATGTGGCAGGTCCTTATAATTTCACAGAATATCCAGACATGTCATGGTTGGTCTCCTTAAGGTCTCTATCATTTCGGTCAACGACTATGAAGCATCTCCCTATCAGTTTACTTGCCTTGACAGGACTAATGTACTTAAACTTGAAGTCGACCAGGTGTTGGAGTTTGGCTGGCATATCGAAACTGTCGGGACTAAAACTCTTATGGCTGCGTGGTTGCGTAACTAAATTATATATCAGTATAGTGGAAGAGCTGGGGCTTTTGGAGCATCTAGAAGATTTGACGATAAGCATCGCGGACAGTGCATGTCTTGAGAAACTTTTAAGCTTCCCAAGGTTGGCAAATGTCACAAGTTATCTAACTCTTGAACATGAGCTAGGGATGGCACAGGGGAATAGTATGGTGTGGAATGTGAGAACTATGGAAAAACTCAGTCAGTTAGAGCTGTCACGTATTTCTACGCTGGATATTAAGATAGTGGAGGGTGTCAGAACTGGATGCTTTCCTAATCTCACCACCGTTACCATGACACAAATATGCGGCCCGGCAGATTTGAGCTGGTTAATCTATGCAACAAAGCTTACCACTCTTAACATTCGTGGATCATCTTTTGAAGAGTTGATTAGCAGAGAACAATTAATCAAGGCATATGAAGAAGACCTGCTTCCATTTGAGAAGCTTAAGACGCTGAAGCTGCATTTTCTACCTAATCTGCGAAGTATATGTCCAAGTTCTTTGACCTTCCCCTTTCTAAAGGAACTCATAATTTATGATTGTCCGAAACTGAAAAGGCTTCCGCTAGATTCCAAGAGCATTGCAGAAGGGCTGATCCTCAAACATTCACCAAAGGCATGGATTACAAAGATTGAATGGGAGGACGAAGCCACTAGGCAACGTTTCCTCCCTTCATGCATTGGAGAGGTATTAAATCTGCTCCTCCTCGTCTATGTGTCTATCTTTTCCTGGTTATATATTCATAGGATATTTACTTGTCATGTGTTTCACCAACATTTTTCCTCTTATATGATTGTTTTAGGATAAGTAATGCCTATATGCTCACTACTGGAATGCAAAGGATCTGTTTGCGAGAAATGGGAGGCGTGACAATTGTCTTTTCTAAGTTATATTTTCTTTTGGGATTTTGTGCCTTTGTTTGGTAAGAAACTGCTTCTGTTAGCTTGGTTAGTCAGACTTGTTAAAGTTTAACTCAGAATTTCGATGTGATATATTTACAATTTCTGTTTGTTTCCTGCAACCACTCTTGATTGCCTCAGCAGTTTGTGTGCTTTTACGAGGTTTGTGTGTTTCTACTTTCTACTTCCCATGGCCGCTCTTTCCTACTCTGTGTGTGGATATTTTGGATTTCCCTTCTCTCTGAATTAACCAAAAAGCAGAATCATAAATATTCATGTGCCTGTGGGAATCTACACTAGTGGAGTTTTCAACTGAAGCCACATCTTCCTTTTTCAATTTCACTTTTAACTCTCCCTAACTAGCATGAAAGCACCATGAAGATCTCAGAATCACATCCCTGGTAAAGCAAAGACAGATGATCCACAAATTACAAACCGTTGATCACTTCTTGTTTGAACATTGTTCATCGCTTGAGTCTAAAAAACTTCATAAGGAGAAGCAGCTGTTGCCAAAAGGAATGAAACTTAGGTAAATGTACTGAAAGTCTCTAAAGCAAACTCAATGACAGCAAGTATATAAAGGTGTGCTTACATTAAGAAACGACTAAAGAAATGTAAGATAATGAAGGGATATAAAGAATGAAAGTTCAAACACAAGTACAAGCTCAATGATAAAAAATTATCAAGAGCTCACAGACATACCAAATTTGAACCTCAATCTCAACTAGCTGAAGGTGGAGTTACTGATACATGTACTCAGGAGTTCACTATCAAAACTGTACGTGAATAACTCCACCAACAAACTTTCGTACCTGCAGCATCTTCAATTACAGACTGAGCTTGTACTTGTTCTCACTCATCAGTTCCTTGATCACTATGCTTGTTCTCCACTAATGAACCTTCGCTTGGCTTACCAGTAAGAGATTAATCTTCTTAGAAGATACACCAGACACAATTTGAATCCACTTGAATGTTAATTTTTTTTTTCTGACAAGCAGTTTGAAATCCTTGCGCTTATGTCTTTTTCTAGAAACTACTTACTTATCAGCTGCTTGTGGATGAACATGTTTACCATGCTGGTGAAAAACCTCTTAGATAGTCCCTACAAAACCTACACTTCAAAATCCTTCGTATCAAGCCACGTTTGAATATCCGTTTGCCACTCATCTCTAACGTGCTGCGAACACCAAGCTTCTTACCAACATCTTTTTACTTGGATTTCTGCATCACTGATTTTTTCCATCCATCAGTAACAACAGTTTGAGTGTGCCGAACTAAAGCTTTGGGGTTAATGTGGATAATAAAACATTATATAAGGATTAAGATGCAAAGCTTTTCAGATATTACCGTCACGTTATAAGCAATAAAGGACTAGTGGGCTTGAATGACAAAGCATTAGTGGACTCAAGTATTGAAGAAGCCCCAAAGGTAAAGCCCAGTCAACAAAATCAACAAAAGAAGACAAGAGATGTAAAGCAGAGTACGGAGAAGAAGACGCTCTGCTCTGAGAATCGTTTTAACGTTCTTCAGTCCTTGCCCGATGACTCACCATGACCAGCTGTAGATCTGGATTGTTCTATTTCTTGTCTATAAAACACACTTGTAAACCGTCTTTGTAAAGCATCGAGAAGAAGAAAGTTTTACACAAAAATACAAAAGTTCCTTTCGCCTTCACACGTGTCTCGTCGGCTGAGTTTTGACTTCTTCTGTCGGTCTCAGAGACACACAGTGACAAAAACCTGATCATCACCGGGAAAAAGTCTCTGTTTTCAGACCGAATCTTCTCACCAGAGAATTGTACGCCAGCTTCCGCCAACTATTACGGCGGAAGCCCCGCCGGATTGGCTTCCCGTCGGTTGGATTGTTCACACAACAATTCTAAGACGCGGTCGCCAAACTAGGGTATTCTACTACTTATAAACTCTCTAAATGTTGAGCCTTTTTGTGTGTTCTCTCTTCTTTCTTCTCTCAATTGACACTGATTCTTAGCTTTTTTGATGCGAAAGTTTTGCTTTTTACAGTGTTTTGATCACAATTCAGACTTGAGTCTTTAAGTTCCCTGTTAATATTTGTGACCTTAAATTATGAACATTTACGAAATATTCAACACCATTTCTGAGAAATCTGACTTCAAATTTGAGAGCTTTTATGAAAATTTCGTCATTAGATTGAGAAAAGAGCGATCTTTGATTTAGAAAGTTGATGAAAAACTCGACCTTTTAAGTGAAGATGTAATTGGATTGTTTGCATGGTGGTGAAAACTTACACAATGCTTTTACCTGAATTTTGTAGACTTACACGCAATTGAGAACAGGGACGAAGTTGTCAACCAAGGATCAAGTTCTTGAGTACATTAGAATGGAGAAGATTCGAGAAAAAAAGAGAAACCGTAATCGAGAGAAAGGAAGCAAATATATGATGAGTTCTCTCTACCAAAGATTCATGTTCTTGACTACACTTGCAAGTTCTTTGGTCTGTTTATATAATGTTTCTTTCTGTTGTTGCAGTTAAAAGCTTTACAAGATATCGAGACTGCAGTGGAAGGCCTTCTTGGCTACAAGATGAAAGGAAAGCAGAGTGGGGGGATTGGTTCTGTTAGTGAAAATCCATATAAGGTATTAACGGACTAATCATTTGCGCATTCGTTTCTTATTGAGAGTGAAAGATTTGTTCTTTTCTTTTAGATGAATGTGAATACATCAAATGAGACAGTGCCATTGGATGAGAACTCTATGGAATGTGAAGAGCCATCAGGTGAAGAATACAACGAAACCGGGTGTAATGAAATTGTAAGATGCATGATTTTGTTTGAATGTTAGAATCTTGGAAAGAGGTTGTAGAAGCTGGTTTGATACAATTTTGGTTTCATTTTTTAATGTTTTACAAGACGTATGCATTTGATGAGAATGAAGAAGATCTCTCAGAGGGTGATTATGGCGAAGATGTGGAGAACTTCTCCAACATATCATCTACTCCTGTAAGTGAATTTGTTCTCATTTTTTCTTATGTTTCTTCTCGAACATGTATTGATGGGAGTTTTGTGTTTTATTTATCGTAGCTACGGACACAGCCAGAAAGAATGCATAAATTGGAGTCTCGAGCAAAAACGCAATGTGTGTTTGAAGGTTTGTGGAGAAAGGGTTCCAAATAATAACAATACAGAGTAGTTTGTTGTTTAGTGAAGAGACATAGTTTTTGTTTGTGCAGATGAGGAAATGAGTGATGACAGTGACATCAAAGTGATTCCAGACGCTGAGACCTAGAAAGACGAAAATGCTTGGGGAGAGGCTCCTGTTGTATCTAAACTAGTTGAGTCTTTTGAAGAGAAAAACTCGCATAATGCTGTGGTTGAATGTGATGATAAGGCGAGGGAGATCCCGGGTTTGACTGGATCATTGACTGTTGAAATCAATCTGGACTGTGAACCTGGAAGTGATAGTTTGGTAGAGAAGTATTGGAGTAAAAGTGTTAGCGAAGGAATAGGAACAAGAAGCATTGAGATCATTGACCTAGAGAGTGACTTGGTTCACAAATTTGACTCATCAAAGGTTGTTGGAGTGACTCAGGAATCAGGAGATATAAGTGAAGAGCCGTTGAAAGCTCAAGTTGCACATGAACCAGGAGATAGAAGTGAAGAGCCTCTGAAAGCTCAAGCTGCGCATGGACCAGGAGATACAAGTGAAGAGCCTCTTGAAGCTCAAGCTGCGGAGATATCAGGAGATAAGTGGGAAGAGCCTCTGAAATCTCAAGCTGCTCAGGAAGAACCTGGTAATGAGTGGAGAAGCTCTGTCTTCTTTCCATACAGAGAAGCCCCTTCACATTCTGTACTTGTCTTTGATGATTCTAATGCTAGATCAGCTGTAGAAGATCTTAGCAACACCGTTGAGCTTGGTTCAAACCCACAAGAAAAGAACATCAGTGGCTCTAAAAAGCGGAAGAAGAATACAGAACCATGTTCATCTAAGAACATCAATGAGAAAGGAATTGAAGCACCAGCCAAAAAACTTCAGAGAGGCAAAACACCAGCAAGCAAAACGCATCGCAAAAAGAGAAGTTCAAGTGTAAACATGGATAAAAAGTCTTATGATTGGCCTGAGCCGTGCCCAAACTTCCCATTCGAACCACTAACAAGAACATCTCAAGTAGAGGATGACTCGGTAATCCGCAGGTACTTGGAGCAACACTTTGCAGCTCCAGGAAGTGCTGATAGTAATATAACGTTACCCGATTTCGGATTGCCTAGCTTCTCCAACATCAAAATCTCAATGAAGGAAGAACCTGCATCCAAGAAAAAGAAGTCTGCTGATCCTCCAAGTGTTGCAAGTTCAAGCTTACCCAGTTGCATTTCCATCACTTCCATGGGTACTAGTATGCTTCAGATAGTCGCAGGAAACTAAAGAGACACTGAAACTTCGACAAGCTTAAGCTTTTGAAAGACCTTATTATGTAAGAAAAATTAGTGTGTATGTGTATGCATGTGATATATACTAAGTTATATCCCATCTTTAGTAGTCTGTACTCTGTAATGTTACACGGTCAGTAACTGTAACGTTTTGTATTATATAGTCTTATAATTAATAATCAGTGGGCTTAGAGTTTATTTATTTCTTAGTAAGTTATTCTGTAATGCATGCGTTCAGCATGAAAATATCATATCTAAAACAAATCATAAATGCACGGATTATATTATTAATGTCATAGCATGGGGTCAACCTTGAGCTCTACATATTTAAACTCATTTCCAAACTAGTCATAACTCATAATCCTGAAAACGTTTCATAGCTAAGATAATATAATGGAGAAAAATCTCAATATGGAACTAGGTTTAACCCCTCGCCCATGGATGATAAGGAAGACGCTAGGCCCGCAAGACATCTTGGCGTGTGCTCTTCCAAGCGAAGAGATGGAAGCCTATATAATACCAAACATGGGATATGATGATATAAGAGTAAGATTGGAACACGGTGTTGTTGTGGCGGTCGAAGATGTGGTCAGTCAAAAAACTTACAGAATGGAACTAGAAGGTATCTTTATGGGGTGTCTTTATTATCATCTCTTCGGATGGTCAAACTTAGTGAAAGGAAAAGGCCTCAAACCAGGTGATGAAATTGGGATTTGTTGGGATGCAAGCTCGAGAAAATTCAAATTCCATCTTCTAAATGTTGCCAGTCTTATTTAGTGGCATTTTCCGAGCTTTAATTTGGTTTTTATATTTTTATTCGACTTAAAATTCTATAATATGTTCTATATATAGTTTATTATAATTTTATCTATATATGATGATAAATATTGTGTAATAATATCATAGTGTAATAATAATTATTTCTTCGAGCGACTCGAAAAGAGGCTCTTTGAAAGATATATTTGATTTTGTTCTTTCATACTTCAATGATAATATGATAAACAAAATTTTAACATTCACCTTTATTAAATAAAAGAAAGAAGGAAATTATGTTAAGAGTTAGGAAAAATTACATACAATATTGTATCTGAAACTAGGAACTACATTGAGATAGATCATCAGTTTGACGCCATTGCTTAACTACACACACGCATCTCCCATAATCGTGTATATTATATTATGATTTGATGTAAAAGCCATGAAATGAGTTTTGGATGCGGACGTTGGGTTCAATTAATTGGTTTTGGCCTAAATTGAAATCAGTATCATCGGTTCAGATATGGTTTAGTGGGATTTTGCGGTGAATTTCCCCTACTAAACCGGTTAGTGTAATAATAGGTACATAAAATAAAAGGAGGAAGCCGGAAGGGGTAAGATGAGTCTTTGGGGAACCAAAAAAAGTGGATCAGATGAACGAATCTACTTTGCCATAGATATAGAAATGAGTTGCTCGTCATTCAACTTGAGGTTATTTTTAAACTTCAAATTTTCTATTTAAAATTAAATAATATATTTTAAGTTGCACTTGTTTTTTTTTTTTTTTGGTGAAATTAAGTCGCATTGTTTACAACAACTACAAATTACGCCATTGATCATAGGACATAAAAAGTACTCTTTCCGTTTTAAATTAGTACTCGTTCTAGAAATTAATTTTTGTTTCAAATTAGTTGTTGTTTTATTCTTTCAATACAGTTTTTTGACAAATTTTCCAATTTTATCCATATTTTAGATTATTAATTTATGCGAATCAAATAAAACAATATATTAGCTAGGATTAAAACAAACAAAATTAAATATTTTCTAAATATGTGTGCAAAAAACCTTAAATGAAAACTAATTTAAACCAGAGTGAGTATATTCTTTATGTACCTAATTAATCTATTTTAGAGATTCTTCACGCATATTAAAAACACATTAAAAATTTATTACTCTTTCCGTTGTAAATTAGTTATTTTTATAAAAGTTAATTTTTGTTCCGATTTAGTTATCATTTTATGTTTTATTTTTGTCAACCACACATTTATTAAAATAAAACTGCATGGTTGGTTGTCATTTCATGGTTTTTGACAGATTTTCCAGTTTTATCCAATTCCTATAGCATATTAGTTGATGATATCAAATAAAAATAATAACCATTGGTTAAGTTCATATTTTTACTTTGCTCTGATGTCTCTATTGAAGATTGCTTCCGTCTTTCTTTAGGGTTGATGCTGATCTAGCACGTGTCTCTTTGCAAACAAATGTAGACTGGACTGGATTGAATGGTTGCAGATTTGGACTATACATAACAATACTGCATGCTTCAGTAATTTTACATGTTCTTTGGGATCTTTGTTTTAGATTCTTGTCCATAAAAGTTGTGATCGAACCATGTAAGCAAACAAATAAATGGCATCATCTAAGCTTTTGATATAATGAATACCACTTGTCAATTTCAATCGGTTCAATTGGATAGACACAAATTACCGGTTTAATTCAATTGGGTTGGTTCGTTGACCGGTTCTGATGAAACTCACGTTGACTCATGAAACAAACAGAAACTAACAATACCCAAAACAAGTTTTATAGACTCAAGAAATGAAAAAATCTCTCCATACCAAAACAAGTTCTTGCTTGACAAGAAGAATGAAGAATCAAAATCCCAGGATTTTTTTTGAATCAATGAAAACAATCCGAACACAAGAACATTAATAATGAGAAGAAGTAACTCTCTCTCAACATATTTCATTCCCAAGATTCATTTCACAACAGTAGTAACACACAACATTGGTTTCTTCTCTTAGTATGATGCTTCAGAGTTTTTCCAACCTCCATACGACTCCTCTTCAACACCCCTGCTTCGGTTTTCCTATCAAACACACACACACACACACACACATTGTTCTTCAGACTCTACTTAAAAACCTAATCAAGAACAATGCAAGATCAAGATGTTTTATACATACCGAGGGCTTGAAGGAGAGCGCGACCCAAATCTCGCCTTTGAACTCTTCGTCTTTCACCACATTGTATGCAGTTGGTGGGATATCTCCTTCCAAGAAAACTGGCTCCAATGGGATTCTACATTGTCTCAAAACATAATCTCCTTAATTAGGTTCTAAAAATCTATGTAATTAGGGGAAAACACCAAGTCTAATAAGCAAAACAAATCTAAAACTTGAGGTACTTACGTTGCTTCACCAACCGCATCATCCTCTGTGCCGACATCTTTGTCGAAGATTTTAGCTTTTAACTCTGTAGTTCCTTCAGAGACAGTGAAGATAAATGTCTCATTCCATTCTGGAGTTGTCCCCATCCCTGAAAGAATTCAACATTTATCTTCTCAACTCTTAAACACACACAAAGATCTGTCTCTTTCTTGGGACAAACAAAAGAATCCAAAGCAAAAAGCCTTTGATCTTGATTGAAAACGTACCTGTTGCAACACTGCTCTTCTGATCTTGAGTCCGACAAGTGAGTTGCACATAAGGATCCATGTTATCTGTTCAACAAACCACGCAAATAACTCAACAACAATGCAAATCGATTTCACTATTCAACTATGTCCATAACCATGTATTAGACTAGATCATTAGAATAAAATGATTCCGGATTAGCAAAAGATCTAAGATTAATGTTGAAAATATGATCAAACTTTCACAAAAAAAAAAAAAAAACGGATTCAGGATCTCCACTAATATTCAGATACTTTATCAAATATGAATCAAAATCCTAATCATAAAAATGTTTTACACACAGATCTTTCCAAGTCAGCAACATCAGATTGGCACCACTATTCATAAAAAAAAATCACAATTGTGGATCTTTGATCCAAAAGTCGTAACATTTAAACACGTACGTATATGCATTCACAGATTCAACACATTTGAGACAAAACCCATCAACAAAACTCAAAAGGGTTCTAAAGATTTCTGAAAAAAAAAAAAAAAAAAAGCAATACTAGATTCAAAAGAAAGGCTTACTCAAAAAATCAGCGTCCTCGAGACCTTTGGCGCTGACAAGAACGACTTCAAGAGTTCCGTGAGGCATTTTTTATTTTCTTCTCTTGTGATCTCTTTTGTTTTTTTTTTCTATCAGAGAAAATATGAAGAAGATTCAGAATCAGATCCCAAGACAGAGATGCGAGGAGGCTTTTGTCTGATTTGTTATAAGATCGTTTTCGCCACGACAATATGAAATATATAGCGCGTAGTCGCGTGCAATAACTCGCCGTGCCAGCTTTTTTTTTTGTCCTTAATTTAGAGCTAATGTAAAATAGTTGTGCTTTGTTGAAAAATTAGTAAGATGATTAATTTTCGGGTCAAACTCAAAACATTATGACATTGTTACAGTCAAGTCTTAAAGATGTTGTTATCTGTTCACTAGGTGTCAATTAAGGAATTGTGATTTTCTTTCCAAGTTGATTTATTAATATTTTTATTTGATTTATTTAGATTGTTTTCTTCTTCTAGCATTATTTTTATATGTCTTTGATTAATACTATTAATTAAAACTAACTATTGAATGGAGTAAAGGAAAAAAAAATAGAAAAGAAACTTTAAATCTTATGATATTTATATATTTATTTATAACTTTGATATGCTAATCTAATCTTGATGACTTAAATATTTTAAATGGGCTGTTACAATACTTTCATATATTGCAATAAAGAAGAGTTTTTAAAAATGAAAAAAAAAATACTTAAAAAGTTGTTCAATTCTTGATTTTTCAGAAATTTAGATGGATTTTGTTGAAATAAGACTTAATGGATGAAAAGTAAATTTTATAAATAATATATTCTTTGTAAATTATGTGTAAAATGGTAGTAAAAGTCACAAGTGATTAGGTTACAAATGTCTTTTTTAATTCTTTACTTTATTACTCAAAGTTTACATTGAAGTATTTTAAAATGGTTGTAGCTACAAATCTTCAACTTGATCACATTTTTTCTTTTCGTTAGCCATGTGCTTAATAATAATTAAATATATAATTCGTTTGTACTTTGGGACCAACACGCTTCTTAATATGATTACTAAAGTAACTTGTGAACATAAACATAGCACAAATCTTCTAATCATATACTCATCGATATTGTGCTTGAATCGGACAGCAACAAAGCCACACCTCAACACCAATCTGCAACAACAACAAAATTCGTAAGAGACATCAGTTGATACAAAAACGAATCATAAAATTAAATATTTAAACCCAAATGTAACGTAAGAGAAAAATCCTTGAAACAAAACAGAGACGTTACAACTGAAAACCACAATAAACAGAGCTAATAACAAAGTTAATCTTTTGTCTCTTCACGTTTCTCGTGGCATCTTCTACAGTTCTACCAAACATAAGCTGAATACTTTTACAGTTCTACTAAACAACAGACCTAATTACGTTCCACTTCTCTCATATGCAGTCGTTTCTTGCACAAAAAGCAATCAGTCTAAAAGACTCTTTGGGTAAAAAGAGTAGAACGATTCATGAATCCAAATAAGTAAAAATAGCACCTTCAAGTTCATTGATAGTAATGGACTGGATCATCGATATGTCTCTTGAAATAAGCAGCAAGCTTATCAAGATCCCCAAACATTCTTTTCCTGAACTTGAATCCCTTTGGGTATAAACCAATGTACTCGTGGTGCGGATTTGCGGATCGTATGTAAGACAACATAAAGCTCCCTGGATGTTCATGCGATACACTGAAACCGTAAACTACCATTTTCGGGTTTTCGCCCTTCTCAGCCCGGAGATGATCATCTATTTCCGACTTTGTCCCAGTCCGAAATTTACGGTAGTTGATCATTGTCATAAGATGAGTTACCAAAGGATCAACATACTGATCCATTACCTGAAAGTTTCAAAAACGCATAAGTACTTTCACTTACATCAGAACTGGAATTTGTAAGAGTATGTATATAAAGACAAACCTCATCTAGATCGTCGAAGGTTTCATTACCAATTCTCAATGTTTTACCAATACGTTGTAAGCTCAAAATGTCCTTGTTCTCCTTGCCACCTTCGATGATCTCTTTGTTAGCATACACATTATCAAAGATCTTGATCATCAAAGTCAGATGATTCAGTCCTCTAGAGCTTGGACGAACAATGCTTTCTCCAATATTCTTATCAGACAAATACTCTGTTGCTCGCTCAGCAGTGATGTTCTGAAACCGAGGATGAACAATCATCCGAGACTTAAACTGTTTCTTTTCTTTAGGAGCTTTCTCTTTCTTTACCAGGACATTGTTCTGTTCCTCCTCGTGGTAGTACTCATCGACATCACCAAGATTCTTGTGCTTTCTCATTTCGCTTTCTTTGCAGACAAGGATCACATGATACCGATTCTTTAAAATCGACTTGATCTTGCAAGTAACAATATCTCCTTCACACAGTTTGTTCGACAAGTCAACAATATCTCTACCATCATCAGAGTAATCTTCCTTGAACAGAATCCCACGTAATCCACAATCTAATAAACATATGGCTTTACCACTTGTTACTTTCTTAACAGTGACCTGCACAATTCTCCCTTCACCAATAGTTTCTTTGGTTTCACCACAAAACATGTAAAACTCTTCATCTGCATCAACCGCTTTAAACAGACTCCGCCAATCCTGGAAACCACAGGTTAGTTCTCTCATGATAAGGCTATAAGTTTCCTTCTTATTCTCTTGGTTCTTGCTTCTCAAATACTCATCAAGAACAATCTTTCTCAAAGAAGCTGGATGATCCCTCACATGCTCTATCGCCATCTCTATCGCATTATCCTCATCATGAGCATAGACATCATTCGCCAATTCTTGCGCAAGACTGTATGACTCAGGATGTATTCTAGTATCATCCAACAGATCAACAAATTGGCTGCTATTACAAGCCAATCCGCTCCTACGAATCCTCAAGAAACCAGCTGCATTTACAAATACTTTTTTACCAATCCCATGATTTATCATTTCCTTGCGGAGAAATATCGAACCAGCTCTAACAAGAGACCTCTGCAAAAATGCAGCTTTCCTAGGGCCAAGCCCTGAAACAAACTGTAAAGGAGAGAAAAGCCATTCATGGCTCGTAGCCTGATTAATGTCGATTCCAACTTGATTCGTTATGTCAACCATAACTTGTTCAACCATCTCATACTTCTCATCTGGATCAAGAAAATCTTGCAAAGAATGAAGCTTCCAAGACAAAATATCTTTACCTGGACCGCATAAAGTTGCGATCATGGCTAATGGGTTCTGGAGATAACGTCCAAGAGCAACTGCGCGTTTCGCAATCCCTGACTGTTGAGGTAGTTGTTCACTTGAGATTCTAGAGTTTTCGTATAGCCTAGGAAGAGACTCATCCGCGTTAACTACTGACGTAACATGAATCCCATCAACTAGATCAGACGCCAGTTCTTGCTCGATTTGGAATATTACCTCATAAATCTCATCCTTCAGACGTAAACAAGTCAAATTCACAGCTCCTAAAGCCACAACATCCGGTTGATGTTCTGTTATAAACTTTGAAAGACGATCTTGGTCCTTCTTTCTACGTTGCTTGTTATTTACATCTTGAGAACGCCATAAGATGGATCCCGTGTACAACACATCAAGAAGCTCTCCTGATGAATCCAGCATCACAAATGTAGTCTCTGGATTTCCAGGTCCCCAACAACACGCCAAGACCCTCGGTGACGCTTCCTCATCCGAGGTATTAGTATTAGCATTCCTTAGATATGGCCCTGAAGACACTTTGTTCCATAAAACCTCTCCATACTCCGAAAGTAACCGAGCCTTAGCTCTGCTAGTAAGCAAGGATCTTGCTTCTTTCTCCATTGACGGCAAAAGAAAACCGTGAACCGCATCCTCAAGTATCAGTTTCCTCTGCTCATTCCAGAGTTGAGCATACTTACTAACACCAACACTTAGATAGTGTTCACTGCATTCACTAATTATCTTATTCATCTGATCCTCAGGGAGCTTGAAAGTTACTTGCAGAAGCTTCTCCTCTTCTGCTTTCTGAATGAGAAGCCATTGTGCACCTTCAAACTTTCTCAAAGGCTTTTCCCGTAACCACTTAACCGAAGAAAACGGATGGAAAGAATCTATAACCACATTCCCATCTGGTGTTGGACTTGTTGAGACTACTGCATTCTCCATGTAAATCCCGCGAATATACTTCTTGATTAACGGCTCGCAGCTTATCTCAACCGCAGCCACATGTCGAGCGCCTTTAAGAACAGCTTGAGGATCCTCAAACATTGCACATACATAATTCAATGCCATCTCCTCTGGTGTTTCCTTTGCATCTTCAATCTCATCAACAAGAACTTTCTCAAGAGACAACACCAGTCCTAACTGCTCACCGCTATAACCAAAATTGTTTGCAAATTCCCGGATACCAAATTTGCTGCAGATGCTATATTGCGATGTCCTATTCGGCCTCTTGTACTGTCCTTCATCGATCTCACCGTGAGGGAAATGCAAGTTGAACTTTGAGTCTACATCATCCACTTCTCTCTCTGTTTCAGCCTCTTTAAGAGACTTGATAACTGACTCAAAAAGACTTTTATTCAGATCAGACCTGAAGGTTTCTTCTTCTTCAAAACGTTTTGTATAGTAACCAAACAAAGAGGTTTTTCGTTTCCGTAGAAGAAGCCACTTTCTATCCAAATCTTGAATCATCCACAAGACGTTATGCCACTTGGTCTCAAGCTTCTTGTCAAGATTGAAATCACCACCATCATCAGAACTCTCCAATAAACTCGGACACTGCTCCTTTCGGTACATTGCTATAAACGGTATCTCTAGCTTCTGCACATGATACAGCTCCAAAAATCTCACAATGTCATCTTTGTTAACCAAACAACATGGACCTTGTTCTTGAACCAATCGAGCATAAATCCAATTGCTCTCTTCTTCAATGCTACTTTCATCCATGGGAGCGATTCCAAAGGCTTCTTCAGATATCTGCATCCTCTCGGGAACATCAAGCTTCCTAATTTCATCATCTCTCTCTGTCATATACTTCTCAGAGATAACCATTGGTTCAAACTCATCTTCTAGCTTTCTTTCGATCTTTTGGCTATACGCCAAGTCCTTTCTCCTAAGCTTCAACAGTTCTTCAGGATCACCAAACAGATCATTAGCGTATCGTAAAGCGTTCGAACTAGTTCCTTGCTTAAATTTCTTTGTCTTCCTCACTCCATGATCATCTTCATCTACAATGAAGTGACTCAAATCATCATCATCATCATTTGAATCAGTTCCTTGCTTAGATTTCTTTATCTTCCTCACTCCATGAGCACCATGACCATCATCTTCATCTACAATGAAGTGACTCAAATCATCATTATCATCATCATTATTGGTGTTATCCTCTTCTTCCTCTGAAGATTTCTTCAAACGTTTATACTTCTTTCTTTCGAAATTGACGTTGTTGTCTTCTAGAAGAAGATAATCATCTTCGTGAAGACTAAAGTCATCATCTTTCTTCCTTCTATCTCCACTCTTTTTCTCACGACATGGCCTCTGTTCTTCTTCTTCTTCTTCTTCTTCTTCAGAACTATCCACTAGAAACCCATCTCCATACTCATACTGATCATCTTCATCATCTTCCTCTTCATCGTCTTTTCCACGGTTCTCGACTTGATCGTCACGGATCGGTGGCTCTGTAACAAAAACAAAGTCGAATCTTCAGAAAACAAAATAAGAAATAACAGAGGATTTTAGGGTTTTAAAAACAGAGCTTGTTAACGTACCTTCGTTGTTACTTTTCATGATTAGGCTAAGAGATTAGCTATACCAAATCGATGAAGGTAGAGAGATCAAACCCTAATAACTCTGTGATCGTAAGAATAGTAAACAATTTGATTCTGAATTTGGCGAAGAGAAAAGTGAGAAACAAATAAGGCGTTAGGCGTTCGTACTTTAGGGTTCACGAAAGCATTAAGAAGAATAAAAAAAGTATTTGCTACTAATTGTAATTGCAATAATAAACATAAAACATTTCTTATTCTTTAAGAAAATATCTATTTTATGATCTCTTTTTTAGCTAACGAAGTGTACCTATTAATTTTGTTGTTTTACTATATATTTCATGATAAACATCGAGTTGTAGAACCTCTATAAAATATTAGGTATATACTCCTTAATTAAAAAGTAGTAAAACTTAACTCTATGAAAAAGTGTATTACATATATTTAAATAAATATGTCAACACACACACATGTACATATATATACTTAACTATATAAAATTCCTAATTCAATAGTCTAAAATAATATATTTTTATAAAATTAATAATTTTACAATTCTAGGCAAATTATTAGAAGTCATTTCTGATAAAATAAACAATTTTCTTGTGTCATCTTATGTTATTAGCATTTGGTGATGTAAGTTTATAACCCTTGAATTTTGACATGCTACATTAATATAAATTGATATTATAAATTAATAACCAATTTCAAATTTTAACACAGAAAACAAAAAAAAAAAAAAAAACAATTTCAAATCGTTGTAGAATATATCATTATTTTATGGGAATTGAATTCTAATAATTTCATAAAAAGAGCTTTTTGATCGGTGGATTGGTAGATGTAGTTGGACAAAACTAAAAGTATGGGGCGAAAATAGAAAGATAAAAAAACAAAAGGAACATTGGGTAAAATAACTGGGGATATTACAGAAGAAAGCAAATCTAAAAGGTCACTTTCCCAAAAGCGAAAACAGAAATTGAGAAGAAGTAAAAAAATTAGGGTTCTTGATCAACAACAATAAGCGATGGGTGAATTTGAAGGTACGATTTTGTGTTTTTCGTTTTAATAGAGTTTAAAGGTTTATAATTTGCTCTGGCATGATCAACTCTGATCGATTACAATGTATTAGGGTGGACTTCGTGGCTGGAACCAGGGTATTTGCTATGTAAACCTGAGGATCCTGACTATCAGAAACCTGCGTACAGTGACTGGACCGAGGAGAACGATACTCCTCCCAAGTACTCACCAGAGGAAGAACTTGCCTTACTCGACGAACAAATCAGAGCCAGCGATGTATTATATTCTTTTTTCCCCCTTATGTTATGATATATTGAGCTAACTCTATGAATCTGTGAAACTGATTGTTATGTGAAACAACCACAGGGGTTTGATATTGACTTCACACACTTCCGCTGTGTCTTCAACTACCACCTTGCTCTTCTCGACTCACATGAATTCGTTGAAAAGCCAGAAAAGCATGAATTCAAGATTCCTTGAAGGGATGGTTTTTTATTTACAGTGATTTGCGTTCTCTTAATTTGCAGATTGGAGTAGGATTCTAGGAGCTTTTTCATATGGCACAAAGGAGCGAGAACCGAGTTATGCTCTATTGCTATTATATATCTATTTGCGTCCTAAATGTGACTTGATGGTAGTCGTTGTTGTATTGCTGCTACAAATTTAAACTTAAATGTATGAGATGTTGTGCTACTTTCTTTGAGCTTGTGTCGTTGTCTACTAATTTAAGCTTAATGTATAAGGTGTTGTGCTACTTTCTTTGAGCTTGTGTCGTGGTCTACTGTCTACTATCATCTAAACCAACAGTAATACAACAGCCAACGAAAGGCTAAGCCAAACTATTTATTAAGACAACATTATCACAAAAGAAAACTAAGCTTTTAAACAATCTTAGGAAGCTGTTCTAAAAATGACTTGATTTAGACTAGGTAATAACAAACAATTGTCTGAAACAGAAACAATAATCAAAACATTTAACAATGTCTGTCTAAACCGAAACAATCACTGAAACAGTAACAAGTGTCTGAAACAAAACAAAAAAAGATATTAACTACACAAAACGCAAAAGCTTAACTATCAAAACGCAAAAGCTTAACTAAACAAAAAAGTTGGATTCATACCGTCTATGTCAACCTCCTCCAATGGATCAGAGTTAATTGCCTTTGTGTTGAAGAACCCTAATTTTCCAATCTTCCCCCTCTTTCTTCTTGAACACTCAATAAGTCACACAATACATCTCTAGGTAATTAATTGTACACAAAGTCCCTTTAGTTTCCCTTTCTTATATAATTTGGTCTCATAAATGTAATTATACAGTATAAGAACCCATTGACAGATTACTAAATAGTTTCATTTTTATTAATGTGGCCCAAATAACTGAAATAATTAAGCCCAAATAATTGAGTTTCGTTTAAAAAGCCCATATCAATGTGTGTGTGTGACAGTAAGCGCGTAATCGCGTAGACAACAACATCACGTGCCTACTCTACTCTGCGCACAAACAGAAATAGCAAGAGACGTTGTTTACAGGTTCTGTCCCCTGTACGAGAATAATCATGATGAGTACAGGTGTCGCCATTGTGAACCAAAACTCCACTTGATGATAGATGGGATCCGCTAGAATCTTCATTAACCTAACCAAAAGAATATGCTTTTTGTTTTATTCGTCTCCAGATAATGACCCTAAAAGAAACATTCATTTAAAAAAAATACTGGAGTTCATTACAACCTAAATTTTTGCATAAATAATAGAATATAACCATGATATGTTATTAATCTTGACATTAAAAACTCTATATATATAATTAATAAAATAATTAGCAGTATAACATCTGGCTAAGCGTCCATCGCCTAAGCGTCGTCCATCGCTGATTAAGAAAAAGAAGGAATGAGTTAATATTTCTACCCAGATATACATTTTTCAAAGTTCTTTTTTTTTTTACTTTCTTTTTGGGATAGTAGATTTTTTTCAAAATTCATTAGGCTGTACACAACAACTAATGTAAGCATTTAATATATCTATGGCTCACGTGGCTCTACTTTTTGTATAAAAGAAATATAAGCAAACTGAATATATTTTGTTTTCTGCATTATTTCATTATTTGACCAGATGAATGTAACGAGCAAATAATGGGACTACCATTAGGTCCATTACCATCCATTCTCATTTTGATATATTATTCTCATAATTCATTCTGGTAAATATATATGTGGACTATACGTCCCAATGATAAATTTATGAAAAAGAGACTAATAACAGTTATTCGTAAATAATAAACGAAGCCATGCATGTAATTCCAGTAAAGAATTTAACTTTGGTTCATGTAATATGCTCAACTTTGGTTGTGAACTTGTGAGCATTGTGCATGTGACTTTAGACTTGGTGAGTTTTTCATTTATAATGGTCAAATGATTTTGTCAGAGAAAAAACTTTTTACTTTCTCTTCCACCTTGACAAGAAACAACATGTCCTTTGTTGGAACCCACATAGCATCGTATAACAAAACAAACAGAAAAGACTTGATTGTTACGCCAAATATTTATTATCATTTCACCAAAAAGGGACCTTATTTTAGTATGCTTTGAATATTTTTCTTCTATTAAGAACGTTCCTAATACGGACGGTGTCCGTGTTGAATAAGCGCGTATGGCGTAGTTCCTTTAGAGACACAATCTTCATATTATGCTAACAAAAAAAGATTATGATCAAACACATATTGTCATAGTATTATTTATAATCATGTGAATTTATATTTCTATTTATTATTCTATCTTGGTTGGTTCTCTGTACACAATATGTAAAGGATTATAACTATTACACTACTACGTAAATGAAGTCATGAATACTTTCAAAGTTATTTTCTCAATGATATTAATCATGCCTTTCTCCTAGTTTAATTAGGAGTTAGTTATGTGAATTATGCTATGTGATTGTAGAATGTGTTGGTTTTTAAATAAGTGATATGAAAATATATAAGAATCTCATTATTTTGTCATCTAATTCTTTACTATTTCATACCATTTTTTAAAAAAATATATATTTTTTTCAGTAGAAAAGACAAACAATAGGATAACAGAAAAAAAAAAAAAAAACACAACCATTGAAAGGTTTTTTACATCAAGCGATATTGTAAGGTCTTTCCCCCCAAAACTATTATATTTTTTGCGTTATACTATTACCAACCATTACCAACCTCGTATTGGTCCCAAGAAAAATATAATAGTTTTTTGTTGACATCCTTTTATTTATTAAATTAACAATTATTTGAAAAGTATCCCTTTTTTTAATAAAGGTAGATTAGTTTTCTAGGTTAAATGGATGATTTTTTGTTTTGCTGTCCACAAAGATGAGATATAAAATAAAGGTAAAGCGATCAAGTAGGAGTTAAAGGTAATCCGTCATTATTAGGGTTTTAGTTATATGAAATAAATTAAAAATGCATTTTCCACCATAAAAAAAAAATATTTTTCAATTCATATAAATAAGATCAATATAATTATTTTTCTACCATTAATTCTTAAAAAGCTCAGAATAAAACTAATGGTCGATTAAAAAGAAAAAGAGAAAAACAAAAGAAACTAAGGGTTAATAGAAAGAAATAGTATTTTCTTACATTACTCAGAGATCCAACCTTGTCTGTTTCTTTCAATCAACTTTCATTGTCTTGAGCCTTGACTCTTGATTGGTGACTCATGCATATATAACAAGGAACTGTAAATTTTAAGTGGACCTGTCGAAATGGATAGCTAGCTATGGTGAAGGTCTATGGTGTGCTTCCGTAAAACCTTTTCTTTTTGGCATTTCATGCATATCTCCCATAACTTGTACGGAAGTCATGTCAGAGCTAATAGTGAAGGTGAATCAAGAAAAAACAAAATTACATTACCTCTTGTTCTTTTGTTTCTTTGTTAAACAATATTAAAAGGTAAACAATATTACAAATAGCTGATGATGATTAAAAAACAATATTACAAATATTGGAAAATATGACAAAGTAAGAAAAGAAGAATACTCCGTAATTTTGTAGTCATTGTTATACTTCTATGATACGTTGACACTAGTTAAACACTGTTTTAGAGTCTTAATGTTGTAGCCAAATAGATAAGTATGAGGTGACAAAATGAAAAAAATGAACAAAAAAAAGATGAGATATTTGTTTTTATGAACCTGCGAGTGTGACGTGGTGGGTTATCACAACCCAACCAATTGGAAAAAATCCGAGTCTTTTTTTGGAAGGTTTATTTTTGTATGTTTAGGGTTACCACTTACCACTACCTTTAATAAAGCAGTTTGAAAATAAAAATTCACATTAAAAAGTAGAACAAATACAACTTCATTACAAAGCACAATAAGTTAAACCCAATGACGTTTTTAACTTGTAAGAAACACAAAACAAAAGTTACATCTATTTCTAAGTGCACGATATGTAGACAAATATTAGTATTCCTCATATTCATGTCGTATACATCAACTTACAACACGTCTGTAATTAATTTCATAACAAATTTTTTTAAAAAGAACATGTATATAGTGTTGATAAAATCAAATACTACTATATTAGCTTAATTATTAAGTAGGTCTTAGGGTTTCTTATGTGGAAACGTGTACTGAGATAGTTTTTCTTTATATTTTATTTTGCACCCAATCTTTCTTGTACGTTTTGTTATTACTTTCTAGTTTTTTTTTTCTTTTTTATCAAATAACCCAAAAAAAAATACAATTCTTTAATTCATGAGACATTAAAATTACTTTCACAATTTGTTTTCTCTACTTTACATATATCTCTTTACGATTACTCTTTTCTCTCTAGGGTTTTTGTGTTCTTCATCTTCCTCAGCTGGTAGTCTCTCCCAAATCTTCTTGTCTTTTCCACTTTTTTTCTTTGGTTTTTTAGTAGATTCATTCAAAGTTGGTTCATTTTCTTTAGTTTTTTTTTACAAAGTTTTGATTTTTCTACTTTATTACTACCTAGATTTGAAACATATGACTTTATTGTTTTCTCATTTTTAAGATTTGATGGTATTCAAATTGATAGAACTACTCTCTTGTTTTTTTGGGTTTTTCCATCAAAGTTTTCATTTTTCCATGAAAGTGTCCTCCTTTCTAATTACTAGCTAGATTTGAAAGAGATAATCCTTATGTTTTGTCATTTTTATACTTGATGTTGTTCAAATGGGTAGAACTAGTGTTGAGTGTGATGTGGTGGGTTATCCCAGTTTTTTGAAAAAAAATCTTGAGTCTCTTTTTAGAAGGTTTGTTCTGTATTTTTTCAATAAAGCTTGAAAGTTGATTACAAAGTTTCAGTTTTTTTTATGAAAGGTGATTCTTTTCTTACTGATTTGATGAAGCAAATGGTTAGTGAAAGTTTTAGTATATGTTATTAGTACAAAACCCTATGCCAAACTGGTTATCAGTTTAGTTTCTACACCGTACGTAGTTAATTAATTGTGCTCATTTAGACTATAGTAGTATTTTATACATTTATTTATAGTATTGTGTGCCCATTTAGATTGCTGATTGCTAAATGTATTTATGGTGCCGTTTAATAGTTAATTAATTTTGACTGCTAATCTTAGGGCTGTAGCATTTAAACGTTCAACAAATATATATGGTGCAGTTAAATAGTTAATAACATGTTTTCGTTGTCTAATATATATTAACAGGATCGGATGGCAGATGATGCTGATGATGGAGTATATTCTTACGGTGCTGGTAGTGGTGGAGGCAGTAAGAAGAAATCAAAAAAGCCAGCAAAACCTCCACAAATTATTAGAGTAATTTGAAACATGATCATTATTCATTTGCTGATAAAAATTAAATTAATTAATTGTTTATATCTGTTATTAATGGCTATCTTGATTGACGCTACACAGTTGACGGAGTCAGACGAGAAGTATCCTACGGTTAAGCATTCTTTTGTTTACTGTTATTATTTTTTTTTGTTAAAAAGCTAAAACTTTACTCTATTATTTAAACACACATATAAATATTTATCATGTGTTATAATTATATATGTAGGACTTGCCGCCAAATACCAAAAACATTGATCTGGATTGGTGTAACGAGGTGGGCGTTGTAAGAGAGGTGGTCGACCAAGGAAACCGACGTAAGTTAAAAACATATATAATTCTCTAACTAAATATTTTTTTCGTACATATATATATATGCATGGTTTCTTTGTTATGCAGTAACTTTTGTGTATTATTAACTTAAAATATAAATATGTATCGAATGTTGAAGGTGTTTGTTGGACGATCCCACCAACAAGAAGTATGTCTTCAAGGCTTGTAATCGACAAGAGATTTCTACCTCCGATGTGTTTATCAGCGCTCCACTTACTTGTCGGTCTCATCGACAAAGTAGACGCTACAGGTGGACTCAGTAACTTGGAACATTTGCGAAAGTTTCTGGTGGATCATGGTACTGTTTTAGAAGAAGACTGTGACTGTCCTCAATTAGCTTTGGATATCATGAAAAAAAGTGGCTCACAATCTGGTCCCGTTTTGTGTACTCAGAAAGCCAAGGTATAGTAATTCTCTCAACTTTGTCTTTCTCTTTTCTTGTTAGGTACTGTAATTTGGTAACTAATTAATTAGAATTTGCTTAATTTGCAGCATAATAGAATATTCAAAGTCGAAGATTTGATCATTCTGGACAAAGTAGATGAAAGAGAACTTATAAAATTGGTCAACAAGGGCACTGTGGCTGTTTCTATAGATTATTACGATGAGCTCGTGCACTTCCGAGGGGTTAGTTAGCACAATCTTTTATCTCTTAATATATATATTCTAAAAGCTTGAAGTATATGAAAACCTATATATGGCAAAATATAGACAAAGGTTTTTCAATATGCATATGTCCCTTTAGTTTCATACAGTTTTTATGGACGGTACATTGTTTGTTTAACAGGATGGTATCTATGAAGGACCTGAAAAAGGTAGCCGCTTTCTTGACAGGCATATTTTGTCAGTGACCGGCTACGGAACAAAAATGCCCGAAGGGATTCATTTCTGGAGAGTGCAAAATTCAGCAGGTCTTAAATGGGGGCAGAAAGGGTTCGGAAAAATCATTAGGCAAATCAGTCGTCCTACTGGAACACCATCTCTCTTTACCTGCATTTTGCACCCTGTGGTAATATGGAATTAATTCTATACACCTGACATCATTAAGGCATATATCACATACTCTTAACAAAAAATCTCATTTTTCTTATAGCTTTTGGATCACTACCAAGGTGAAAGGGAAGACGCCTGAGAATGTGATCCAGGGAAAGACGCCTCAGAAAGTGGTTCTAAGATGCTGGAGGGAGCACATCTCTTTTTCTCTTGCTTAATATCTTTTTGTTTTGTTTTAAACTGTTTCAGTTATTGTTTCGGTTTAGACAGACATTGTTAAATGTTTTGATTGTTGTTTCTGTTTCAGACAATTGTTTGTTATTACCTAGTCTAAATCAAGTCATTTTTAGAACAGCGTCCTAAGATTGTTTAAAAGTTTAGTTTTCAAATGTCATAATGTTGTCTTAATTAATAGTTTGGCTTAGCCTTTCGTTGGTTGGCTGTTGTAATACTGTTGGGTTAGATGATAGTAGACAGTAGACCACGACACAAGCTCAAAGAAAGTAGCACAACAACTTATTATACATTAAGCTTAAATTAGTAGACAACGACACAAGCTCAAAGAGAGTAGCAGAAACATTTAAGTTTAAATTTGTAGCAGCAATACAACAACGACTACCATCAAGTCACATTTAGGACGCAAATAGATATATAATAACAATAGAGCATCTCTCGGTTCTCACTCCTTTGTGCCATATAAAAAAGCTCCTAGAATCCTACTCCACTCTGCAAATTAAGAGAACGCAAATCACTGTAAAACAATAAACCATCCATTCAAGGAATCTTGCCATCAAAGTAAAGAAAAACACCCTTGCAGTTTGATCTTTTGATTACCTTTGTTTCTTCACATTTTTCAGGACAACATCTTTCCCGACAACATCTTTCTTGATACCAATGCATTCCACTATATATAAGAAACCCGAATAAATACTATATAACATCTTTCTTGATACCAATGCATTTCATGGTGAAAGCAAAAAATCGAAGATCAAACAAGATTCGGTACCTCCTTGATTGGGTTTAGGCCTGCAGAAGATGTACTCGGTCACGATGTTTCTAGCGTGGCGAACCCTTGCTTGGAAGAGCTTGATCATGTTATCATAAGGATCCACAACTTCGAATGTTATGAGAAACATTAGCGCACAACAACAGTGAAAGTTGGCTTTCACAACCTTGACAAACTCAAATTCTGTGCCCTGTTTTAATAAACAAGTAAGAAAGCACATCCTATATAATATCAAACACACTGCAAATTTGAAAGCACAAGATAGCATAGCTTAGTTCTCACATATTCATTATTGTAATCATCAAGGGAACTCCGAGAGAGCCTCTCAAGCAAATCCCTAGTGGTTTCTGGCTTTTCAACGAATTCATGTGAGTCGAGAAGAGCAAGGTGGTAGTTGAAGACACAGCGGAAGTGTGTGAAGTCAATATCAAACCCCTGTGGTTGTTTCACATAACAATCAGTTTCACAGATTCATAGAGTTAGCTCAATATATCATAACATAAGGGGGAAAAAAGAATATAATACATCGCTGGCTCTGATTTGTTCGTCGAGTAAGGCAAGTTCTTCCTCTGGTGAGTACTTGGGAGGAGTATCGTTCTCCTCGGTCCAGTCACTGTACGCAGGTTTCTGATAGTCAGGATCCTCAGGTTTACATAGCAAATACCCTGGTTCCAGCCACGAAGTCCACCCTAATACATTGTAATCGATCAGAGTTGATCATGCCAGAGCAAATTATAAACCTTTAAACTCTATTAAAACGAAAAACACAAAATCGTACCTTCAAATTCACCCATCGCTTATTGTTGTTGATCAAGAACCCTAATTTTTTTACTTCTTCTCAATTTCTGTTTTCGCTTTTGGGAAAGTGACCTTTTAGATTTGCTTTCTTCTGTAATATCCCCAGTTATTTTACCCAATGTTCCTTTTGTTTTTTTATCTTTCTATTTTCGCCCCATACTTTTAGTTTTGTCCAACTACATCTACCAATCCACCGATCAAAAAGCTCTTTTTATGAAATTATTAGAATTCAATTCCCATAAAATAATGATATATTCTACAACGATTTGAAATTTTGTTTTTTTGTTTTCTGTGTTAAAATTTGAAATTGGTTATTAATTTATAATATCAATTTATATTAATGTAGCATGTCAAAATTCAAGGGTTATAAACTTACATCACCAAATGCTAATAACATAAGATGACACAAGAAAATTGTTTATTTTATCAGAAATGACTTCTAATAATTTGCCTAGAATTGTAAAATTATTAATTTTATAAAAATATATTATTTTAGACTATTGAATTAGGAATTTTATATAGTTAAGTATATATATGTACATGTGTGTGTGTTGACATATTTATTTAAATATATGTAATACACTTTTTCATAGAGTTAAGTTTTACTACTTTTTAATTAAGGAGTATATACCTAATATTTTATAGAGGTTCTACAACTCGATGTTTATCATGAAATATATAGTAAAACAACAAAATTAATAGGTACACTTCGTTAGCTAAAAAAGAGATCATAAAATAGATATTTTCTTAAAGAATAAGAAATGTTTTATGTTTATTATTGCAATTACAATTAGTAGCAAATACTTTTTTTATTCTTCTTAATGCTTTCGTGAACCCTAAAGTACGAACGCCTAACGCCTTATTTGTTTCTCACTTTTCTCTTCGCCAAATTCAGAATCAAATTGTTTACTATTCTTACGATCACAGAGTTATTAGGGTTTGATCTCTCTACCTTCATCGATTTGGTATAGCTAATCTCTTAGCCTAATCATGAAAAGTAACAACGAAGGTACGTTAACAAGCTCTGTTTTTAAAACCCTAAAATCCTCTGTTATTTCTTATTTTGTTTTCTGAAGATTCGACTTTGTTTTTGTTACAGAGCCACCGATCCGTGACGATCAAGTCGAGAACCGTGGAAAAGACGATGAAGAGGAAGATGATGAAGATGATCAGTATGAGTATGGAGATGGGTTTCTAGTGGATAGTTCTGAAGAAGAAGAAGAAGAAGAAGAAGAACAGAGGCCATGTCGTGAGAAAAAGAGTGGAGATAGAAGGAAGAAAGATGATGACTTTAGTCTTCACGAAGATGATTATCTTCTTCTAGAAGACAACAACGTCAATTTCGAAAGAAAGAAGTATAAACGTTTGAAGAAATCTTCAGAGGAAGAAGAGGATAACACCAATAATGATGATGATAATGATGATTTGAGTCACTTCATTGTAGATGAAGATGATGGTCATGGTGCTCATGGAGTGAGGAAGATAAAGAAATCTAAGCAAGGAACTGATTCAAATGATGATGATGATGATTTGAGTCACTTCATTGTAGATGAAGATGATCATGGAGTGAGGAAGACAAAGAAATTTAAGCAAGGAACTAGTTCGAACGCTTTACGATACGCTAATGATCTGTTTGGTGATCCTGAAGAACTGTTGAAGCTTAGGAGAAAGGACTTGGCGTATAGCCAAAAGATCGAAAGAAAGCTAGAAGATGAGTTTGAACCAATGGTTATCTCTGAGAAGTATATGACAGAGAGAGATGATGAAATTAGGAAGCTTGATGTTCCCGAGAGGATGCAGATATCTGAAGAAGCCTTTGGAATCGCTCCCATGGATGAAAGTAGCATTGAAGAAGAGAGCAATTGGATTTATGCTCGATTGGTTCAAGAACAAGGTCCATGTTGTTTGGTTAACAAAGATGACATTGTGAGATTTTTGGAGCTGTATCATGTGCAGAAGCTAGAGATACCGTTTATAGCAATGTACCGAAAGGAGCAGTGTCCGAGTTTATTGGAGAGTTCTGATGATGGTGGTGATTTCAATCTTGACAAGAAGCTTGAGACCAAGTGGCATAACGTCTTGTGGATGATTCAAGATTTGGATAGAAAGTGGCTTCTTCTACGGAAACGAAAAACCTCTTTGTTTGGTTACTATACAAAACGTTTTGAAGAAGAAGAAACCTTCAGGTCTGATCTGAATAAAAGTCTTTTTGAGTCAGTTATCAAGTCTCTTAAAGAGGCTGAAACAGAGAGAGAAGTGGATGATGTAGACTCAAAGTTCAACTTGCATTTCCCTCACGGTGAGATCGATGAAGGACAGTACAAGAGGCCGAATAGGACATCGCAATATAGCATCTGCAGCAAATTTGGTATCCGGGAATTTGCAAACAATTTTGGTTATAGCGGTGAGCAGTTAGGACTGGTGTTGTCTCTTGAGAAAGTTCTTGTTGATGAGATTGAAGATGCAAAGGAAACACCAGAGGAGATGGCATTGAATTATGTATGTGCAATGTTTGAGGATCCTCAAGCTGTTCTTAAAGGCGCTCGACATGTGGCTGCGGTTGAGATAAGCTGCGAGCCGTTAATCAAGAAGTATATTCGCGGGATTTACATGGAGAATGCAGTAGTCTCAACAAGTCCAACACCAGATGGGAATGTGGTTATAGATTCTTTCCATCCGTTTTCTTCGGTTAAGTGGTTACGGGAAAAGCCTTTGAGAAAGTTTGAAGGTGCACTTAGTAGCTACACTTATTCAAATTAAAGTCTTAACTTCTTTTGAGTGATCCATCTAGGTAATGTACATGGCTTGTGCAACACAAATTATAATTTATGTATTATTTAACATTTAGGTACCTCATGTAATATTTTAACTCTAAAATCTTTTCTCCTTGACAATAAAACATATAAATGAACCTTTTTGCTTCTTTTTTTTGGGGTTAAATGATTTTCTTATTGACTTACAACTTGATATAAATGGAGTTAAGAGAAAAAACCATGACGGATATCTTAAGGACTTTGAGCCATTGAAAAATATATATTTTAGAGGAGGGAAGGATTCAAGAAGAAGATTGCAAATGTACTATACATATGGACAACTGTAAAGAAAGTAGTAGCTCGTGCACGAAGTCAAAATCAAAAAACAAGAAAAAGAGTTCCAAGGTGGAAAAAAAGCCAAAGCCGAATGTTTTGGAAAAATGAAGGTAATTAATTACAGATAAAAGTTTAGTTTTTATTTTATATAATTTTTGTTAATATTTAGTTTAAAAAAAATTCAGGATAAAAAAGTATTCAAAATCAGAAATTTGCATAAATGGCGTAGATGAATGTAAGTTGATAGAGTTGCTACAAAAGTCCAATTGCCGTGAATATAACAAAATACCAAATGACTCTAAGCACCTATATAAAGGGGTGAGTACTAATAAAAAAAGGTAATATAATAAAATATAGAAATATACCTCTGTCTTTTAATTTACTATACTAATGATCATTTCTTATTATAAGATCCTGTGCATTGGATAGAACCATTTTTCGTTTCTCATATATAATATTTTATTGTTTATAATTTTAATTTAATTATTTATTTATATTTTAAATGAAAAAATAAAATTTAAACCAATCACACATTAACATGTAAAAGCGAGACTATAAAAGATCATATGATTACGTTTAAAAACGCACAACCATTTTACGTTAAAATCACGTATTTACGTTTAAAAATTTAGATTTATTTTGTCATGTTTTAGAATAAATCTATTGCTTGTTGTTTGCGGCTAACTCTTTCTCCCCCATGGGAATGTAACCTCAGTTTTATGAAATTCAGTTTGTAAAAAAAAAAAGATCTGATCCTCTTAACCAGTTATGACACAACCCCCTCTATACATATGCTTTAAAGTTAAACAGACCAGCTTTCTTGATTTTATTGAATTTCTCAAGATTTACAACACAAAACAAATGTTGAGAGTATCCTTATGAGTACAGTAGTTTTTAACGGGAGTTTTTAGATAACTCGATTACTTTCGAATTAATCATAACTCTGCTTTTGGATAATTTTTTTTTTGGGATTTATATAATTAAAAAAAGAACCGATCAAATTCAAAACCTCTTCTCTATTGAACCATTAATCGAGGAAGACTAATAAACCTCGACGCCAAGTCCACCGGTACTGGATTCTAAAAACTGAAAACAATCAAAAGGCCTAATAAACAAACAAAAGGCTTACAGTATTATTATTATTATTGTGGTTAGTTTTGTTAATCGGAGAGTGTTCCAGAAGAAAGAGGGGAAAATCTGGAAATTAGGGTTCTTCAACACAAAAGGCAAAAACTCTGATCCGTGAGGAGCAAATGGGGCAGATCGAAAAAGACGGTAAGAATCCAAATTTTGTTGTTTGGATAAAAGCTTTAAGCGTTTTGTGTATATGACTCTGATAAAAGCGTTTTGGGTAGCTCAGCTAGGACTTGTGTCTCTGTGTTATGAGTTTGGTTCTTTTCCTAAGAATCTGATTCCTCCTTGTATTCATTCGATGGGACGAGAAGAAAGAGCCCCAGTACACGACCCAGCAAGAGTACGTTATGATGAGAAGACAAGTCAGGAAGAGCCAGGTTCTTCTTCTTCTTCTTCTTCTTCTCTTTCAATTCAATCACTTTATTTTTTTGAGTTTTTTTCCCATATGTTGTTGTAACTTAGGGATTCGATTGATTCTCTGTGTTGTTGTAACTTAGGGATTCGACATTGATTTCACACAGTTCCGCTCTGTTTTCAATTACCGGCCTGTTAATTTAGACTGTAACGAGTATGCTATGGAACCAGAAACCACCAGAGAGTTACTCAAGAGGCTTTCTAAAAACTCCCTAAAGAAGTACAACAATGAATGGGTCTGCTTCCAACTTCTCTTTGCCCTTTCTATATTCATAGATACAAGTTTGATCCCTCTGCTAACCAATTTTGGTTTTTGGCTTTGTTACTTTTTTTTTATTGACACAGTTTACAAAATATGAGTTTCTCAAGGTTTTGTCAAAGCCAATTATTACATGTGTTCTGGTGTAATGTTTTTCATCACCTTTGAGGTTAGAGATCCTTACGACAACCTGCCCAAGCTCTTCCAAACTAGGGTCCGCGATTATTTTGGGGTTAAGGAATTCCACATATTATGCAGACCAAAACCCAATCAAGCAGGTATTACAATCTCTCTTCTTTCCCAATGGCTTAAGTAATCATTTAGGCCAGTGGTTTTTGCATGATCCTATATTATGTTTCATTAGACTCTTTTGTTAAAGTAATATTTGATTCCTTTTTTTCAGTCAAATGCGTTGGAACTGTCAAGTCCCCAAAAAGGTACCTAGACCAGTTGATGCATCTCTTCCCTTACTCTTCTTGTTCGAATCATGTATATTTGGTTCTTTACTCTCGATTCTCTTTTAATCTGTTTTCTTCTCTGTTTCATGATTGTTGTAGATTGGCATAGGATGCTTATGCGGTATCCATTGGCTATGTGGTGAGCACAAGTAGTGTTTGGAGTGTTAGCTATTATGGCAGAATTGTTCTTAATATAATATAACATGATGTAGTAATGTTGACTGAACTTTCTAGCCAGCTTCGTGTAATGGGCATGCTTCTTGTAAACTCTCTTTGTAGACATTTCTTATTATCCGTATGCAACCTTGTATGTTGTATCAGATTTCACGTAAGGACCAATTAAAAAAACCCCGAGTTAAATAGTCAGTATCCATTGAGTTTATTCATAACTTTGTAGGATCGGGCTATAGAGCTAATTAAGGGACCAATAGTTGGCTTAAGCAATATGGTTAAGTATTTTCACCTATACTAGAGTACATATGGTGACATAAGATATGCCGAAATTAGCTACACATGGCCCTATATATGTTTTTTTTAGCCAAGTCTGAAGAATTTGCCTCAAAGTTGCGTATTAGAATATGACACAACGGCCAAATTATAGAGTTATGAGTTTGGCATCCGATCCAAATAACATAATCGATTATGCGAAATTAGCGTCAAAATTGTGGAATATAGACTTAGCACAAACATTAAGGAATGGAGGAGGTTTAACCCCCAAAGTTGTGAAAGGTGAGGTTTGGTGCTAAAATTTCATAAACGCATATCCACACCAAACTTGCAAAATCAAGTTTTGGCGTTAAAACGGTATAATAGCATATTAGCTCTAAAGTTGCGGAACCAAGATTTCGAGTTTGGTAGATGAGTATATCATGTCTTGGGATACTCTTCTTTGTCATGCTGAATCAGTGAATCTTGCTTATAATCACACTTTTAACCGTACGATTGGTTAGAGCATGTGTCCATGTTGTGTATATAGCTTACTTGGTCAGCTCTCTTTTCTTTTATACGGTTTTGAATGATAATGATTTCGTTGAGGAGCCAGAAACCAACGTAAGATTTAATGACATACTTTAGGTTTTTATATATTTAACTTCTTAGGGGGAATAAATATATAGAGTGAACTATGAGTTGAAATACAAAGATCAAAAAAATTATAGGAGCTTACTTGTAATAATGGGAAATAGTTATATTTCAACTTTTCTTCAACGCCACTTTTGATACGTGAGAAGCGATGCGTGATCGTGAACAGTTTGAAGGTACGAATCTAACTTGGTTTTCTCTAAATTAAACTTTAGGATTTTTCTGTACCGGTTTGCTCAAAACTATCTTGTGATTCTGAATATAAGGTTGGACTAGGTGGCTCGAAGATGCATTTTTGCTATATACACCTGATGACCCTGAATGGTTGAGACCTTACTATATCACCCGAACTGAGGAAGAGGAGCCTCGGCTCACACCAGACCAAGAAACTGATCTGATGAACGAACAAATCGAAGCTAGCGAGGTTTTTTTCTCCTCTTTTTTTCTTTTTGGTCATAACTTAAGGTTTTGGTTTTACGTTATTAATACAACTTTCAAAATTGTCAAAAGGTTTTGGTTTTACGTTATTAATACAACTTTCAAAATTGTCAAAAGGTTTTGAGAGTTGATTGTTTGTGAATCTTTAGGGGTTTGATATTGATTTTACGAAGTTCCGCTGCCTTTTCAACTACCATCCTGTTGATTTTGATGATGATGAATTCGTTGAGGAGCCAGAAACCAATTTGGATTTACTCAAGAGGCTGTCTCAGAAGTCCATTGATAACTACAATCAAGAACATGTCAGAACTGAGCACTAGTCTCATTATTTGATGCTTCTGATTTTGTGTTTGTGGTGTCCATCTTTACAATCAATTACAGTATCTATCTATCTTTTTTTTCTTTTTCAAACAGGATACCGAATATGAATTTACCAAGGTTCTCTATTCCAATTTTCACATGTCTGCTGGAGTAATGTTTCTCATTACATTCCAAGTGAAGGATCTTGCTGATAACCTGACAAGAGAGTTCCAAGCTAGGATTCACTACTCTTTCGTCGACGAGAGCAACTTTGTCTTCTGCCGGCCGAAACCTGATCAAGAAGGTACTCTTTCTGGAATGAATCATAAAGGGTCATAGCAAAATCATTTGAAATAATTCTGCCTGGTCTATAGATTTACCTCTTTTTTACGCTTCCTTTTTATCTTTTTGTTTTGGCAGATTCGACCAATGAAGATGGCGTTGGAGTTGCTGAGAAGGAAGGCTAAGAACTAAGGTACACACACAAATTATCAAAATAAGGATGCATCGTCTCCTTCAAGTTTAATGTGAGAATCTTTAGGATTTTCCTTTGATATTCACAGATTGGAATAGGAGCCTTATACACGAGTGTTCCTTGGACTGTGTCCATCTATTTATGGCGAACTTACTAACTCTAAACTTACAATAGCAGATATAGCATGTCACCTTTTAGTGTTAAATTGAACTAGGACGTTTTAAACTCTGGTTGTACCTTAGACCACACTCAATCTCTCATATTATTTGAAAATATATTTTTCTGATGGATGTCTTATAAACATTTACGAACATTTTGCTTGGAACATTCATAATCATATAAGATTTGAAATCTCTACAATTCCAAAAAGATAAAAAAAAAATAAGTATAAGAATTATAAGAAATGTTGCACAAGATCAACAATAAATTATATAAGATAATTTGCATCAACATCATAAAAGACATTTAGATGGATTTAGCTTGTTATGAGCTTCCATCTTTATCTCTTGAGACTTAAAGTATGTTGGATTGTTTTGATAGTGGAACGAATTGGAAACTATCAAGAAATATGTCGACAAAGATGTCAGAAGACAAAAAGGTGACACAGTATCTATCTAGCTACAAGGGTTTTTACTTTGATGTTAGATTCTTGTATGTATGGTTGAGTTCTTACATTGATTTTGTTATCTTCAAAAATTGGCGTAAGAGCTTTTAAGATGCCACAAGATGTGAGAACTAAGAGATGCTTCTTTGTTTTTCTCTCAACTAGTTGATGTGACATGAATTGTGACTTCAATATTAGACTACACAACCGAGTCTTCTTCAGTGCAAACGGTCTATAATCATATTGATCGCTGCATAGCTATCAAAGACATCATTCTTGCCCAAATCGCAAAGCATACATAAATGTGACTTCAATAATCAAATTTCTCTTTTCCTCTGATTCATTAGGCCTTTTTCTTTTCAAAGTCACTTTTGTCTTTTCTATACTTTTTTTTTATATAGGCAACCAAATTCTATCTCTCTTTTTTTTCTATCTTCTGAGGGGGGTTATAAATGCTATAGCTTGAACTATGAGGAAAAATACAAATTGTAAGAAAATAATATGGACTGCAATGTAATTAAAATAATTTTATAGAAAAGAGTTAGAAAATAATAAAGAGCGATGGGTAATATCCTAATCTCTTCTTCAACTTCAACATCAATCATTTTTAACTACATAATTTCATTCGTGAGGAGCGATGGGTGAAATATTTGAAGGTACTAATTCAACTTGGTTTCTCTAAATTTAGTGTTTATGAATATTACTTCTGTAGCAATTGATCAAACTTATTCCGATCAATTATACAAGGTTGGACTTGGTGGGTCGAAGATGCATTCTTGCTTCATACACCTGATGAGCCTGACTGGTTGAGACCTAAATATCACACACGAACCGAGAAAGATGAGCCTCAGTACACAGTAGATGAAGAAATTGCCATGATGAACGAACAAATCGAAGCTAGCGAGGTTTTATATTTTATTTTTCTGTTTTTCATCTTAGGGGTTTGTTACAAAATATAGTCAAAAAAAAAAAAAAACCTTGAGAGTTTATTGTATGTGAATTTTAGGGGTTCGATATCGATTTTTCGAAGTTCCGCTGCCTTTTCAACTACCATCCTGTTGATTTCAATGATAAGGGATTCGTTGAGGAGCCCGAAACCAATGCGGATTTATTCAAGAGGGTGTCTCAGAAATCTCTTGATAATTACAATAAGGAAAACGTAAGAGAACTAGTCTACTTCTTCTGCTTTTGTGTTTTTTATCCACATTCTGACGAGTGGTTATATTAATGTCTTAAACCAGAACACAGAATATGAATTTGACAAGCTTGTTAAAGCCAATTTTCACATGTCTGCTGGGGTAATGCTACTCATTACGTTTCAAGTGAAGGATCCTTCTGATAGCAGCCTGCTAAAAGAGTTCCAAGCTAGGGTACACTACTCTTTTGTTGATGAAAGCGATTATGTCTTTTGTAGGCCGAAACCTGAACAAGAAGGTACTCTTTCGTGTCCATATATTGGGGAGCTTTTGTAATGGATGATATAGAGGGTGGTAACTAAAGCATATGAAATTATTCTTTGTGGAGTGTATAACATTTTCCTTCTATTATTTTTCCTGGTTGTTTCTTATGGTATTCTTGACTGTTTTGGCAGATTCGACCAACGAAGATGGAGTTGAAGTTGCCGAGAAAGATGACAAGAAACCAGGGTATGTATAATATGTATCTGGCCGAACTTGAATGCGTCGTTTCCTTAATGTTTGTTTTGAAAATTTGAGATTTACCTTTGATATTGGCAGACTGGAACAGGAGCCTTTATGCACGACTAGTGTGTTCTAATCCTTCGACGTGCTCTCATCTAGATTTGTGGCAAACACAAACAAGCTCTAAATTGTGATTTCTATAACTGTAGCAAAACTAGCATGTCCCCTTAATTGATTGTGTGTTTTAGTGTTCAGTTGATTTAGCTAAGAAGCCTTTAATGGCTTTAAACTTTGGTTGCTCTAGAAAGCTCATAATAGTTGAGGAAATTGTAAAAAAAGATTTATAGACATTTTGCCTGACAATGTAATAAGATAAGATTCTTATAAAACTTGACAATGTTGAGGAACAAAGAAAAATTACTTCAACTTCATAAAACTTGACATTTTTCTTTTTGATGGAAGCTTTAAAATAACGAAAACTAATTGTATAAACATAACAATAATTATAGATTTTGAGTGGTTTTTAGATTATAAATTTTGAATTTTAGTTTTTAGATTTTAATTGGATCATAAACTTTTATTTGGGAACAAGATTCACATCACATGCAGTATTGTCATTTTTATTTTTTTTGGTAAAAAATATGCATTATTGTTGATTGTCTTTGAAGCCTTAAGTTATAGGTGTAGCTTATATGTATTGTACTAGCCACAGCTTTGAATTATGCACAATTGTATCTAGTGTTTTTTTTTTTTGTGACTTCAAGATATGATAATGTACATCTATAATCTATTTATGATGACTCACGAAAGATTTTGTGGTTGTCGTCTGGCCGGTGCTGCTGGCGGAGAAAATTAGGGAAAAATTTTGGCGTCGTCTTGGTTGAAACTTTTTAAAGTTAAATTTTCCTTTTCTTTTGTTATTAAAATATCTAAATTCACTGAACGCTAAATAATATATTTTCACAAAATCAAAATTATTTTTCTTTTTTAAAGCTACGAAAACTCTTTAAAAACCCTACACCCCTAAGATTGGGATCCGAGAGGAGAGATGGCTGATGATTTTCCAGGTACGAATCCGAGTGTAGATTTAAGGATATAAGGACGGATCAAATCCCCTAATAATTTCGATTTTCTGGTGGCCTCAGATTGGACTACGGAGGACGTAACTCCATATATAAAGTACGAGGCTGGATCTGTGCCTGATTATGCGTTTGTTCCGTGTATCAGACGCGGTGAGGATGAAGGGCCTCATCTCACTCCTGACGAAGAGTTGCGCCTCATGACAAAACAAGTCAAGGAGACACATGTCTGTCTTGACAATTCTTAAATCATGTTTTAGTCCATTCTTTGGTAATCTAGTGTTTATTCTAATTGGGTGTGTTTGTGTAGGGTTTCGACATGGATTTTAAGCAGTTCCGCTGCATTTTTAACTACCTACCCCTTGATTTCAATGATGACGATTTCGTCGTGGAACCAGAAACCCCCAGAGAGTTAATGGACAGGCTGTCTCGTGGATCCCTTGTCGGATACAATGAAAGACAGGTCAGTCAAAACTATATAGAGTCTTAGGGGGTGTTATTGGTTTGTGAGTTATATGGAGTTTTAATGACTTTAGATGTTAGGTAGAATCTCTTGTTATTCAATCAAGATTTTACAAAACTCTTTTAAAGTTTGGTGTTATTAGTTATTGATTTGTAAAGAGTCATTCAAAATCTTCATAAATATGGGGTTATTGGATACAGAGTTTTACAAAGTCATTAAAAGTTCTGTGTTATTCAATTAAAACAAAAGAATCTATGATTGTTAATGAATTGAAATTTTATGTTATTGGTTTATGATTTTAAACACTCTTCTTTACAAAATAAAGTCATGAAAAGTATCTTATAAATACAAAGATTGTTTGACAGACTTTACAAGACTTTAAAAAAACTAATCAACAAGATTATATAAAACTCTCAAACAATCCTTTAAAATCATCCGATCTATGATTTTAGCAGAGTCATCTAAATTCTTTATAAGTTAGAATCCAATAACACCCCCTTATATGTTTAGTCTTTTAAGGTCTCATTGTGTTTTGCACTTATTTGTCTTAAATATATACAGAATACAAGATATGAATTAGTTAAAGTTATCAAAGCCAATCTTTACACCACTGCTACTACGGCCGTTATGTATTTCATTACCTTTGAAGGTAAGGATCCTTCTTCCTCTGATCAGCCAAGAGAGTTCCGAGCTAAAGTTTGCTATTTTTATCATGAACCGCCCAAGTACATCTCCTGCGATCTGGTACCTGAGGAAAAAGGTACTCTTGTCTTTCCCCTCAAGTAATTTAGCTTTTCGATCAATACTAGGTTTGTTGCACATGCACAATTGATTTGTATTCTTGATTATGATTTGTGTGATCAACTTGAAACTGATTGTAATTAATATTTGTTTGGATTGTTTTGGCAGTTCACTCCATTGAAACTACGGAGAAAGGAGACTAAGCTCCACCTTATGATAGAACAGTGATATATATCTACAAGGGTCATTATTACCTTGATGTTAGATTCTTGTATGGTTGCTTTTTTTACAATGATATATTGTCCTCTCTTCACATATTGGAGTAGGAGCGCTTTTATATGCCGTACAATGTGTGAGAATCACTATATGTTGGGTTGTTTTTTCTATGATCTATTTGAGTTGCCCAAATGACACTCTACTTCAAAACATAATGTATTGTTTACTTTTATATGGGTCGTACGTAGATTATTATAATGAGTATGAACATTATGAATAATATAACATATTTTTGTTTTAGTGTAAATAATTTGTGGTGGAAAAAGAAAAAAAAACAATCAGGAGGTCCGCGTACAAAATTACAACCATTTTTATAAGCATAAAAGAAAAACAAGAATTTTTATAAGCATAAAGGAAAAAACTTATTAGTCGAAATAACACTACAAATTTTTCTAAAAATATATATATATATATATATAGTCAAGCAGACAAAAAGTTACAGGACGTGATCATATAATATTATTATTATTATTATTTTTTTTTTTTTTTTTTTTTTTTTTTGATCATATAATATTATAGACGTTACCTTGTTACGTTTGTGGGTGCACAAGATTGGAGCCTTTGATTTACCTTTACTATCCTCTTTCATTTAAGCCAAAGGGTCGGTGCACTTGCAATCCTGCTCCAAATAGCTCCATTTTCCTTCATAAAGGTTTTCAAATGCCTCAAATCCTTAAGTCCTCCCAAATTTATGTATCTTGTCGAACATATCAACAAAAAGATGAAAGGCCGATAAACACTTGAGAGAGTCAACTTTCTTTTTAATAAGAAGATGAGATAAGTTTTGTGTTGATGCCACCGTCCAACAAATCCCTTCACACAATTGAAAAGATTATCAATATAGACACAATTTATATGTGCACATTTCATTCACATACATAAGTATTGAGACAAATTTGTATAATAATGAGTCATGAAACAGCCATACAACAAATAGTCCGGCCATGTAAATATTTTTCATCAATAAACTAATATATATATATATATATATATATATATATATATATACATTGAATTTGAGAAGATTTTTTAATAGATACTATCACATAACCTAAACCTAAAGCCAAGCCGAATAATAAAACTAATTCTGATAGTAATATTTAAACTCTATAAACATATACAGTCTAACTAAATCACATACGCATAAATAACTCACCTTTTCATTCTCATTATGTACTCATCTTGTATGCTCAAAATGGTATCGTTGTAAAAAGGGACGAAGAAGATGAATATAAAATATATTTTAACGGGGAAAAAAATCACTTACGCATAAATAACTCACCACGTTATCGTTTTAAGACGATGAAACTTAAGTTACCAAAATAGTATGGTCGTAATTTTATTTTATTTTTGACAGCAGTATGGTCGTAATTACATTTTTCAATATTCAAGGAAAACTAAAACTCTAATAATAACGGTTAACCTACAAAACCCATGAATACATTTTTTTCTGGACAATTATTATGTTTTCTTGGGACCAATACGAGGTTGATATAGTGGTCGTAAACTCGTCATATAACGTCCAAAAAGAATGTTTGGCAAAAAAAGAAAAGTACCCACAAGATCGCTTGATAAAAAATAATATTCCAAGTCTTTTATAGTTTTATCTATTTATCCAAATAATTAAGCGAACTTGCCACTGCTGTATCTCCCATGATTCCACATTTCCACATAAGAAACATTACGACTCATACTATTACTTGATAAAGCTAATTAGCTTAATGTTTGATTAAAGAAGTATAATAAACGTTAATAATAATCTTAACATATTGTGCCCATAAAAACAGACGTAAATTTTATTTATCTCTTAGAAGTTAAAAACATATCATCAGTAGCTTTAACTTATTTTACTTTCTAATGAAATTGCATTGTTCTATTATTTTGATGTTAATTGTTATTTTTTCAAAGCTTTATTAAAACCAATGGTTAACCAAAAGACAAAAACTTCCAAAAAGATACTCCATTTGTTTTTCCGATTGGTTGAGAAAACCCATCACATCACACTCATATGTGTCAACATTTATTTTTAACAACTCCCACATCTTCAACATATGAAGACAAATATTCTAATGTATTCTACTATTCTTTTATTCTCATTTTTTTGTCGTTTTATTTGTTGTTTCTTTGTATTTTAGTGTTTATTGTTTAATATTATTTTTGTCAACTCATATTGGTCTCAAAGTCTCAGACATACTCTAATACAGTCTTTAAAAAGCATATATAAGAACGACTACACCATTACGGTACGTACTGACATAGTAGTAGATGAGACTAGGAGTAAAAATAGATACACTATTTTATCAAACTAAAACCCTAAGGATAATGGATTACCTGTAATTATATATAGATCCCACTTAACATTTTACCTAGCCATATAAATCCCTTAAACCACTATACCTTTATAAAGTCAACTGATGATGTAATGTAATAGGTTACTATCGACCATTTATTTTCTTATACAAACTCCAAATATTTTATAGATATTAAAACAAAGTAAAATTATCTTATATTCTCAAGTAACTCATAAGCAACATATGAAAATAAAAAATACACAAAATAGTATATATTATATTATATATAAATATTTTTAAAGAAAAATAAAATAATAAAAATTTTCACATAGCATATCAATTTCTCAAATTTTAAAATGCACATCACATCTATAATAAATATCATATTTCCTATGGTGATGAGCATCTATATATATTTTATTAATTTTTCTATTACTAAATTATTTTATTTTATTTTTGTTGCATAATTATTTAAAATATGTTAAATGTTAAATATATATATATATTAAAAATTAGATATCTATAAATATATACATATCTTACGAAAAATAAAAATAAAAGAAAGAAAATATTAAGAAAAAATATGCTAAAAGAACCTCCTGTCCATTACCAAAAAAAAAAAATATGCTGAAAGAAAGGAAATATTAAGCAAAATATGCTAAAAGAAAGGAGATAGTAAGCAAAAAATATGCAAAAATATATTTGTAAAATCCGTTTTTAAAATGTTGACTTAGGAAGTTATTACTCTTGTAAAGCAAAATAATTTAAAAACATATTTGTAAAGTCCATAAGGATACTAAAATTCCAAATCTTTTTCTTCTTTTTAAGAACACCAGACTCAAATGATAATATATATTTGCTTGAATTAATACTTTTGTTCGCATAATGTTACCATGTGTCGTGATGAATACGGTCTCATAGTTGCACTAGTTGTATAAAAGTATTTTTTGGAATAAATTTTACATTTTATTCACAAACAAAAAAATGTCTCGATGTTTAGTTCAACTACCATCTCGTTGATCCGGATGATGGCGACTTCCTTGACGATCAACAAGAAACCAACGGGGAGTAAATGAAGAGGCTCTCTCAGGAACCCCTTAAGCGCTACAACGACGAATGTGTCAAGAGTTTAGAACTATCATTTCATTTATGTTTTTTTTTTCTTTTGTAAACAACAACTCAACTCAACTGAATTTGTTTTTTTTGATATAAATGTGATAAATGTGAATATCATTAATATATGAAGGTTTAGGAATTACAGAGGTAACGCCTAAATGATGCAGCCTTGCCAAAAAAAGATAAAAAACAAGGTTACAAGCTAGTGTTGGTGTCAACTGAAAATGTATAGAGAAACACACAGACAGTTACGCTTGGAACGCGCCAAGCAAACGCTTTTTCCTTCGATCTTTATTAACAAAATTTATCTTTTCCTAGGATACAATTTTGTCTCGGCTCTTACTCAATCTATTCCTCCCAATAGAATTGAACCCGACTAAAGAACGAGCACTAAACCTATCTCTCCTACACCCGTGTAGTCCCAACAGAAAAACAACACTCACCTTCTCAGCTTTTTGTTTTGCTAGCTTCGAAGTTTACAATCACGTACAAAGAGTCTAAAGTGTTCAAAGTGGCTCGTGGCCAAACCCTAGACTATTTATACTCACTACTCGAAACCCTAACCCTAGGATCTTCGAGGATCTCACGGAAACGGAATATACTTGCTTGTCAAGCTTATCCTTTCCTTATTTGATGTGAAGAATATTCACCATATCTTCACACGCAATTCGTCTCTATCTTTGCTGCCAAGCAAGAAATCTTCCTTAGCACGTCACTCCATCCACTTAAGCTTTGCCACGTCATCTCACGACTCCATGTCAGCAACTTCAAGTGTCTGATGTGATCCCAGGCGTCTGATGTGATCTCAGGCGTCTGAACAGATGCAGCTTCCTGATCTTCACAGCAAGATGTTCTGGAACTGCATCTTCATCAACAACACACAAAAAGATTATCTGATCCAAAGGATCATCAAATTTCTGAACTGCTTTCTAGATCTTCTAGCGGTGATAGTGTTTCTGATCTCCCTATCAATATCTTTGAAGATAGTAGGAGGGGGGAGCAAGACATCATTATGGACAGCGTTGTAACTCAACTGAATTGTTGAAACCAGTTAACTACTAGAGTACGAAATTGGAATTTCTAATTTTCACGTATCTTGTGGATATATGTTTCTAATCACGTTTGAAGTGTTTGATCCGTCTGATAACAACAACGAAAAAACCTTCCAAGCTAGGATTCGTTACACTTCACACACAGCCTGACTCAATTCGTCTTTTGTAGGCCTAAACCCGATCATATCACAAGGTACAAGAGTTATTGTTTCCACATATTTTGACTATGGATAAGTGATTCATTGTCTATAGTATAGTAGCCTCTTTCTCGTGTTTAAAGATGTGTATAGAGCTTGTGAAGTTGTGTATATTTATTTTTTACATTTTTTTGGATTGTTTTGGCAGTGGGCTCTGATGAAACTTCAGAGGAAGATGTTTCTTCCCAAATATTTCTGCTGCTGATGTGATGTCGTCGCCTTATGATGATGAGTACTAGCTGTGGCGATGCAATCTACAACAATAATGAGATCGATACTTTTGATTTCAAATGGCTCGTGTATGAAAATTACATGTTATTCTTCTTTTCTTAAACCCTGTTTTGTTTTGTGTTCAACCCATCATTGTTCGGTTTTTAATTACTTTTGCTCTGTCCGGATCCTCTACTGTTGTTTTTAACTTTTTATAATATGATTTAACTGAAGAAAATCACCAAAAAAATCTTTAAAAAAAGAAAGAAAGAAAGATCTTAGAACAGAGCTTTCGATTGGGTAGTAGTTGTCGATAACTAAAAGTATAAGGCCAAAAGACAAAAATAATAAAAAAAAACTTATAGGGACTTGAGTGAAATATATGGGATATTTTAATAAGAGAGTTCCAGAAGACAGGGGACGAAGCACTTTCTCCAAAACGAAAAGGAGGAAAAAAAAAAAAGTTAGGGTTCTTAATCTCACTCAACGATGTGTGAATTTGGTAGCGGTACGATTCGAATTTCCTCTATTTCAAGTTTAAAGGTTTATAATTTACTCTTGCCCATATTGATTCCAATTACATTGTCGTTTCAGGCTGGGTTAAGTTGCTCGAACCTGCGTTTTTGCTGTGGAAACCTACGGACTATGACTATGAGAGACCTCCATACATGACTCGGACTGAGAAGGATAAGCCTGAGCTCACACCGGAACAAGAACTTGAAATCATGACTAAAGAAGTCATTGCAAGCGATGTATGGTTTTGTTTTGTTTTTTTGGTTTATTTTGATATATCAATCAACTTTACTATACAAGTCTGTGAAACATATGCATGCATGCAGGGTTTTGATATTGATTTCAGTCCCTTCCGGTGCGTTTTCAACTACCATCCTGCGATTCTCCATTCATATGAATTCAGTGACGATGAGACAGAAACATGTGAGGATTTGCTCAAGAGACTTGCTCAGGGATCCCTTGATGAACACAATGACAAAAATGTGAGAGAACTTAGTCTTTTTGCCTTTGCCGTTTCAAATTCAGTTGGCTTTATTTATGAACTGTTGTTTTGTCTTATCAAAAAAACAGGGCACAAGATTTGAGTTTGTCAAAATCGTTAAAGCCAATTATCACTTTGCTGCTGCGATTATGTATCTCATAACATTTCAAGTTAAGGATCCTTATGATGACAAGATTAAACTCTTCCAAGCAAGGGTACTTCACGCTGACGGTATCAGGACTGAGTATGTCTTCTGCAGGCCTAAACCCAATCAAGAAGGTATACAACTTTCCTCTTAATTTCACCATATATATATGTTAGAATTGATTTAGCAGGTGAGAGCTTCCTTCTTTATTTCTCAAGATTTATAGTATTTTTGGATTGTTTTTGATAGTGGAATGCATTGGCACTATAAAGGATGTCCATAAAGATATCAAGTAACAAAGGTATCTACAAGGGTCATTAGTTTAATGATATATTCTTTGTATCGCTGATTTTTTTACATTGATGATATTGTGGTCTCACTCTTCACATATTGGAGTAGGAGCTTTTATATGCCACAATTAAGGTGTGAGAACCAAGAGATGCTCCGTACGTTGTAAGCTGTAAACTTAGTGGGACTTAAGTGTAGGTGAATACAAAATATGGGGAACGGATAGAATTAAAATCGAAACACAAGGTCTCAAGCTTTGGTTGCTCTCAAACTATTTAGAAAAAAAATAAAAAAGCTCTTATGAATTCTGAAAATAAAAAGACTTTGACTGAAGGATTTGTAATTATATTAGATTTTTTTAATCACTAAAATTCCAAAACAATAACAAAAAGGTTGCAAGAAACTATTTTTGTCAAGGAAGAAAGAGAGAATATACTTTCAACTTCATAAAATCATAACTTCAAAATTCAAACATTTTTGTCGTATTAACTAACGTTTGAACAGAGCTTTCAATTGGGTGGGTAGTAATTGAACGAAAACATAAAGCATGGGGTCAAAAGACAAAAGATAAATAAAAAACAGGGATGTAATAATATAAATATGGAATATTTCCTTATTACAATAAGAGAGTTCCATAACAAAGGGAACTTAACTGAAAACATCACTTTCCCCAAAGCGAAACAAAATTATAAGAAAAAAAAAAAGAGTTAGGGTTCTTCATCGACGATGGGTGAATTTGAAGGTAAGATTCGAATTTCGTTTTACCTTAAAAAGTTGATATATTTGTTCTCGCCGGCCCTAATTGATTTCGGTAACAATGTCTCTCAGGGTGGACATCGTGGCTGGAACCAGCGTATTTGCTGTGGAAACCTGGGGGTCGTGGCTACGAGAGACCTTCATACATGACTCGGACTGAGGAAGACGAGCCTAAGCTCACACCAGAGCAAGAACTTGAAATAATGACCAAAGAAGTCAATGACAGCGATGTATGTCCCCTTAAAATCTATCTCTTTGGTCTGTCTATTTATAAGATATTTAAATTAAGACAACAAAATCAACTTTACATGAATTTGGTTTGGTTGCAGGGGTTTGATATAGATTTCAGTTCCTTCCTTTGCGTTTTCAACTACCATCCTGCGATTTTCGATTCAGATCTATTCGCTGACGAAGAGTCAGCTACTACTGAGGATTTCCTCAACAGGCTAGCTCATGAAGCCCTTGATGGCCATAATGCCAAACATGTAAGAGAACTAGAGTCTTTGAATGTTTTATTTTGCTTTCAAAATTCCAATAATATGTGTTTATGTTTTCTTTGTTTTTGAAAGCAGGGCACAGAATATGAGTTTGTCAAAGTTGTTAAAGCTAATTATCACTTTGCTTGTGCGATTATGTTTCTCATAACGTTTCAAGTGAAGGATCCTTACGATGACAAGATTAAACTCTTCCAGACAAGAGTTCGCCAGGGTAGACATATCACCACTGACTTTGTCTTCTGCAGGCCCAAACCCAATCAAGGAGGTATATTAATAAAGTGTCTTTCTTTTAACTTGGCTGTTTATTTGGCTGTTTCTTGAGATTTATAGTATTTGGTTTGTTCTGATAGTGGAATACTTTGGGATCAAGAAAGATTCCAAGAGAGATATTGAGGAACTTGTCAACAAAGATGTTCAGAAAGATGTCAAGAAACCAAAAGTAAGTGAGGAAATGCATGGGTCTTTTACTTTACTGTTTTAGATTCTTGTATGGTTGATTCTCTGTGTTGCTTCTCTTCTCTTTACAGATTGGAGTATGAGCTTTCGGGCGCCACTACGAGTTAGAATCCAGAGATGCTCCATTCTTCTTATATCTATTTGTGAACTAGAGATCACTCTTAATTAATTACTTATGGGAGTTCTTGTGTTAGCTGCGAAATGGAATTTAGTTGTATTGTTTACTTTTATATGTACCGTAGATTATTATATGAGTATCAACATTATCTTTTGAAATGACTCTCCTCTCTCCATCACAGCGAGAGAATTTGAACTGAAAGCAGAGATTTTCATTCATCTTCTTCCACAAATTCTCTGTTTTTTTTTCCTCGCTACCTCAAATTCGCAGTTGCTTAGTTGATTGTACTGCGATACAGTTCCATTTCCACTCAGGCTCACTTGCGGTTGATCTTATGGATCGAGTTGCTTCCCAACTGACGTTGATTCTGGTTGGTGCTTCAGTTCAATCGACATGATCTACTTGACCTAATGCAGACACAATCAGGATCATACTTGGATCTCTGTCCTGAGCATTAGAGAGTTATTCCGATTTACTTTCATAGCGCAGGTGCACTAATCTGGTATGTTTGTGGCTTCTCCACTCTCTCCCTACGATTGTTAGGTTCTGGAACAATCTCTATTGTTTATGGTGGTACCTTGTGGCACATTTTGGGAAGTAGAAATGTTTCTAGACAGCGGGAGATATGGTCAACGGGATTTTTTGGGGCATTTTTGACTCAGTTTAATGCTCCACAAACTGTTACTTCTTTGTTGCGTGTTTATTTGCTCTCCTTCATGCACATCAATCATGGATTTAAGGACTTCTAGAGTTGATAACGAAAATGGAAGTAACAACTGAGATTTTTTTTCTTCTTTTTTTTGGCTTGATAGTGTCATGCTATGTTTGATTCTCACATTCAACCATCTACAAGAAGAATGGACAAGCTGTGTTACTCACCAATTGATGTCTATCAATTCTGCTTTGGTTTGTGATATCGCTGTCATGGCTGCTTTTCTGTGAAAGAATTGCTTCACCAAGCCTTGTTCCAAGGCAGAGGAGTTTTGTTTTACATTTGGCCAGGGAGTATTGCGGTTTACATGTGGAGCTGATTCCCGCATGTTGTAGTTGTTGCTTTGTGATCCTACCTGAGTTATGTGGGCTCCTTTGCTCATGTTCTTATGCTTGCGTTCCAGGCAGCTAAGTTTTTTTTTGAGAACTTATTTTCTGTTCCTCTTCTGCAATTACAAGATCATGTTGAAGGAAGACTATATGCAGCTCTGTCCAAGGTTTCACCATCGCCATTTCTTACCATTAATGTATTAACTTCTCTGGTTTACTTTGATGTTTCTTAATAAGGAATGGTTGTTGCAAAAGATGGTTTATGGCTGATGTATTGATAGACGAATGGTCGCCATCAACCAGATGATTGATGATAATCAAGGAATCAGGTGGCTGTTCTGTAGGTATCAGAGGTGCTTCTTCGCTCACTTGATTTTAATGTAGATCCAAGCTTTCTTGTGATGTGTTGGCTATGTGATTGTGGCATTTTTAATCATCGGTTTGACTGCTGTGAGTTCATGCTGCGGCAGGGTTCATGGTTGTCAACCATTGGTTGAGCATGAAGAACTTTAATTGTTGCTTATTAACGTACATCTATAAAGACAGAGTCTTCTTTGATATGTGATTGCTACTTATTCTGGTGGTTTACACTCGTTACTTCTTCTATGAATAATTAACAAGGTCACCAGATTTTCAGTTAAAGCCTCTCAAGTTCACATGGATGCTTCCTCGTTGAGAAGGTTATAGAGGCCACGAGCACACAGGGTTGTTCATATTCAAGATGAAAGTCCATCTTGAGGGGGAGTATCATATAGACTAAATTGTTGGTTAAAGGTTATATTTTGGTTTATGTTTAATCTTTGGTTCAGTAGTTTGTACGAAGTATTTATAGTTAGGAACTCCATCTTGTTTATTTCACTCGAGTGAAGATATTTCCACAATTCTCTTTCCCTCTCGAGCACCTTGAGAAATTCTGAAAACTCACTTGGTCAAATTAATATAGAGTAGATTAAAGAAACACGCTCGCAACTTTAGAGAACTAAGAAATATAAAGTAGATTAAAGAAACACAGCAACAGCCAACAATGATCTAAAGTTTAGAGTATAGACTAAAGCGCGAGAGTAGTTTTAAAAACAATAAACATGCAAAGGAGTCAACGAACGGCTTGTTTACTCTTTCATGCGTTCTCTTCCGTAATCTGCCTCTTTCATGCGTGTGCCCTGACGTTTTGTCCTTCATAGTGATCTAGAAGCTGTGTAATATATAAAAACATGGTTATTGTAGTATAGTATCGAAATGTATCCATCTATATTATAACTAGCTAGTTATCTATATGCTAATTATCATACCACAGGACAAACGATCTTGGTAAAGAGAGACGGTTTTCCTCTACCAAGACTGATCTGTCGAAGTATTTTTCCGTATCCCTTGTTTCCCCATATCTTTCCTGCTGAGTTTTGGACTTTCCAAAAATGGATGCCTTTAGGCATTTTTGTTCCGATGCCGCTCACTAAAATCAAATGTTCGTCAATCTTGGGGCTGCCTTTCTTAGGTCCACAATAAATTCCATCCTATTTCAAAAAGTATGAAAATATCAATAAATAAATATATAATGATATCATAGAAAAACATTTAAATTGCACCAGGGAAAAAATAATAATGTACTAACCCCTTCAAAGTTAGAAAAATCGATATGAACATCCATACTAACTGCCACTGGACCTTTGATGAGCAAACGTATAAGTTCAGTTTCATTTACGTTGTCTTTGATGATCAGATCTTGTACCTTAAACTTGTTTGCATGCTGCAAAATAATGAATTAAGATATAATATTCTTTTGACATGCACCACGACTAAAAAAATACTATAATAAGTCAAGTAAAGACTGAACAATATATATATGGTTACCTTGTTTTTTTTGTTCTCGGTACACAGTTCCGGATTGGGTTTGGTGATATCGTTTTTGTACTCTAGAGCTAGTTGAGGACAGTTGCATTCTTCCTCTAATACAGTGCCATGGTCGATTAAAAATGTCCTCAAATGCTCTAAGTTCTTAAGTCCCCCGGTAAGATCGACCCGGTCAATAAGACCCACTAACAGATGTAATGCCGACAAACACAACGGAGGATCAAATCTTTTCTCAGCTACAAGACGTGCAGACAAGCTTCTGGTTGATGCAATTGTCCAACACGTACCTTTATGTACAAATTATTAAAAAACAAGATTATTTTTCTGACTTCCAATCTATATAAGAATGTACAAACATAATAAACAATTATATATAGGGTAACAGTAATACACAATTTATAAAAATAAAAAGACAAAAATCCAAAATACTTCATGCATGCCTGTATATGAACCACTTGTTGCCACAACTTTTCATCCATGTACTTTCATGTTTTCCAGTATATAAAATTGCGGGAATCTAAATTTGATGGGAGAACAACTTTTTGGGACACACAAAAACATACATATTCAAAACAAAAAATTATGTTTTGAAAACAAACATCTTTTTTGAAATATTCCGTTTTATGCTTCTATTGGACAATTTGGATATGACAACTTATAAGATTATCCAACCAAATATTAATATACTTCCTACATTTATACTGGAAGTACTGGGAAATATGTACTGGGAAAAAAAAAAAACCATAACTGTTCATTTATAAACATTTTTTGAAGCATTTTTTTATTTATTTTACTTACGTCGATTTCCTTGATCCATCACTTCTCTTAGAACCCCCAGCACGCCATCCCAATCGAAATTAATGTTTTTAAATCCAGGTGGAAGATCCTATAAACACAATTACACAACAACAAAAAGGTAAAGAGTTATATATGTTTATGGATTAAATAAATAATAAAATTCCTTTTAATATAACACAAAAAAACATAGTCGAGTTAGAATCAATACAAAACACTTTAGAAGAAGAGGATACTTACTGTAGGATATTTTTCGTCCGACTCCGTCAACTAGCAATAATCATATAAACTATTAGTACGTAGAAGATAGTAATAATTCATGTTTTGCAAATGACACAACACAAACAACAAAATTACCCTAATTTCTTGTGCTGGCTTCGGAGGGTTTTTATTTTTCTTACTACCGCCTCCACCGTAAGAGTACCCGTCATTTTCCATCCTGTTATTTATCTGAAAATGGATATGTTACGATATTCAAATGAATCCTTTTTATCAACTAGGAGTAATATTTTACTACACTTTCACTATGCTACGTCTACACCATAAAAACACGTCAAAAAATCGTTTATCAAGAAAAAAATCGTAAAGCTTGTGAATGGCGATGTACCAGAGCAGCTTGTGAACGGCGGAGCCACCGAGAGGAAGGGTCGGAAGAACTTAGGGTTTTTCACCTCGATAAGAGGGCCTGAGAGCGTTTTTGACTTTTACTTTAAGAAAATAAGTTTTTGTTTGGACAAGAACACTTAGACCATCATTATTGGGGGGATCTTATATAAGATCTTTTATTTGCAAAAACCGGGGGATCTTAGCCTCTAAGATCCCCCCAATAATGATGCTCTTACAACAAAACGAACTACCAAAAAATTGATGATCAAATTAAATAGAAATGTACGTACGTATGGGGGAACAGATGGATATTATTTGGCTCACACCAACTTGTAACTTTGTTAATTAAAAGACACAGATTATTTCATTTAAGTCTCATATGTTTGAAAATGGTTGGGACTTCTTACTTTGTTATTGGCTGGCTTCGTAATAAATAGTGTCCATTGTTATTACTACTATTACTTATTACTGTTGTTCGGTAATAAGTAAGTCTCAACCATCCTTTTGTTCATACGAACAATTGTAATAAATAATAGTAGTATATTTCATCATTATCTTGCTAAACAAGAAAATGCACTATAAACATTTTATTGATATGATTCTAATATTAATAAAAACAGTTAATAAGCAACATATGGTTATTTTTATTATCTCACAAGTCACACTAAGCAACAGAAAGGTTATTATTATTATCTCATAAGTCACACCAACACGTTTATATTACACATACAGTATGATCGCGTACGTTAATGTGTAATTGTGTAAACGTATGTGTAAGGTGTGCCTATCATGAGAATTGAGAAGGGTAAAATCTAATTGAAGCAACTCTGCGAGTATGGGTGGTCTTGTCACAATTTACATCTCCTAATATAAAAATGTTTGTTTATTGTACGTTTAGATTTCTTGCTTTCTTTCATTTCATCCATCCTTTTCTTTGTGTGATAAATCACCATCTATTCGTTTACTATAGTCATATAATATAATCATAGTGTGCTTTATAGATTAATTGAAGAATGATTAGTTTAACATACTAACTTTAGTAAGTATAAAGTTTTTTGAGTGTTTTTTGGCCGAAAAATAGTTTTTGTGATTTAGGATCTTAGTTCTTAATTTTTTATTCATGAGATGAAATGCTTTGGCTAATCAAATGAAGATGAAAATTGCACATGTCATATAAAAGCTTTTAAACTGCAGGATTAAATTTTTGTCAGCCATCAATCTAATGATTAGTTTTGCCATATGCATGCATTTAAAATCATATACGTATCATCATGTCTACATGAAATTTAGTTTATTAGGAAGTACGTAGTCAAGTTTAGTCATCGTTAAAAAAAGTTATGGTAACGAATGATGAAAAAATTTACAAATTTGCAACTGCGAACATAAATTCAGAGTCTATGTTAAAATTACAGTTTTCGTTATAAATAAAGTATATATATATAACGGATTAGAAGCGTTAAGACCATTATTATTGGTGGTATCTTAAGCATTTTTTAGCTTAAGATTTGCTAAGAATTGTTATTATAAGAGATATTTTTTTAACAAATTTTATGTTATAAAATACTTAAGAAATCACCAATAATAGTGGAATCGGAGATGTTATACAGACTTAGGGTCCATTATAGTTTTCCACGTATGACTATAATTGGTTAGAAGAGATATTTTTTTATAGTAGTTTTTGGTTTTAGTTTTTCTAAAAATATATTTTAGTCATTCACAATTCACAATTGTAAAAATATATTTTGTAGTCATTCGCAATTCATAAGTGTATAAGTATATTTTGTAGTCATAACTATGAGTTAGTCACAAACTAGAGATTGTTGTTGGGGATAAAAGACTCAAAATATTTGTTTTTCCGTTTACTTACGCAAAAAAGCTTTCTCGTTCTACATGCCTTTTTCTTCTACAAGGTGCATACAAATGAAATAAAATTGATAATTCTGTACAAATATACAATTTTATATTATTTACCAAGTATTGATATTAGTTATGTCTTACCGCTGGGTAAGACATAAGGATTAGAGATGATTTTTCCTTCTTTTAATTGCTATGTCGAATTTAAATTTCCAAACCCATATTTCTCCGGTAGTTAACTATGTCCGCAGTTGTTCAAGAATATTAATAACAGTTTGGATGAAGAGAAAACAAAAATATAACTGAAGATTTGTTTATAAGTTAATTAATTTGCGATGTCACGGATAAGAGTTTTTTGGCATTGATAAATGTAGTCATACGTATTTCCCAAGTAACACATTTGTGTCAATAATCATGTCAAACATTATACATTGCTTGTGCAAAAGATTTTGATTTACGTATTAGTTTCACATTTAGTTACGTATGTCGCATAAAGTTTTATAAAGGCTAGAATCTTTATTTAAATGAGTCAGATCTCCATTGTCAATTAAGCTTTATGAAATTGGAAATTTTCGTAATTCCTTGCAACCTTTTTTAATATAAAAAAAAGTTAATAGATTAAAAAATTAATATGATCACAAATTTTTTAAGTAAAATTTTCTTAGAATTTATAAGAGCTTTTTTATACATATAAATGTCTAAATGCTTTGAATGTGTAATCACTGAGTAATGTTTGCAAGCCATTTAAGATCCTTTCACTTATTTGTATCCAAATTCTTTGAGTAATGTTTGAAAGCCATTTAAGATCTTTTACTCTGCCATCTTCAAATGTTTAGAGCCATTTCCACGGGCTGTCAATAACAATCCAAGGTTTCAAAGTAATTGATCCATAGAATCGAAGTAAGGGCTCTTATATACATAATACATGTATATGAAAATATCATATTTCTTTGACATCTTCCACGAAAATTTCATCAGAGCTTATTCCACTGCCAAAAACAATCCAAATTTAAAAATAAATGACTGAAACAGAGATAATAACCATTTTCAAACGAATAAAAAAGAAAACCAAAGATACATACAATTTCACATCTTTAAACAAGAGGAAGAGGCAAAATACATACCACAATGAACCACTTATGATTTTTCTATTGAGATTCCCACAACTATTAAAAAAAAACATGTAGAGAGAAAAGAGTACCTTGAGGATCAGGTTTTGGCCTACAAAAGACGTATTGAGCCGGGAAACGTAAAGAGTAACGAACCCTAGCTTGGAAGAGCTTTTCTTGGTCGTTATCATCAGACGGATCCAACACTTGAAACGCTATGAGAAACATATACCCAGAGCTGCAGTGAAAATTGGTTTTGACAACCTTGACAAATTCGAACCTCGCGCCCTGTTGTATAAGTGTACAACAACATCTAGTACATAGATGAAGAGCATGCATGTATATATATTTAGTTTGACCTCCTCCTTATTGTAGCGCTTTAATGATTCTTGAGAAAGCCTCTTCATTAGATCCCCATTGGTTTTTGGCTCCTCAACGAAGTCAGTATCAGCAGGATCAACAAGATGGTAGTTGAATAGACATCGGAACAAAGAGAAGTCAATATCGAACCCCTCATAGTTTCTTTTTTTTTTTTTTTTTTTTTTTTTTTCTGTTTCAACTACCATCTTGACAGACAATTATGAATGTGTGGACTGTAATATAAAACAAAAAGAACCATAGTTTAGAAAAACCTCACCAAATCAAACTCACATGCTCACTCGCATATTCAAAAACTTACTATTTGATTAGTTATTATTCAAATAATATTCCTCGTAGCTAGTAACACCATCTTTTCAATATTTTAAATATTTCTTGATTTAAATAAGAAGTTTTAGGTTTTGGTCTTTACATTCTAACAAGAAACTAGTATATGAAATTATTGATTTTTTTCTACAATCAGATTCGAATATAGAAAAAAAAAAACTTTTCGTAGAAAATAATATAATATAAATTTAACATACTAAATAGAACACAAGAATATGATAAATAAACTATTTTTGTATTTTTTGTTATTTTTATTTTATGTGTTTGGATAAATGACGATTATGAAAATGTTACAGCCCAGTCCATGAGTTTTGTTAAGGTTTTTAGCCCAATGATATTTTGAGCAAGTAGTATAGTCACAAGAACATTTAAATCCCATGCAATAACTATGGAACAAGACTTGTTCCGCTTTTAAGTACATAGCTATTGATTTGGATGACAACGATTTATCCATGGAACCAAAAACTACGAAAGAGTTGATGGATAGGTTTGTCTTGAGGGGATGAATTGAGGGATACAATGAAAGTGAGCTCGAAACTATCACATGCTTCTGCTTTTAAATTTTCAATATCTACACTAATACAAGATGTTGTGCTTATATATGTATGAATGGTTTTTTTTTTTTCTTAAAAAACAGGATACACAATAATGTATAAATTTGTGAAATTTATCAAAGCTAATCTTCACATGACTGTCTCGATCACTGCTGCCATAATGTATATGATCACCAAGGTATATGATATCATTTTACTTTGATGAGTCTTTGCCTTGTGTTGATTTTTAATGATTCTTTCTATCTAATTAAGGACTAGTCACTTTGCTGAATGTTTTTCTTGTTTTTTGTAGATATTCTCATACTAACAGAGGTGCTATCTAGTATCTAATTAACACTGGGTGGTGAGACAAGCACTTATGTGATAATTGACCTGATCAGTATATTTATATAATTATATAGTTTGAGGTAATGTTAGACTCAGATAGGTAGAAAAACAATGAAGCATCGCTCTGGTCTCCCACACCTTGTGGCATATAATTAAAAGGTCCTACTCACAATCTGTGAAGAGAACAACACCAATGTAAGAAAAAAACTCAACCATATATACAAGATTCTAACATCAAAGTAAAGACCCTTGTAGATAGATATGTCTGTTACCTCAGTTTCTTGAACATCTTTCTTGATAGTTCCAATGCATTCCACTATCAAAAAATTAATATGGAAGTTCACAACAAGATATATATCAACATAACATGGTGAAAGAGGAAAAGTATCTTCCACAATGAATCAGTTACGCTTGGTAGATGGGGAAAAGGTTAAAGGAGAAAAATTATACCTCCTTGATTGGGTTTAGGCCTGCAGAAGATGTACTCGGTCACGATGTTTCTAGCGTGGCGAACCCTTGCTTGGAAGAGTTTGATCAAGTTATCATAAGGATCAACAACTTGGAATGTTATGAGAAACATTAACGCACAACAACAGTGAAAGTTGGCTTTCACAACCTTGACAAACTCAAATCTTGTTCTCTGTTTTGTCAAACCAAACACATTTAATTATAAATATAGGCACATCATATTATTTGAAGGGACATATGCATAGACTAGTTCTCACGTTTTCATGATTGTAGTCATCAAGTGAACTCCGAGAGAGCCTCTTGAGCAAGTCCCTAGTGGTTTCTGGCTTTTCAACGAATTCATGTGACTCGAGAAGAGCAAGGTGGTAGTTGAAGACACAGCGGAAGTGTGTGTAGTCAATATCAAACCCCTGGTTGTTTCATATAAAATCAACTTCACATATTTATAGAGCTCAAATAACCAAATTCATAAGAATATAATACATCGCTGGCTCTGATTTGTTTGTCGAGTAAGGCAAGTTCTTCCTCTGGTGAGTACTTGGGAGGAGTATCGTTCTCCTCGGTCCAGTCACTGTACGCAGGTTTCTGATAGTCAGGATCCTCAGGTTTACATAGCAAATACCCTGGTTCCAGCCACGAAGTCCACCCTAATACATTGTAATCGATCAGAGTTGATCATGCCAGAGCAAATTATAAACCTTTAAACTCTATTAAAACGAAAAACACAAAATCGTGTGTGAAGTCAATATCAAACCCCTGTGGTTGTTTCACATAACAATCAGTTTCACAGATTCATAGAGTTAGCTCAATATATCATAACATAAGGGGGAAAAAAGAATATAATACATCGCTGGCTCTGATTTGTTCGTCGAGTAAGGCAAGTTCTTCCTCTGGTGAGTACTTGGGAGGAGTATCGTTCTCCTCGGTCCAGTCACTGTACGCAGGTTTCTGATAGTCAGGATCCTCAGGTTTACATAGCAAATACCCTGGTTCCAGCCACGAAGTCCACCCTAATACATTGTAATTAGCCGATAGGAATTGATCGGGCGAGAGTATGTATATATAAAACACATTTTCTAATAAAACGAAACTCTAATCATACCTTCAAATTCAGTCATCGCTCTAGCTATAGTCACGATCGAATGATATATGTCTAATGTTGATAAACCCTAACTTAAGAACACTTTATAAATTATGCAGACTATTTCTTATTTATTTTACGCAAGTCCCTTTTATTTCTTGATCCTTCTTCTTTGGCCCTTATACTTTTAGTTCTTTTTTTACTATCCCCGCCGAAACAACAATGTACATTAATAAGTTTGACGGACCAAACCCGTAAAAATTGCATTCATAAAAATAGCAATCATAACACGTTCTACCGTATGATTGTGAGTTTCATAAACCAAGTAGTGCACTTTTAAAATATCATGAAAATCTAATATATATATATATATATATATATATATATATTCTGTATCATATATGTATTAAGATTAGATTTTTCTTTAAAGATGTTGTTGTGAAAGAATTTTTAAAAATATTAAAGATATTGTAAATTTTTGAAACTAGGATTAGTTTTTTTTTTTTTCATTGAAAATAGAATTAGTTTAGTTTTAGAATGATTGTTAAAAATTTAAAATTTTAAATATTTGGAAACTAAAATCTTCAAGATATTTAAAAATTTGAATACACATTTTTTTACCAGCGTCCGGGAAGGGATGGGTCTGACCAGTGGTAAACCTGAACCACCGATCTTTGCAATTGTGTCTCTAAAACATCTTCAGTGCCTTCACGCCAAGGCGGTGGTAATGGGCGTCGACTGTGACAAGGTAATTCATAAGAAATTTGAAGATCTCTATCGCGCTCTAAATGTAAGTGGATGGATTCTTGTGGCATTTTATATCTAACAACCCTTTCATCCTATAATTAGTTAACTCTTTTTAATTAATTTTGTTTGTGTGTGTTCCAGGGTCCATGCATAGAAAAATTGGTGCAAGAAGGTAAAAAAATTGATGAAGCTGTAAAACTAGTGCATCAGTGCATCAAATGCATGGTTTTGACGTGGACGTCCGCTTGCATAATATCAAACTGAAATTTCCGTGAGAAAAAGGTTAATTAGTAAGGGCATTCTTTATCTAGAGCCTTTGGGTTTTGCTAGTCTTGAGATTAATTTGTTACTGCTATAGAAGCTGAGCTGAGTGGAATTGGATTAATGCCAAATATTGGCCGTAGTTACTTTTTCTTTTGTCCTAATTTACTAGTTAGGGCAGTAATTAAACCAAAATTAAATAAATTTATGTTTGGGAGTTACACTTCAAATTTGTAACTTAAGTTTTAGACATGGGAATTAGATTATATAGTTATTATATTGAAGAGAATATGAATAAGTACCAAAGGACTGTCACATGAAAGACAACCTAATTGAATTTGATACTGAAAAAAAAAACAATAAACCAAATGAATGTAATTAATGTGTTATATATTCTCTTCAAAGCAATGTACATTACAAATTGGTCTTTCGATTTTGCTTATTCCGTTTATGAAACTTTTCATAATTGTTAGAAATATATGATATCACAAAGGAGGGCTTGAACTAATTAAAAGTCTCCATACGCTTGTGACTTAGGTTATAAGCAATCATCCGTTCATTTATCTAATCATGAAAAGAATTATGAAAACAAATACAGTAATAAACAAAATCATACTCTTATCTCAAAATCCTAGTTACCTAAATTTTTATTTATTTATCGATTTACACTAAAAAAAACAACAACCAAAAAAACACTTTAAAATTCCCCTGTTTTCCCTCAAATCCTCGTGGATTTGGTCATCATTCGTTATCCACAAATCCCAAAAATAGCAAAATGAATCATCTCTATCTCTCTTCTTTGTTCAAAACAAGATCTTTTATTTGGTCAAAAAGGTTTGTAAAGTTGTTATCATTATCCTCAGTTATATAAACCCTCTCACGAGTTTAATTCCAAAGGATCACAAAGACACGGATCATCTCTTCTCATTCGTCTTTAAGAAACCAACCAAAAGCAAAAAGCTTTCTCTTTCTCTAACCTTTTCCTTAATTTCAATTTTGCGGCGTCCTTCTTATCCACTCACAAGAAAGCAACAGATCATTAAATCCCAGATTAAAGAAAAAAGACTCAAACTTTTCCCTCTCTCTCTCCTTTTCATTGATTTGCTTAACCACAAAGTTCTCTTAAATAGTGAAGAAAAGCTTCGATTTTGGGAAGTGGGTTTTGTTTTTTTTTTGGGGATTTGAAAAATGGGTTCTTCTGTGGAGCAGAACATTTTGGTGACTGGTGGTGCTGGATTCATTGGAACACACACTGTTGTTCAGCTTTTGAATCAGGGTTTTAAGGTTACCATCATTGATAACCTTGATAACTCTGTTGTTGAAGCTGTTCACAGGGTTAGAGAGCTTGTTGGTCCTGATCTCTCTACCAAGCTTGAATTCAATCTGGTCAGTACCTTATAAAGCTTCGATTTTTATGTAACTTCAGGAATTGAGATTGTGTATGTTCATCTTGCTCTGTTATTAGTAGATTCTTCATATAGTAATGGCTTGTGCGTTTGTTTGGAAGTTATATAAGATTTTGGATGTTTTTGATTAATTTAATTGCAGGGTGATCTAAGAAACAAAGGGGACATTGAGAAACTCTTTTCCAATCAGAGGTATTGTGACAAGTTTTTAAATTGAAGTTATGCAATTTTTTTATTCAGGTGAAGTGATCTCTTTAATATTTGACTTCTGATTCTTTGTGAGGGAAAACAGATTTGATGCTGTGATTCACTTTGCTGGTCTTAAAGCTGTGGGAGAGAGTGTTGGAAACCCTCGTCGTTACTTTGATAATAACTTAGTTGGAACAATCAATCTGTATGAGACCATGGCAAAATACAACTGCAAAATGGTTAAGATTAGAATCCTCCACTTTTGAATATGTGTGTCTTGTTTTAGTTTAGTTTACCAAATTGTTCTGACTCTTGAGTTTTTTATACAGATGGTCTTTTCATCGTCTGCAACAGTTTATGGCCAGCCTGAAATAGTTCCATGTGAGGAAGACTTTGAGTTACAGGCTATGAATCCTTATGGTCGTACTAAGGTACCTGGGACGTCGTCTTATCTGTTTTGCTCTGTTTCTGTGTCCATATTTTTGAAGGTTATATCATTTGTTACTGAGATCTTGATAAGCAAATGATGTATTTGTGTAGCTCTTTCTTGAAGAAATAGCTAGAGACATTCACAGTGCGGAACCAGAATGGAAGATCATTCTTCTAAGGTACTTCAATCCGGTTGGAGCTCACGAGAGTGGAAGAATTGGAGAAGATCCAAAAGGCATACCGAATAATCTCATGCCTTATATCCAACAAGTGGCAGTTGGACGACTCCCTGAACTCAATGTATTTGGACATGACTATCCTACCAAGGATGGTAGCGCGGTACTGCATCAATAATACCGTTTCTCTATTCATAAATTCAGCGTGGGTTCCTGATGATACATTGATAAACTAACATACACTACTTGCAGGTCAGAGACTACATTCATGTGATGGATTTAGCAGATGGCCATGTTGCAGCATTGAACAAGCTATTTTCAGACTCAAAGATTGGTAAACTCTATAAGACATTTAACTGTCTGAAAGGTTTGGTTTTGATTTGATGGACTCAAATCTAATATTTTGTAAGTGTTGGTGTGTCATCTTAATCTTAGGCTGTACTGCTTATAATCTTGGGACTGGTCAAGGAACTTCTGTCTTAGAAATGGTTTCAGCTTTTGAAAAAGCTTCTGGCAAGGTAAAGTTTCTCTTCTTTCCCTGTCTCTCATTTCCCTAATTATAATCTTGTGCGGATGAGACTGAAGATTTGCTGTCGGAAAATGCTATTAACAAACACATTTCACTGCAGAAAATCCCTATCAAGCTATGTCCAAGAAGAGCTGGAGATGCAACAGCTGTATATGCTTCAACTGCGAGAGCTGAGAAAGAACTTGGATGGAAGTAAGTCATCGGTTTCATACCATTCTCTCGTTCTAATGTTTTTCGATTGGATATGAAGTCGAATGAGTTGATTTCTATGCAATCTTCATGTTCATAGATATAACAAAGCAGATTAAGTGAAGATGGTTTGATGAACTTTGATATGAACTCAAGAATCATAACTTGAATAAGGGGTTTATCAATCTTTCTTTGTGTGTTGATTACAAACAAGGGACTGAACTGTATCATTGTGGTCTGTTCTTTATTAGGGCAAAATATGGAGTAGATGAGATGTGCAGAGATCAATGGAACTGGGCAAATAAGAATCCATGGGGTTTCCAGAAGAAGCCTTGATATTTTCTTTTAAGCTATTTTTTTTTTACTTTTCTTTTCACCACTATCTTATAAAGGAAAACAAAAATATATAGATGTTCTTCTCTTTCTCTCTTCAAGAAAAAAGTTGTATCCTCTTTCGGTTAATAAATATTACGTTTATTTGCATTGGATAATGTATATTGCTAACTGATCATTATAATCAACAAACCTTTTATCGTTATGTTCTGTTTTTATGGTGTTAAGTTCTATGTTTCCAGTCTGGTCCTGATTCAAGATTGAATAAGAGAGGATGCAGAGAAACAAAGATGAAAACTTGTTGAGCGACTATGAACCAAAACATTTTAACAGCAACAGAACATACAGAACCAAAGCTAAAATGTGTATACAACAAGCAATGTTAAGACTACAAATTGATCAAATGTCGAACCCTTTTTCTTGGGTTCCCTCAGCTACTAATGATACAGATATTCGCATATTTGCAAGTTTTCTCTTCTTCTGATCTAGACTTCCTCGTCTGCGCCTTCGTAGTTGCCATTCTTGAGGATGTTGTATTTGCAAAGAGGACAAGTAGCATTTATGTAAAGCCATTTGTCCACACAACCGCAATGAAAATGGTGGCCACATGGAAGTTCTCTTAGCTCTGTCTCATCTTCATAAGCCGACAGACAAATGCAGCATTCCTATAGATTGACAAATCCGGTTTTGTTTGTCAAAATCCAAACGGAGTGTAGCCATAATATGCAGAGGTTTACAGGTTACTAATAGAGAGAAGAGTGATTTTGGGTGTTACTTACTGCATCGTCATGAGGAAGAGTATGTTCAATGGGTGAATCTGTACCACATTCAGTCATGACTCCTCCTGAATCTCCTTGTGCTTGTTCCTCATCAACAGTGTGTTTCACAGAATCACCAACCTTTCGGAATTTGAATTTAGTAAGTTGGTCAATGTCTTCTTTCGAAGCTCCTTCCTGCATTTTCAAGAGTTGTGTTAGAAAAACATTCAACTTTTTTGGAAGTAAAATGTCAAAATAAACAGGTTATAACATAGTTACCTGTTCTGCTACAGCGTATAGAACTGCAATGATGCAAGGTAAGCAGCAGCAAACAGCAATGCCAATAACACAAGCCAATGCAACGCAGAATACCACAAAGAACACATCGAAACCAAGGAAGACTATACACAACCTATAAAGAAACAAACAAAGCCATTCAAACAAAAGATCTTGAACACATAAAACACTCAAGAGAATCTAAGAGAGATGAGAGAAGTTAACAACAAACCAATAAAGCTGAGGGGATCCTTGTGCTAACTCTTGGCCGCCAGAAGATACCCAATAGAATCCAATAACCCACCATATAAATGAGATCATCGTATTTGCAGATTCTAGATGCTTAGCAAAACTGGTTACATAAAACACAGCTTTAGACAAAATTCACATCACATATAATACACTCACTTTATCACAATCACTAAACTTAAAACCAATGTACCTGTTGTTCTCGTTCTCTAGTTGTCCTAGTTCCAAGTATCGATCTTCAGAGTTTCTATTCAAACCCAAACCTTCGTTTTCCTCCATAGAAGAGGATGAAGAAGAAGACGAAGACCGAGAACTAGGACTCCTATCTCTTCTTCTCCTCCTATTCCTCCTACGATACTCAACACAAACACAAACCATATGCATCATACATTGCAACCCATACCCTATAATCCAAACCCTAAGAGGCATATTAGGCTTCTCATCGCTGCTAAGTACCAAAACAGCTGCAGCAACAGCAACAAAAGCGAGATTCCAAACGAAATCCAAAACCACTACAGGCTTGGAATAAGCCCAATCGCTTTGCCTCTCTTCAAGCTGCTCAGCCGCTGCTTCACGAACAAGCATCGATGGCTCTCTCATCATCATCCTCCCGCTACTTGCATGTCTTAGTAACCTGGCTGCTTCTCTTAACCCTTGTCTCCTCACCGATCTCCTTCCTCCTCCTCCGTCGGTTAAAATCAAAGGCGTTGCTTCCGTCGTCGTCTCTGTTGACATTTTCTTTCTCTTTTCAAAAAAGTCTCTTCCTTTCTTCAAAAATTCAAAAATTGATCCCGAATTGACGAAATTGGTGAAGCTTTACGCCATTAAAAAGGGAAAATTTCAATCTCAGAGACAAATTCCGATTTGCTAGGGTTTCGATTCGAAGAGAGAGAGAGAGAGAAAGAGGATGAGTCGGACAAATCGGAAATCGTGATGTTTGAAAAATGAATATACAAAAAAAAAAAAAAAAAACAATTTTAAATTTTAATGTCTCCTCTAATGGCAACCAGAGAGATAAGCGGGACTTTTATGTAATATCCAGTATTTTACGGTGGCCTTTTGGTAAAATGTTATTACCTTGGCAGAAAAGAACCGGGACCAAACCAATCAAACCGACAATGTATAATGAATTTTGTTAAATTTGAGCAAATTTTTAAATTGAAATGCACAAACCGCATCCAAATTTGAACTAGTGGAGCAAAATCGAATTAAATGAAAAATTATTTTTGTTTTCATTTCCAAACCAACATTTTTCAAACAAACAAACCGAACCGGATCGGACCCAATACGATTCGATAATTCGGTTACCTCATCCTCTAGTGTCTAGTCCACGAGTTCGTATATCTCTGTTCATATTCGGCGGTGCATATATGTAATAACGAGTATTTGATGGCGTGGGCTATATAATAAAATTAACATACTTTGGTACACAATTCGAAATATTGTCAATTTATAGGCCCTTGAATGCAAAATAGTCGTAGAAGACTAAAACCCTCAATTGGAGGGAGACACTGCAGCAATTTTCCCTCCAAATCAGAAAACCCCCAAATCTCACCGGATCGGAGACTCCTTCCTCTTCCGACTGAAAAAAATGGCATCTTCTTCTTCAGCCTCTTCCGGCGGAGAAGAACCATGGGTGGAGAAATACAGGCCGAGCAAAGTAGTCGATATCGTTGGTAACGAAGACGCCGTCTCCAGACTCCAAGTCATCGCTCGCGACGGGAACATGCCGAATCTTATCCTTGCCGTGAGATTTTTACTCTTCTTTAGTAGTGTCTCTCTCTTTGTCTTTCTATTGTGTCTCTATTTGATTTCAATTCTCCTTAATTAGGGCATTTGGGTTTTGTGCCTTGTGTTAGATTTCACTATTTCAGGATTAAAGCTTGTCAATGTTAGGGTTTTGATTAGTGAAATTGTATTGATGTGTTGATTTCTTGGTGGATGTTTTCAAATTGATTGTTGTAGTGTTCACTGGACTTTAAGTTTCTGATACATGAATTTGTGTTACTTTGTTGTTATATCCTCAGGGTCCTCCTGGAACTGGTAAAACCACAAGCATTTTGGCTCTTGCTCACGAGCTTCTTGGCAAGAATTATAAGGAGGCTGTTCTGGAGTTGAATGCATCTGATGATAGGTATGTACTCATATGTGAGTTCTTTAACATATGGCATGTCGTTCCATCTTTGTTTTAAACATTTACTGTGTGGTATTGTGTTCTGTTATGGCTGTTGTAGGGGTATTGATGTTGTAAGGAACAAAATTAAGATGTTTGCGCAGAAGAAAGTAACACTTCCTCCAGGGCGTCATAAGGTTGTCATTCTTGATGAAGCTGACAGGTTAGTTCTGCTACGTTTGTGACTTTTGCCTGAATCTTTTTTCTCAAGCTGATTTTTCTGATTTAGTGCTTCTTCTTTCTGTTTTTGGTTTGTAAATTAGCATGACATCCGGAGCACAACAAGCATTGAGGAGAACGATTGAAATCTATTCGAACTCTACGCGGTTTGCACTTGCATGTAACACATCAGCCAAGATTATTGAGCCCATTCAGAGTAGATGTGCCTTGGTTCGGTTCTCTAGATTATCTGATGAGCAGATACTAGGCCGTCTCATGGTGGTGGTTCAAGCAGAGAATGTATTGATTTGCCATGTTTCTAATATTCTACACGTTTACAGTTGCAGCAATTTTGTAAACAAATTCTGATTACCTGTGTTTTCATTCTCCCAAGGTTCCTTATGTACCTGAAGGCCTCGAGGCGATTATCTTTACAGCTGATGGTGACATGAGGCAAGCTCTGAACAACTTGCAAGCCACTAACAGCGGTTTTCGGCTAGTCAACCAAGAAAACGTCTTCAAGGTTTGATACAAAACCTTAATTAACTTAGCTGATGAAACGCATTGGTTATCATATCATCAATCATAGATCTCTCCACTAATTTCTTTCTTTTTTTCTTAGGTCTGTGACCAACCTCACCCGCTTCATGTCAAGAACATTGTTCGTAATGTGTTGGAAAGTAAGTTTGACGATGCTTGTCATGGCTTAAAGCAGCTCTATGATCTGGGGTACTCTCCAACCGACATTATCACAACGCTTTTCCGTATAATAAAGAATTACGATATGGCTGAGTATCTGAAACTTGAGTTCATGAAGGTATACATCTCTGATTCTCCTTCACATCTCAAAACATCCCAACTCTGCATTTTTCGTCAAACACCAATGATTATTCTTTCAGGAAACTGGATTTGCGCATATGAGAATCTGTGATGGAGTTGGATCATATCTTCAACTATGTGGTCTTCTGGCTAAATTGGCCATTGTTCGGGAAACAGCGAAAGCAGCTTAAACTATGTAACTTCCACTCTCATCTCTAGTGATGAACCAGTGGCCGGTTTATTGTTAAACCAATTTGGTCAGCTCTTTTGTTTGATAACTCGGATAGATGTTTGAATTGCTTGTGAATGTTTCTGGGTATTATCTTTGAATCTTAATCCTAACCATTTTGGTGCTTTGATATCACAAACGAAAAAGCTACGAAATAGTTAGGAATGTGGTTTCAGTGAACCTGTTTTATCATGGAGCAAACCCATCACCTGAACTGAACCTGTATTACTTTATTTATATGAACAAGCTAATACACAAGCTATTTTACACACAATAGAAAGAAGAAAAAAACGTAAAACAATTAACAAAACCAGAAAAGCTCCTCGCGTTTCATTTATTTATATTATGTGTAAAAATACCTTACACATATAATTCATCACATTGACAAGATATCAATCTTGCCTTTTCTTGGTAAAGTGTTGAATCTATTTGTGTAATTCGATAACATAATATGAATAGGCAAGACAAATGATTTCACAACAAAGAAAACCTGAATCAGAGGCTAGAGTCTTGAATTGGGAAAGAGACCTCTCCTTACCACCTGAGCATTGTGTTAACATCAACATGTCCAAGCCGAAGACAATATTTGATGAAATGTCGTTGTCCTTTGGGTCCTCCGGGGTAATCATCTCGACTATTATCACTTTCCCTTTAACGGAAAGACTTCTCCAACATTTTTTAAGTATCTTTACACAATCTTCGTCTGTCCAGTCATGTAGTATCCACTGCATTAATTTTATGCATTTCACTTTGCAGTTAGTATATGGTTCTTGACTATGGAGTTTTTCATTCAATAAGAGTATATAAAAGTACTTACTTTTAGAAGAATGGCATCTCCTTTTGGAATTTCTATAAACATATCTCCTGAAACATGCTCAACTCCTATATATATATGACCGATCAATTTACTGAAGTAATATTGAGCAAAATAAAGAGATATTAACTTGTTTTAATACTTTAATTAGTGTTAGTGGTATACCTGGATATAGAGGAGCATGTACTATAACTGAGGCTAGGTCGAAATTGATGCCTTTAATATGAGGATACTTGGACGTCACTAGACCTAAAGTAGTTCCAATTCCTCCTCCCACATCAACCAAAGTATTTACATTTTCAAATCCTTTGTAAATTTCTAAAACCTTCTTCATAATCAATGTGGAAGCTTCCGACATTGCCTGATCAAACTTTTTAGCGAACCCTTCGTTCGAACCAAGGTATTCGAACACTCCCATGCCATAAGCAGAGCTGAATGCATCTTTTCCTTCTAATATCACATCTTTTAGATGTGTCCTATGCACATATATTATTTATACAACATTTGTTATTATATATTTAAACCTGTTTAATTATTAGATTTATTATATTTGTTTGTGTGGATGATTAAGAAGTACCGAGTACGTACCAAGTCTTGAAATGGACTTCGCTTAGGGTTATCATGAGCACAGATGCGTAAGAACCCGAGCCATCTCCACGGTTCAAGAAAAATGTGCAAACCGGTTCAGCTGCATAGACCCTCTCGGTCTTTCCACTTCCACCACCACTACCGTTGTCCCCGGTTTCTACTGTACGGTACTTTAAGATTGAGTGGCTGGCTAGTAAAACTAGCATCCGGTCAAGCAATACCGGTGCCTCCGGGTTGATGGGCTTGGTTGGGAGGCCATGAGCGATCTCGGAAGACGATAGCCACACGCCGTCATCTAGGGAAGCGATCATGTCTAAGACGCCAAGCTCCAAAGCTGCTTTGAGAACCATTGGGAAGGCCATGGAGGAGTAAACGATCCTCTGTGCTTGCAAATTCACTGTATCTTCGTCAAATCGTTGTTCTTCTTTGATTAGTTCAGGTTTAGGTCTGGTGGTTAATGCATTTTGAAGATGGTTTGCCATTATTGTTGTTGCTAGAAAATTTGAGAAATATAGGTGTAATCATAAGATGGTAAAGAGAAATTGGTTTCAACGTTCACAATTTATAGTGGCATTTTATACCTAATATTTTATTGCTAAAATACATTTTTTATTTTTTTGGAACACTGCTAAAAATACTTAAACTAATAAATATATTACACACATTTCTTTTCGTCGGCAGATACATTATTATGGTAGATCTTTTTATTTTATCCTATTAAAAATATAGCAATAAGTTTATTATATTTACCATCTGCATGCAACACATGCAATTATATGAACAGTTCTACGAGAACAACTTGACAATGTCATAACTTTCCCTATAACACTCGAATCTCTAACTAATAATGATTCGTATTTGCACCATACCAAGTACCAAACTATAAATAGTTTGACTTTTATCATTCGAGACTACAACGGATGCTTTCTGTCTGCATCACGCTGAAACTTTTAGTTAGTCCTGCACTATTAATTAATCTGCAAAAAAATGCATCTGGGAATCAAAACTCTTCTAATCTTCTAAATATATAAACTAATCTTCTTAATATTCGTGAAATGTAAAAAAAAAGAAAAGAAAAATAGCATTAAGCGAATTGTGAATGTCGTAAAAATTTCTAGTGGAGAAAGTCGAAAACATACACATTTAATACAATTATACAATGGACAGACAGGGATAGTTGGGTTTGGTATGAGTTAATGAATGTTCAAAACAAAAAAAAAAACAAAAAAAAAAAATGAATGTTCACGTCCTAGTAACATTAATTAGTAGTGGTCCGATCCATGCTGATATTATTCTATGTTTTCTAGATTTGTATTGCTAGCGAATATTTCTGAACATTATCATTACATCTTAATCGTAACCATTTTGGTATTTTGATATCACAATTATAATTATTGTTGCGATGTAGCGATGTAGCTTTCAGTAAATCTCTAATCACTAATTAAGTGAACTTTACTTGCTAGTCGAAAGACCACCAAACAATTCGCACTTAATTTGTTGTTAAAGCAATTTGCAAAGCCAATGTATATGATACTTAAATTGCGACTTTTTATTTCAAACTGAAGAGAATTAAAACAACTTACAACACAAGGAAACAAAAAAAAAAGACAATTATTACAACTGAAAAAAAAAACTCATGAATGTGAGATACAATATAAAATTGTAGTTTATTTTGATGAAAAAACAAGGTACATATTGACGACATTATTAAATCTTACTTTTCGTTGGTAAAATCTGGAACCTATTTGTGTAATTCGATAACACTGTATGAATAGGAATGACATATGATTTCACAACGAATAAAACCCGAATCAAAGGCTAGAGTCTCGAACTGTGGCAATGACCTCTCCTTACCACCTGAGCATTGTGTTAACATAAACATGTCCATACCAAATACAATGTTAGAAGAAGTGTCGTTGATCTTTGGTTCCACCGGCGTAATCATGTCGATTATTATCACTTTTCCTTTTTCCGAGAGACTTTTCCAGCAATTTCTTAGAATCTTTACACAATCTTCGTCGTTCCAATCATGTAGTATCCACTGTTATTCATTTACGTAGTTAATATATTATGGTTGGCCATGGAATCATATATATATATATATATATATCTTTGACTTTTCCATAAAAGAAGTAATTATATGTATATGAACTTACTTTCATGACGATGGCATCTCCTTTTGGAATTTCTTTGAACATATCTCCTGAAACATGCTCCACTCCTACATATATATTCCATTTTAAGTAAAATTAAGAAAGATAGGTATAATATTTTCATTAAAAAATGAATGGTTACCAAAATTAGCAATTTCTAATGACTGACTTAGTAGTATATATATGGATTAATTGGGTTTTTAGTACATTTTTGAAACATAATTGTAAAACTAGTACATTTACTATTTATTATTAGCAAACTAATACATTTTTACTATTTGGACATTATTTAGACACTATTAAAAACCCTCTTAAATCTAATAACTAAAAATATTCATCAAAATATATTTGTTTTTTATAAAATTTCAATTACAGAAAAATTTATATTTTTTTCTCTATAATTTGATATACATTTTTCTAAAAATAATTTCAAATATTTTTCAAACAAATTTTGATACGTCTAGCTATCCTTATGTACAGTTGTGTGTCGATGTACAGAAAATCATTCGTAAAGCGATCTATATATACGTATAATTGTATGTGTACAGATATTTTCTGCTCTATATATGTATATTTGTTTATGTGTAAATATGTTTATATGTAATTGTTTTTTCTTTGTACAAATATTTGATGTACAATAATATGTTATTGTACAGTTGTCTATCTGTATAGAAATCTGAAATAGTAAAATTGTACTATTTTGCTAATTGTGAATAGTAAACGTACTATCTTTATAATTATGTTTCAAAAACATACTAGTTTGCCAACACACCCTATATATATATATAGTGTACCTGGATAAAGCGGAGCACCGGTTACGACCTTGGCTACGTCGAAGTTGATGCCTTTAATATGAGGATACTTGGAAGTCACTAAACCTATGACATGTCCAAGTCCTCCTCCCACGTCCACTAAAGTGTTAACATCTTCGAATCCCTTGTACACTTGTAGAATTCTCTTCATGGTCATTGTAGAAACTTCTGACATTCCCCGGTTAAATATCTCAGCGAACCTTTCGTTTGAACCAATGTATTCAAAAAGTTTCATGCCATGAGCAGAGGTGAATGCATCCGTTCCTTCTAATATCATATCTTTGAGATGCATCCTACGAAAAACCAATAACCAATTATATTTCCCAAACTGAGTAGTGAAGGTTAACGTAATGAAGTATAGTAGTACGTACCAAGTCTTGAAAAAGGTTTCGCTTAGGCCTACCATGTACAGAGACGCAAAAGAACCCGAGGCTCCGCCATAATGCGAGAAAAACATGCAAACCGGTTCAGCTGCATAAACTCTCTCGGATTTTCCGGTTTCAACGACCATACGGCACTTTAAGATTGAGTGACTAACAAGTAAAGCCAGCATCCTGTCCAACAAAACTGGTGCCTGCGGGTTGGTAGGTTTGGTAGGGAGACGAAGCGCTATCTCAGAAGACGAGAGCCACACGCCTTCATCTACAGCAGCCATCGTGTCGATGACGCCAAGCTCCAAGGCTGCTTTGAAAACCATGGGGAAGCCGAGAGTGTACAAGATCTTCTCCGCTTGCAAGCTCACTGTTTTTTCGTCAACTTGTTGCTGTTTGGGGGAAGTGGTTATGGGATCTTGAACATGGTTTGCCATTGTGGAAATGTTGAGAAAGATATGTAACAAAGATATAGAAATGGTAAGTGAAAGCTTACCGTTGTTAATCACACTTCTCTCGTTTTATAGGGAGAAGTCTCTAAGCTATGTCCCCAAGACCATTCTTAGATATTTTGTTTTTTACTGCCTCGATCATCTAGATTATGGACAATTTCCACAATATCCTTTAAATTTCAAAGTTGTTATAATTTGACCATGGCTAAACAAAAGACAATGACACACCCCCAACATTGTCGTGCTAGAAAATTCAGCCACCAATTGGCAAACGCAAGTTATTGCTTCAAATTTGTATAGAGATGCATGAATGGGGTTTTTGCAAAACCATTCGTCCAAGAGAGCAATCAAGGATGAGCTAAAAAGCTCTTTATAAATTAAGACTAAAAGGGATGATTCATCAGTAACCATTAGCTAGCCATCAATGAAAGGAAACTTCAGTTACATAACTGACATTATTATATGGACGGATATGAAGTCTGTGTTTTTGTAGTAATTAAAAACGTAACAAAAATTAAAATTAAAATGATATCTTATCTTGGAAAATAAAATATAGTTAAACATAACTTGTACATATCATAGATAAGTCACGTTTTATTTGGGAATTTTCCCTTTTGTATAAGATTAAAATGGTTTTTTTTTTCTTTCTTTTCTTCAAAACATAATATAAGTTGAATCACAAAATCAAACAAAATAATAACGTATTACGTAAGCATATGTCTTGCATGCCCTTCGATCTAACGTGGAACTTACCAATATTTGTTTTTCTTACCGACAAGAATTATACACGGCGGCTGGAATTGTCGATGAATGCGATGCACGACTTTGTTAATTATGACGACCATATATGAAAAGTTTGTGATCGTCAGCATGCATCGATCTGGTAACACTTGTTTTAATAAGATGTTCGTTTTACAAGTATGCATAATCGATAGCGACTAGCGACCTAATTTAATGTTGGAGAAAGCTTGAGAAGCTCAAATCATACAATATTTTTAAAGTATGTTTGTACAAAACCAAAAAAAAACATATTTCATTTTCCTTTAAAAGAAAACTATTTAGTATATACACAAATAAATAAATTTTACATTAAATATGTGGAACAAAAATATTAGGAATTTGGTAGCAAACAAGCATTTTTACCGTATTCCTATAAAAAAAACTAGTAGAAGATGTCCCTTAGAAAATTGGAATTGGAAGGATTTTCGTTAGACTTGTCCTATAAAATATGGTTGTAGAAAATGAGAAGGCTTGTTTTGACTATTTCCTTACCAAAATTTTGTTGGAAAACGTTTTCAATTCCTACAACATAATTTTCTAACTACCAATTTTTCAAATTTTCTACGAAATCTCCAACATTATTTTTAGTAGAATTTTCGTAGGGAATCTATTTCCAATTTTCTACGACATTCGTTTTTCGTAAAAATATTGTAAATATATGATAGAAATCCTAGACATTAATCTCTAGACAAGTGATTCGAGAAATGAACTTTATGTATTTGACGAAACCAAAGAAAAAGGAATACTAGCTTACAGAAATTGAATGCAAAGGTAACTTAGGAATAATTACAGAAATCACTCCAAAAAACATTTTCTTATGAAGAAGAAATGGAGAAGAAGTGAGGTTGCAGCAATCCTAAGTTACCCAAATTCATGTTCATTACACTCATATGTATAAGATGAATCTACTTGCTAGAAACCTAATTACATGGGCTATAGATGGGCTTATGGACATAAATTACATGAGCTTGTCAAGGGTGCGTGCATTAACAATATATGTACGTAGTCTTTCCACATTGAGGAGACTAGTTTCTTGGTATATAACATTCAATCTATTTGTGCAGTTCGATAACATAATATGAATAGGCAAGACAAATGACTTCACAATGAAGAAAACCTGAATGAGAGGCTAAATTCTCGAATTGCTGAAGAGACCTCTCCTTACCACCTGAGCAATGCGTTAACATCATAATGTCCGCGGCTAACACAATGTTAGAATAAGAGTCGTTGCTCTTCGGTTTTTTCGGCACAATCAACTCAACTATTGTCACTTTTCCATTCTTGGGAAGACTTCTCCAACAATTTTTCAAAATCTTTACACAGTCTTCATCAGTCCAATCATGTAGTATCCACTATATTTAATTTATCCATTTTACTATATAGTTAGTACGTATATATATGTGACTGACCATGGAGTTCTATATCTATGAATGATAAAACAAATTCCAATTAAATAGAGTATATATATCGAGGAACTTACTTTCATTAAGATGGCATCTCCTTTTGGGATCTCTGTAAACATATCTCCTGAGACATGCTCCACTCCTAATATAACAATTTAAAGTAATATATTTATCAAAACGAACACTTCAAAATACAACTTGTAAAAATATTAAGCTAATGTTATTATACCTAGAAAAAGAGGAGCATGGACTAAAGCCGAGGCTAGATCGAAATTGATGCCTTTAATATGAGGATACTTGGAAGTGATTAGACTTGTGTTGGTTCCATTTCCTCCTCCCACGTCCACCAAAGTGTTTACATCTTCAAATCCTCTGTAAACTTCTAAAATCTTCTTCATGATCATGATGGAAGCTTCCGACATTCCCTGGTTAAACATGTTACTATACCCTTTGTCCGAACCAATGTATTCGAAAATTTTCATTCCATGAGCAGAGCTGAATGCATCTTTTCCTTCTAATATTAAATCTTTGAGATGTGTCCTGCAAAAAAATATTTAATCCATTTTTCATTAATGATACATAAATATATGAATAGGAAGAACACTTTGTTGTTTAACGTACGGTTCATTTACGTACAAGGTTTTAAAACATAGTTCGCTTTGGAGCAACATGAACAGAGGAGCGAGAGATCCCGAACCATCTCCCCGGTTCAAAAAAAACTTGCAAACTGGCTCAGCTGCATAGACCCTCTCGATCTTTACACTTCCACCGTTCTTTACAGTTTCCACCATACGGTATTTCAAGATTGAGTGGCTTGCTAATAAAACCAGCATCCGGTCAAGCAATACTGGTGCCTCCGGATTGGTAGGCTTAGTTGGGAGACCAAGCGCGATCTCGGAAGGCGAGAGCCACACTCCATCATTTACGGTAGCAATCATGTCGATGACACCAAGCTCCAAAGCGGCTTTGAAAACCATGGGGAAGGACATAATGTATAAGATCCTCTCCGCTTGCAAGCTCACCATTTCTTCGTCAAATTCTTGTGTTTCTTTGATTAAACTCGGGATAAGGGTAACGGTTAAGGAATCTTGAAGTTGGTATGCCATTCTTTTTTTGTTTCTGGTGAAAAAACTTGAGAAAGGTAGATAACAAAAAGGTATAGATGGTAAGAATAAGTTGGTTTCTATTTGTTTCATTACGATGTAATATATAGATTTCAGACTTCTTTCATATTGAACAATCTAGTTGGTGTTTAGGACTTGTGACTGGTTGCTGTGATTTTGTTCACACACTCCACACTGATCAACAACTAAAAAAGCTGAACGTTAGAAAAGCTTCAGTCTTTTTTTATACAGATTTTGAAGCAAATATTATTTTTGTTTTGGCTAGAGGACACTTTCAAGATAGTTTAATTTGCACACACAAAAAAAAAAAAAAAGAGAGAAAAAAGTCCAGTACTAATGAAACTGAACTCAACTTGGGAAGAACTTGTAAATACTATGAATCAAGTGAGCAAAATTATCCGTTTACATTATAGGTGGTATTAGTAGAATCGAAACAAATTGGCTAGTGACAAATAACGTATGCAAAAGTATAGGTACGAAATTGAAACCAATATATATTAATGAACTGGACAAACAAGACTAGATAGTGAGTGAGTGTTGTGGTATGCGTTGATGAATGTTTAGCTAACAAACCTGGTTCAAACAAGAAGAGAAGCTTAGCTAGGTAAACTTCCACTTATCTCTAGTGATAAACCGGTGGCCGGTTTATGATTAAACTGATTTGTTGCTGGTTTATGTTTAAACCAATATGATTAATGAACTCTTGGTTGTTTGATATATAAATTCTAGAAGGCAAGACCACGTTCCCTCATCTAGGGAAGCTTTGAGAACCATGGGGAAGGACATGGTGTACATGATCTTCCCCACTTGCAAGCTCAACTGTAGATGAGCTTTGATTAAATCTAATATATGGGAAATCTAGTATTATAAAAGCCCATCTTTAGTGTTTGAAAAGGGCCTAACAAAACCAATGTTAAAAGATCTAATGTCAAGCTGAAACCTATGTTAAGGGTATCATTATTGGTAGGCTTTTAATAAAATCTTAAGCTAAAAAAAGTTAAGAAAAAGTAAAAGAAATCTCTTATACAAGAGATATATATTAACTAACTTTTCTTAGTTTTTTTTATCACTTTTCTTAAGTTAAGAATTTTTTAAAAACCCTTTGATAATCATGGTCTTTGACCATATGATTGGTAGCCTAAGACCATAATTAACAGAAGTATTTTAGGGTAAAATTTTCTTAAGATAATATATTTCTATTAATGATGTCCGTAGATTGAACCTAGATAGAATTAGCATACCCTAGCCGATGGAATAGTAATCGTCTTTAGTCGAAGAAATCATGAGGAGGAGAACCAAAGCCCTGAAAATGATAAGATGAGTGTAACTTGATGGCATATCATATTGTATTATTATTGTTATTATTATTTTTTATTTGGCATGTCAAATTATTGTTGGCTAAAAATATCAAGCTGAAACCGCGTGGACCTTAGCAAATTTATTTCTTGGAAGACTTTAGGATTGTATAAAAGATCCATTCATGGTCCTTCTTTTATATGCGTAAATATGATATGTCATGCAAGTTTAGTTTGTTTTCAATATTTTTTTCTAGCCAAATGTCAACAAAGCAAAACACACATTAATTTTGTACGTTATTACCCATTTTACTGGAATCCAAATATATGATATTGATGATATTGTCAACATATTGTCAACATATTTATGATATTGATCATCATTATCTAAAATCAAAATTTTACTTATATAATTGCACTAGCATACCTTTTCTTATTAGTATTTACAAAATTTCATAACCATAGAACTCTTTGATCTATACTCCAAAGTCTTAATAAAATACTCCAAGTTTGTCATCTTCTTTTGTCGCAGGTCTGAGTTGTTGTTTTTTACTTAGAAAAGAAACTTACAAAACCAAGGAGAGGGAGAGGAGCTGGCACCACCGCCTAACTCGCCATTGACACACCACCAAAGCTCTGTTTTAATTACTTTATTTTTCTTCTACACACATCGATAAAGATAGACACAACACAACACAACACAGAGAGAGAGACCTAATAAAGTTTATTGATTACACTCACTTTTTAACATCAATTCAACGGTTGAATTCGTAAAAAAAATCGTTTTTTTCTTCTTTATGTTCTATCCTTCTTTTAAAGGTTACAACTTTAACCCTAATTACTGATACTCTGTCTCAATCTCTTCTTCCTTGTAATTCATCTTATTCCTCTCTTTCTTCTAAGCTACTTCACCTTGAATTTCGTATTTGATCCGTTTAATCCAAGTTTCGGTTTTTATATTATATAACAAAACGAGATAGGTAGATAGATCCTGAGAGGTTTTGTGATAAGAAACAGAGAGAGAGAGAAACAGAGTAATTATGGCGAACAGAGATGTGGAGAGAGGAGGGAAGAAGAACAGAGGAGCTAATAACAACAACTACTTCTACGATGAGTCTTCCGGCGAAACTCATTGGACTTCGTGGCTCATTCCGGCGATTGTAGTGGCGAATCTCGCTGTCTTTGTCGCTGTGATGTTTGTTAATGATTGTCCTAAGAAAATCACCGGAGCTAACAAACAGTGTGTTGCTAGATTCCTCCGAAGGTTCTCGTTTCAGCCGCTTAAAGAGAATCCTCTCTTTGGTCCATCTTCTTCAACGTAAGTTTACTTTAAAGCTCGAGATTCAAGTTTGATCTTCTGGGTCTCTCGAAAGTCTCAATTTTTTTGGTTTCTAATGTCTGTTCTGTAGAAATTGAGCTCAAACTTGTTTTGGGTTTCTCAAAGTTTTCATTTTTATTCAGTAATTGAGATTGTAGTAGCTATCATGACAATAGATTTGCTCAATTGGCACCTACTGATACTTGAAATCAATATGTGGTTGAAGCTTGAGATTCTAGGATTCGTGATTCTGATTTACTGGCAAACAAGTTTGATTGGTCTATCAGGGTACTTCAAAAGTCTCAAGTTTTTGTTTTCTAAATTGCTATTGAATTTGATCTCTAGTGTCTGTAATGGATTGGAGAATGAGCTCGAGCTTGTTGGGTTTCTTAAAGTTTCCATTTTTTTCATTCGTAACTATGCATTTAAGCCTGGCTAGGATTTGTCGGTTGATATCCCAATTGAAGACTTTTCTGTTCTAGATTTTGACTAAGCAACTTATGGATCCAATTGAAATTGTTGGATTTATGATTTGTGGATTTCATTGTCAAATTGTTCTTTTGAATGTCTGTTGTGATGGTTATTGTGTGGTTACTTGTTATTCTTTGGTTCTTGTTTGCTTGGTGTTTGATTCAGTTTTTACTCTGATTCTTGTTTTTAGATTGGAGAAAATGGGAGCATTGGAATGGAGGAAAGTAGTACATGAGCATCAAGGATGGAGACTTCTCACTTGTATGTGGCTTCACGCTGGCATCATTCATCTGCTTACAAATATGTTGAGTTTGATCTTCATTGGTATCCGCCTTGAACAGCAATTTGGCTTCAGTAAGTCTTTGCCTTTACATACAAGCACTCGATTTTCCATGAAATTTTAGTCTATTTTCTGATTGCCAACTGAAACATTTTATCTTTATTGTGGCTGCGTAGTAAGAGTTGGGCTTATTTACTTAGTATCGGGTCTCGGTGGAAGCATACTTTCATCGCTTTTCCTTCAAGAAAGTATCTCTGTTGGTGCCTCGGGCGCTCTCTTCGGACTTCTTGGAGCAATGTTATCTGAACTTCTCACCAATTGGACTATCTATGCCAATAAGGTACTAATTTCCTTTCCTCTAAACCGCCTTAACCGGAAATTTAGCATTCTGTACTTTGTAGAAACTGAAACCAACGAAAATTAGTATGAAGCAGTTTTGGGTTGGTGTTATTGGGTTTGAAGCTTTTGATTCAGTTCTTCAGGTTCAAAAGAGCAATCTAAAATACATCTTTGTTCGGTCCCTGTTTCGGTCTAAGCATATAGATCAGGTTTTGTTTTCATATATGCACTCTGTAACAGTTTTTATTTGCAGGCGGCTGCTTTGATCACGCTTCTGTTCATCATAGCAATCAACTTAGGACTAGGCATGCTTCCACGGGTTGACAATTTCGCACACATAGGAGGGTTTTTAACCGGATTCTGCCTCGGGTTTATTCTCCTTGTCCGACCACAGTACGGTTGGGAAGCTTCCCGCACCAACACTGCGCGCAACAAACGCAAGTATAGCATGTACCAGTACGTGCTTTTCGTAGTTGCAGTGGTTGTACTTGTGGTTGGGTTAACTGTTGGATTAGTGATGCTGTTCAAAGGAGAGAATGGGAACAAACATTGCAAATGGTGTCACTACCTTAGCTGCTTCCCAACGTCTAAATGGACCTGCTAATCATCATCATCATTATCATACAGTAAAAGCTTTAATATGTGTTCTTTGTTAACATTTAATCTCTTTGATATCTCTTGATTACTTATATATGTACATTACAAATTTCGTCTTGTGTAAAAAAAGGGGATAGAAACAAAGAGTGTATTGTTACATGTGAAAACCATACTTCTCAAACTAAGTACATAAATAGTATTATTGGACTGAAGGTAATCTACTCTCAACCAATGATATTATTAATAGAGATTGATTTGTTAAAGTTGGATTAGCCTCTACTCTGTGCTCTGATTTCATAACACAACTTTGTAATAGATAAGAAAACTGGTTTTGTTACAATGGCATTAACAATCTTTATTAAAGGTATAACATAAGCTTAAGTAGGAAATTAATTCCTTTACTTAATAGTACACACTTTTAATTATATTATGCATCTTTAGGTCTTGTAGATTGTTCTTCCTTTGCTTCCATCTAACTTTCTCTAGATCTCTTTCTTCTCGAGTTTAACATGATAGCCATTTGGAAATTGCAATCCAGGACTTCGACATATGTTTCCTCCACTGATCTCCTCCCATCTGATGAAATCCAAGAAACATAATTACAACTATCATTAGTAAGCATAATTAAGTGTATATATAGCTATCTCTTTGAATCAACAGATAACAAATATCGAACCTGTATTTTGTGACCAAGCTATGAAGGAACACTGCCATTTGGAGTTTGCTGAAGTCAGTTCCGATACAGAATCTCATTCCTCCACCAAATGCCATGAATGTCTTTGATGCATTTGTATATTTTGATCCCTATAATTCACCAGTTTCGATTTAGGTTTGATTTAGTTTTGTTATGAAAACCTTGTCAGGGTTACTTGGATTACAAGGTATGTATATGTATATCATGTGTAGAAGATTTTTGTGAACTCACTTCCCATCTAGATGGATCGAAGACAAGAGGGTCTTCATAGATGTCTGGATTCAAATGTATAGCTGGAGGACATACCACCACTGTCCAACCAGCTGGAATTAAATAACCTGCATCCATTTTTACAAAATGATTAATTTTGTATATAATACAAAAGTGATCAATCTTTGTGTGTTTATGATGTTGCTTTGTTGCTCATACCATCATATTGGGTATCTATTAAGGCTTTTCTGAAGATTCCAGGAGCTAAATTTGCTAGTCTCGCTGTTTCGTTTATGAACTGAATTAAGTATAAGCTTTGGTTAGATGAGAATACGTATAATAAGCTATACCTACCTTAGGGGATATGGACAGACTTGATAGTTTACCTGAAATGTGTAAGTCATTGATTTGTATTCTTTCCAAGTAAGTCCAGAGTTAGCATCTTCACGGTTTCTTAGAATTGCCTCATGCTCTTCCTGATTAATATATAAATCGGTTTAATTTTTTTGGTAATGATCAAAACTTGAGTTGTTTTCATTTCACTGACCGTTAGACGTTCTAGGATTAAAGGGTTGTCTGAGAGGAACTTGATGGCTAAAGTTAATGAATAAGATGTTGTCTCGAAGCTGGCAAAAATTAAGACAAACATCAAGTCTAGTGCAATTTCTTCTGTCAGAAGTGATCCTTCTTTCTTAAGCTCTTCAATGACATAATCAAAGAAATCACTTGGATTCTCCCTTGGATTCTCTCGCCTCTCCTGAAGCATATCCCTCAACATTTTCATTGCCCTTTCCCTACCCTGAATCAGTTACCAATTTTAAGCATTGAGTACTATGACTTGCTTTACAAGAAAATGAAACAACATGAATTGTGACCAAGTGAATATAACCTCTAGGCACTTGTGATAAGCTGTCCCCGGGATGTTGATAGGGAACGAGATCAAACCATCAACGAATGAAGCAAAGCAGTCCCTTAGATTTTCTGAGGACTTGCCTGGATTAAGGCCCATCAACTTTTTAGCAGTGAGATCCAATATCAACTGACAAAAAAAAACAAAAAAAACTTAACAAAGTTCTAAACAGAGAAGTGGAAATAAATCAACAATGTTACTTGAGACTTACGCTTGCTGTTGAATCTTTCAGCTCAGTTGAGTTTTGAGTTGACCAGAGCTCTAACTTGTTACAAACATTTTCTTCAATTTCAGGAAGCATCTTCTTGCGACTCTCATGGCCAAAAAGACTCAAGATCATATGCTTGAGGTACTTATATACGAACCCATGTAAGGTTGCGAGATTCTGATTTCCAAAGATCTTAGTGAAAGTATCAGGATACCAATTCTTGAAACATTGGCCTTCTTGGTTGAGCACAAAATAACTAAAATCAGGATCTGTTGCTACAATTACTGGTATCCCCACAATGCTAGTCTTGAATATTGGTCCGTACCTGCACATAGGTCACAAAATATATAAGGATTTCACTGCAAGTTACATCAAATTTATATATCTCATGAACTCCAAAAAAAAATTGTAAACAATGATGTATTTATAATTAAATTTTAATATGTGTAAAAAATCTTAAACTGAATTAATTTGGAATTCATGAGGAAATATATATATTTACAAATACTATATTATAATTATACAATTCTGCAAGAAAGAAGAAAAAACTCACTTCTTAATCCTGTCTTTGATAAATGGTTGGATGTCTGAAGTTGTGTTGGGTTTGAAGTAACTAATCGTTTCACCAAGAAGTGGTAAGCCCATAGAACCTGGTGGAAGCTTCCCACTGCATTTAGGGTTCCTCCATTTGTAAACCCAAGTTGTGAAGCTTGTCACAAGTAGAGACACCCAAATGCACAATGCCCACGACATCATCACTATAATTGAGAGGGCTCTAATATGTTTTTGATTTGATGCTTTTAATTGGTGCATGTTTCTTCATCCATATGACGACTCCTTAAATAGAGACGAGGCAAGCCCTTACAGTTGACGCGTCAACTTAACGCAATTAAATATGTATATCTATTGCGGTCACTTGAGTTTGTGACCCTATCTATCTACTTAGGTACGTCGCCCATGCATGTTGATTTGTCAAACTTATATAATTTTGCAGAGATCGTGCGATGGTAACTATTCAAGCAGTGAAAACGTGGTTCATATGGGACAATGCATCATACATAATAAACATACCAACTTAAAATATGAACGTTTGATCATGGTGAATGTATGGGTGGATCATATTGTCCTCGAAGTTTGGAAAAAAAGGAAAAGAAAAGTCAAAAAGAGTATACAGATACTATACAATCAGATAATCATTTTTTTTTTTCTTTTTACAATCAGAAAAACAAGTCAAAAGAAATAGGAGTATTAGAGAAGTACAATGATGTTTTTAAGCTTAAGAACCGCTGATGTGGTGATTTATTATTGGTGGGAGGAAAAAAATAAAAAAGAAAAAAGAAAAGGTTAAAAAAAAACAAAATATATATGTTTTTGTTTGTTTTTACTTGGAATTTAACCCACGACCCATTATTTAGAAAACTCACGATTTGCCATCAGACCACAGTAATGCATTGGTTATGAGCTGAAAAGGATGATATATAGAGTTAACATATCTTAGGTTAAAAGTTTATTAATATAATCTTTATGTACAGTTTTTATTTTATTTTTTAAACACCTATATTGAGTGTTGGTCAGAATTTTATCTCAACTAAAAAGTGTCTAAAAGATCACTTTTGCATAAAATATCATAATTAATTGTTTTAGACATTGTTAGTATATTTTAAGACATGAAACCTCGAGTCACTCAAGTACAAGTATACTTTGTTCTTCCTGAGAATAAAATTCAGATACAACAAGAAAAGTGTTCAAAGACGGTAGATAGTAATGAAAAACTAAAAAAGACAATTTTAATATAGTAAAGACAAATATGATATTCTAGCTTTCTCTATTTCCTTATAAAAAAACTTGGATTTCATAATAATTTTGATGAAAAAAAAAGGTTAGAAAGTGGGGTTTGTAGTTTGTTAAACTAACATTAACAATTTTAGCAAAGGACAAAAACATTAGCATAAATAGAATATATATATAAACTATATTATGGTTAATACAAAATTATACGCTAACATATTTGTATTAATATATGGTTGATACAAAATATAAAGTATATTAGTGTTAATACAAACTATACACTAACATTAACAATTTTACACAATTAGCATAAATAGAATATATATTCGTATTAATTAATATGGGTAATACAATTGTAATACAGTATAATACGGTGTGGTATATAGTGCCATTAATCTTATGCCTTTGATCGATAATCATGAAATAGAAAGGAAAGCCACGTACGGTTCCTCTTACAGTTTTTTTTTTTTGTTTGTCATCAACTTAAAGTTATTTAATATGAAAAGTAATTGAATGACAACACTTCATATATCACATATGAAATTTTGACCATCCGTTTCAGTTTACATAAAATTTCCAAATATTCCCTTTCAAGTTGGAGAGCATAGAACTATAGTTGCGAATCAAAAATGTCTTTGAAAACTCTTCTCCAGGTTGTTCGTATTAGGGATAAACATGAGTTACGATAAGAGAACCATTCTCAATATATTATCACGTATGAAGTGAATCACTTGGTAAAGATCTCTGGCAAAAGCTTATACGCCGCCGGTTCGAGTAGTATTTGGGACGAAACTATATAACATGCTTTGGTCTCGGGTCTGAGGGGATGTATGAGTTTCGGCCCAGAACCTCTTTGATTATTAAAAAAAAAAAATACGAACAAAATACTGTAGATAGCTTCTTTATCTTTCAAAACAATAGGTACACTATACGATGTACGGTGTGAAGCCACACTGTATTATAAATTTATAAGTAGGAGTATACAATTGTTCAATACTGATAAAGTTATATATGCAACCCAAATATATGCAGCATTTATACATTGATTCCGCAAATACGACGTTTTAAAAAGGTCAAAATAAAAACTACTGTATGTCATGTTTTTAATATTGTGAAACAATTTTTTTTTTTAACAAACTACTGATTTTGCTCAAAATATCAACAATGAAACAATTTTATTATCATTTTTCAATTATGTTCATTCTTATTAGGTATTTTTCAAAAATATTGTAATTTATAATAGAGCTTAATTAAACACTTTATTTTATTGGGCGTTTTATACTAGAGTCTCGATGAATTGAGACAAGAAGTTCCTCATACAAGACAAGTCTTGATTTAAATGTTATAGACTTATAGCAGGACAGAGACTTATAAACCACTCAGATCCAAATTAACTTGACTCTAATTAGTAAAGATCGTTTGGTCAACGTCTTAAAATTCCTCTTTGTTCTCATTTTCTTTGACTTTATCAAACTCTTGTGTGGTCGAGTGAGAAAGATCATTGTCTAATCAGACAGAATCACAGAATGATTAATTTATAAAATGGTCTGATGTAAATGGTCTAATCTAATTTTACTATTCTACGTAGATTTTTTAAGTGGATGTCCTTGAATTTTGGAATATTCAAAAAGTA